TATATAAAAAAATTTTAATTAATTTATTTTTCTAGATTACAAGAGGCTTGAAATTAATGAATTTTCAACTTTTATTTTAAAGAAATAGGTAGGTGGGATTTATTAACATGTTAATAAAATTAGAATGGGCAAGATATTTTTATAAGTTTCTTAAAAGATATATTTTTGATTACAGATTTGGTTAAATATTAATCAGAATATCTTTGGAAAAAATTATGAAAAGATTTAAAGTCTAAAAATGAGAGAGATTAATAATGGTTACGTAGTAGTATTACAAATTACTTTGGCAAACCTGATAAATTTATTCATTTAAAATAGAGAATAAAAGCATTTCATCAAAATGCTATTGTTTTTATTGTTCTAGTTGAAGGAAAGATAATGTGCAAAATGATTTCTATCTGTTATATTGCATATTAGTTAAGTCAAAATGATATTATTTATAAGAAAATCTAATAAATTTAAGTAAAGTTTGATACTAATTATCAAAAATGGAAATAAATAATGATTTATTTAATTTTTATTGATACATTTCAATATAAATTTAAGATGAATCAATAAAGAGAAGGGCGAATCATTTCCCTAGAGGTGAATTGAATCTAAATTATATAAGTCATACAACAAAATAATTTTAATTAAGTTTAAATTTAATCATAAAAATGATTGAAACTAAATAGCAAATACAAAAGACTGTTTATAAATATTCATACTTTCTAAATGATATTTTAGGAGAAGGCTACTCTTCTTAAGTGTACAAAGGGATTCATAATGAAACAAAATAGGTGGTAGCTATAAAAGTTATAAACTTTTAAACCTTAGTTACTCCAATTTCATAAAGTTTGCTAAAAAATGAGATTAACATAATCAAGCAATTAAATCATGAGAATCTAATGAAAGTATATGAAGTTTTCCAAACCAGAAATAATATCTATTTAATATGTGAATTCTGTAGTGATGGTGATTTAGCAAATATTTTAAGTTCAACTAACTTATCAAAAAAAGAAATAATTGACATATTTACTTAAATATCAAAAGGAGTAAAGGCTCTTCATGATTAAAGTAAGCCTATTTTCATTAAATTTAGAGATAATTCATAGAGATATAAAGCCTGCAAATATCCTAAGATTGGATGGAACATATAAGTTATCAGATTTTGGATTTGCAATTGTAGAAAATGATTTTGAGAGCATAATAAAAAAGTTTCATGTAGGAACTCCAGTATATATGGCACCAGAAACTGTTCAGTTAAATTAATATTCTGAAAAATCTGATATATGGTCATTAGGAGTTGTTCTTTATCTTATGATATTTAAGGAATTGCCATTTAATTAAAGAAAAGTTGAAGACATTAGAATTAGATAGCAAGAAGTTCATGCAAAAATTAATAACGATAAAAATTTGCCTAAATAAATAAAATTTATCCTAATCGGAATGCTTGAGATAGAACCATTAAAGAGACTTTCAATAGATTCTGTATTATTGCATTTACAAAATCAAAAGAAATTGAAATGTAATTCACATCAAAATATTGTATGTAAAATTTTAAGAAGATCAAGTGCTCATTCTCCATCAAATTATGGCGACTCAAATAAAATCTCAAAACCCTTGAAAACATTACCAGATGAACTATAAGAGATTAATGAATAAATAGAACATAATTCATGTAACAAAAATCAAACTTAACGTAATAACGATTTACTTGATAAAGAAATATACGAATTATATATTGGTTATAGTTCTCAAAAATAAAAGAGAGAAAAAAAAAATAATAAAGACAGCACTTCTAAGCGCAAAGTTTAAATCTAAATTCCTATTGTCCAATCTAATTATAAATAATAATTAGAAAAAAACATGTTGATATAAGAAAATAGTGATTCATAATAAAATACAAATTCTAATAGTACAAATGAAACTATAAAAAACTCTTAGTTTTCAAATTGTCAATTATAAATATAATGTCCTCTTATAAGTCCTTCACTTCCCTAGAGTGAAGATTCGATTAATAATAGATAAGATAATAAACTTTAATAAAAATTTCATTAATCCTCCTCATAAAATTTAATTGATTCTCCAAGAAAACAACTCAAGAATGTTTCCTCTTATTCTAACTTGTTGGATTAAAACATTTATTCTAATAGGCCTTTGAACAGGAACATTAATTTATCAATATAAAAAATAAGAACAGCTACTTCTGTTAGTAAGTTTAAAGATTAAGAATAGTAAGTCAAAATAAAAGAATAATTAGCATCGTATTAAGCTAATGAGTCTTTATCAGCTACAATATAACCTACATATAAGTTTTTGGTGTTTTTAAATCAATCTCTAAAAAACTTTGATTAAATTAATACTGAAGAGAAATAAAAATGTTATTTTTTACTTAGAAAATTATTGGCATTAAAGGCAAATGCTATTAAAAGGTTTTGTCCTCTCATTATTTAAGAAACCTTATCTCAATGGATTGAAAGCTTTCAGTAATATTATGAAAAAGTAGTCCCTGTATTTTATACCAATTAAGATAGAAAATTTAATTAATATTTCAATAATGATTTAGAATAATTTACAAAGGGATTTTCGAAACAATTATATTAGAATCTACTAAATGTGAATTCATAATTACATTCAAAAGATCTTCAAGTAATTTAAGAAGTAATAAATGATAACCTAAAATAATTTAATGATCCTATCTTATTTGCGAGAAGATGGGAAAATGGTTAATTGTGAAAGTTAGATTTATTTTCTGTATGAATAATTATAAACTTTTTCTTTAATAAATAAATTAGCTTAAATTTATATTGAATGACTGATAACCAATTTGATAATTAGAATGAATTTGATGAAATGGTAAACTTCAACTTTGTGATTCGTAAGAAAACCATTAATACTAGATATTCATTTAAAAAAGAGAAGCGCTAGAAAAACATAAACAATAATAGTGGGTATTCCAGAGGAATTTGATTTAAATAAAATTATTAGATTTTGGAAAAAGGTATTGTTTAATCTTATAATCAAGCAATTCAATTGTACTGGTGGTATAATTTCAAAAGATGAAGATTATGGAGATTAAGTAACAATTAGATTAACGGGAGATAATAGATAATAAATTGCCAAATTTTTAGTGGAAGAAGGAATAGCATTATAGGATAACATAAAAGTTCATGGTATTTGATATATAAAATAATATGTAAAATCTATTATTTTATTGCTTCCAAAAACCCCAAAAATGAACAATTTTGATGTTTCTAAGAGTGCAGATTATCTTTTAGGTATTTCTGAAAATTCTAATTTGCAATATCTTTTATAAATACTTTTTATAAGTAAAGAATGTTTGAAATTACAAATAAGTTTTTGACAATCAAAAATACTTAATTCATTTAATTGAAAGAATAAAGTCTAAATCATATATTATTGAAGAAATAATGTAAAAAATTAAATAATAATTTTTTTATTTATTATTTTCTACTAAAAGGATTATAATATAGATGATGAAAAATTAAAAATCTTAAGACAGAATATCATTCAATGTTAATTGAGTGAATCTATTTAAGTAGAGCATAAAATAATCTTATGAATCTATCATTAAATTACTGATTGATGTTTAAGTAATTTCGACAATTTAATGCTAACAAACTTATTGAAAATTACGTCCATAGATTATTAGGATTTGATTTTCATATATTAAAATTAATTAAGAATTGTCATTAATTAATTTAATATCTAAAATAAATTGATTGCTTTTATAAAGATTGTATTAAAGTTAATTCATTTCTTGAAACAATAAGATTGTTTATTTACTTTATTTGAAAAATATAGTTAAAGATTGGAACCATAAAAATAATAATAGGAAGACAAAAAAGAAAAAAAAATTAAAATAAATTTAATAATAATTATGATGGGGAGCTTACTTTATTAGTAATTTACAATCACTTTAAATGTAAAAATAATAAAAAATTTTTAAAATTTGAAAAAATGATAGTGAAGGGATAAAATGGATTGAAAGTTTATAACAAAAATTAGTATTATAAAAGCTATACATATATATATTGTCACAACAATACTATGCAGAAAATCTTTTGTATAAAGAACGTTTGGTCAAAATTTATATGAAAAAGGTTCATATCCCAAAATTCTTCTTCAAGTAAAAAAAAAATCCAACAAACTTCTTTAAATCTTGTTTCCGTTTTTATTAATTCTCTCACATATTCTTTGTATATTGAATTGATCAAGATTAACCAAGATTTGACCCTTTAAAATTATCTTGCTCTTCCATTCAAACTAATTAAAAGTAAATATAAAAAAATACACTATTATAGAAAACATTTTATAATATTTTTACTCATCATATTTAATAATAAATAATATTATGTTAAATAAACTTTGCACTCATATAAACCTTTCTGGTTTTGGCGAATGGGGAAAGACAGAAAGAAATCCAAGTGCACTTTTAATTCAATAATTGTCTCCCTAATAATAGGATGATTTTAACATTTAATCCATTAAAACTCTTAAAGTAACTAAGGAGGCATGTGATGATTATTTAAGCTAAATCAATCATAAAAATGCTATTAATATCCATCTTGGATTATCTCATGAACTTTAAAATTATTAATTTGAAATATGTGCTTATAATAAATTAGATTATCTAATAAGTGATTTTAATGGATGTAAAATAAGAAGAGTAAAAATTGATTAAGATTTCGATATGGATGATTAGATAAAATCTTCGTTAAACATTGATTTACTTATATCTTAACTATAAAAGTCAGGACATTAAGTTAAGAAGTCTTATGATCCAGATCGATTTCTTTGCAATTATTTATATTATCAATCATTAAAATAGAATCCTCAAACTTTATTTGTACATATTCCACTCTATGAAACTATATAAGAAGAAAAATAAATTTAATTTTTGCTTGATCTACTCTCTGTTTTAAAAGAATAATATTAAATTAAATGAGCTTACATTAAATTAAAAAAATATTATATTATATCTTATTTAAAATCTATAATCCATATGCTAAAATAAGTTATCACATTTTTTCAATTCTTCTCAAGATTATTTTCTTATGCTTCAATTTCATTTAAATTTTAAACCTACTATTCTTATTCTTATTCTTATTCTATTTCTTAATCATCTTATTATCTAGCTGCAATTTGTTCCTCCAAATTAATAATAGTCTCAATTTTATTCTCTTCTTCTAATCTCTACTTGTTCTCCTCATTTTCTTCTTAACCTTAGGGAATATTTTTCATACTTTCTTCATTTTTCTCTTAAATTTGATTTTCTTGTAATTAAATTAAATTTTCCTTATTTTATTAATCATTTTCTTCTTCTCTATCAATTGCATTAATCTATGGTAAATCGCCTAACATTTGGTTTTCATTTTTATCATTCTCATTATTATCAATTTATTTTTAGACCTCATTTATTTCTTAATCTTCATTTTATTTTTGTCTTCCAATTTCTTTATTAAATTCTTATTATTCATCTAAAGGAATTGGTTCATTTATTTCTTATTCAATTTCTATTTCTTAGTTTTTTTATATCTAAGGTTCTTAGATATTTTCAATAATTTCTTTTTGATTACAATTATCATCTTGTGCATTTTAATCTTAACAATTTTATACTTCAAGATTTTATTATTTTTATATTTAATCTGTTTAGTGCTGATTCTCATTTTAAATAATCAATTTATTATTTTATTCAATTTCAAAATTTTCATTGATTTATACACTTAAATTTGTATTTTCTTTCTTATCATCTTGCTCATTTATTAGTTCGTGCTATTCTGGCTATAAATCTTCTTTTTCTATTTATTTTGGTACTTAAATAAATCCTAAATCCTCTTCAATCTTATTTTCTTAATCAAATTACAAAATTAACTATTCTGCCTTTTCAGGAGTATATATATGTTCATTTTGAATTTGAATATCTTGTTATTATTATAAAAATTCTCCTTAAATGAGATTAGAATCAATTTAATTTTTTTCATTTTCTATTTATTATTAAGGAGTTTCTAAATTAGAATTATCCTGTTCGATAGTTTATAAATTACCAACTACTAGTTAATCCTCTTATTATAAATTATTATTTTTGATTTTTTGATTTTATTGAATGTTGTTATCTTGAATGTCTGATTCATCTTCTTAATCAGATATTTAATTATTTATTAAGAGTCTCTCTTTATTTTTTTCTTCAATTTTCTCTTTTTGTAATTTTACTCTTTTGGAAAGTTCCAATTCAAATTCTTCTCTCTCAAGCTGAAGTTCTTGTAAATCAAATCTTTTTCTTTTTACAAGTTATTCTTGGCATCCGTTCATAAATGCCTTAGCTTTCTAAAGTTCTGCCTGTCTTAACAAATTTATTTAAATTATTTCCTCACTTTATTAAATAAGAGTTTTTCTGACAATGTCTTAATCAGTTTCATGAATATTTTCTTTAATATCAAATTTGTTTTAAATACTTTAATCTCTTAATTACTATAAAACAATTAAATAACCATATTTAATATTTTTACCTTCATTAACCCATTTACAAAAATATCTATGTTCATAAAATACATCAAAATCTTCTTCTTAAATTTCACATTTTCTCCCGCAATATTTGCACAATAAAAGTTGGTCATGTTTTATCCAACCAAAAATTGCCAATACTTACTTTGAATTTTGAACCAGAAAGTGAAAATTATTTGGTACTTTATCTAAATAAGTCTTTTTCACTTCCATAGTCTCCTTCCAAGATGCAAGACATTCATCATAATATGCCATACCATATGAATGTAAAAATTCTTAGGTTATTTTAAAATTAATCGCCATTGCTTGACAATCTGATTCATGTAACTTTAAAGCCCTCTCTAAAATTACATCCCCAGGTAACTTTAAGTCATCAATTATTAATTTTTATTAACAACTATAACATTATAGATAATCTTCATGACAAAAATATCCCATTTAAGCCATTTTTGAGGGCTTTAGTTTTGAATCTCTATATGGCCAATTCAGAAAGTCATAAGTTGATAATCTTTCACAATACTCATCGAAATATTATTTATACATTTATAATAAAAATAAATAAATGGGATAAATATAAATATGAAATATTATCTTTTATTAGAATAATTTAGGATTTTGATAAATGAATAGAAATAAACTAATTTTTGATGTTATTTTTTTAATTATGAATGAATTTAACTATGACTATGATTAATGATAAATGTTTTAAATAAACTAGAATCAAAAATTAAATAAAAGTATGTAAACAACTTTGATAGTGTATATATTAAAATAGTTTGAAAGAATTTGAATGATTTAGATGATAAGGTAAGATAATCAAATGTAATGAGAAGTGAATTGAATTTAATTAATATTAATATATAAAATAATGGAAGTCAAATATCGTCCACCACTTAATGATGTGTATGATAATTATTGTATGATGTTAGTAATGAATGCAATTGGTTAGAAAAAAACTTTATTTCATGTTTGAAAGAGAAGAGCGTAAAGGATGACCTTCCAAAAAGAGTGTGCAAAGTTGAGAATGTATGGATAAATAATATTAAAATAAGATTCTTTGGTTTTTTTTAGAATGTCCTGAAAGATCTGGACCTTATGAAGATACAGATTAATTAAGAAAAATTTATATAAAGCAAAAACTAACGGATTTGAATCCAACAGTGCCTGAGCCAAGAAAAAGAAAATGAGAGTGCATTTTCATAATATTAATAAAAATAATAATAAAAATAATTATGAAGCAATCTCTAGAAAATCATAAAACTTTAGATTGGAGCAAAGATGAGAATTCTTCTAATGAAATTTTGCCATCATTATCATTATCGCATTCTTTTAAAATTTGTATCCAAATCTGGTTAAATAACATAAAAATACCTCATCATCAATGTCCCCCATAACATTTTGTAGTTCTGCTTTGGAAATATAATTATCCCCATCTAGATCGATAACTTTAAAAGCTTATTCCATTTTTTAAACAGATAGAAACTTTTCTTAATTCATGGCAGCTATAAGAAACTCTAAGAATAAAGAAGTAAATGATACCAGTAAAATCAACTTCTCCCGAACGATTGATATCTACTAATTCCATTATATGATCTACTTAAATGATAGCTAATTCTTAATTATTAGTAACTTAAGTATAACCATCAATTAATTCTTATCTTGACAATTTGCCATCTCCATTTTTATCAATAGCTTTAAATGTTTTATTTAATTCATCCTATTCTTATTAAGTAATAATTTGAGTAGCCATAAAAGTTAAGACTGCTTATTTGAATTTACTTTTAGCATGAAATTATTATAAATTTTGTAATGCCTTTTGATTGATAACATTAGAAGGAGCATTATTTTAAATCCATTTATCATTATAAGCATCTTAAGCACTCAAACGTTTAGCTGGATTAGGATTAAGCATATTTTTAATAAGATTTTATGCATCTTAACTAATATGAGACCAATCTTCATGATCAAATTTTAATTGAGCTGCTTTAACTCTTTTAAGAATTTCAGATTCACTTCTACCAGAGAATGGAGGATATCCACATAATAATATGTAAAGTATAATCCCACAGGACCAAACATCACATTTTTCATTATAATTTTCTAATAGAACTTCAGGTGCAATATAATAAGGTGTTCCTAATCTTTTAGTCATTCTTTTTCCATTTTCAAATTTTCTAGAAGTTCCAAAGTCGATTACTTTAAGATCTGCATCAGGTGAATCAGATACAAAAAGTAGATTCTCTGGTTTTAAATCTCTATGCACAATCTTCTGGTTATGACAATACCAAACAGCACTTAGTATTTATCTCATTAGTTCTGCAGCCTTCTTTTCACTAAAGAAGTTCATACTCTTTATTCGATCAAATAGTTCTCCACCAGAACAATACCTATCCTCAATGAATTTAGTACTTACTCCGTTACCAAATAGTAATTTTTATCATCTTCGAATAATTCATACAATTTTACAATGTGTGGATGGTCTAAATTCTTCAATATATTCATTTCCGAAAACAATTTCTCTTTATCTTCTTTTAAAATAGACGTCTTTTTCAGCTATTTCATAGCACGATCTAATTTTGTCTTTTTGTGTGTCACTTTCCATACTTTTCCAAATGCTCCTTCTCCCAATACTTTGCCAGTAATGTAATGATCTGATATTTACCCTTTTTTCAATTAAACAAAGATATCAATATTAATATGCAACTTTTAATCCATTTCTAATATTAACTAATTTCATATATACTCTATAATGATTGCTATTCAAGAATTTTCTTTCGATCAGTGTCTGAATTCTATCGTTCCAATAATTATTCCAATTCTTTTGAAACTTTCATTGAGACTTTCTTTGGTTCTTCATAAACTTCCTTTCCATCATCTGATTAGTTTTATTTCAATCCTAAACCAAAAGTTTATGCAGGTATATATGCTTAACGTTTGCTTGCTGTAGTTTATTTAACAACTCTCTTTTAAGAACCTTAATCATTATCTCCAAAAGCTGCTGATTGAACTGATAGTTCTATTAAATCAATTCAATAATTATTCATACCATCTTAAGTTTGTAAATTTGATTTACAACAAGTTGCTCCCATTATTAAATTAATTTATTTCTAAAAATCAATATTATACTTCTATCCTAAAATTTACCAAATAACTATAGGCAATCAGAAATTATATACTAATTTTATATTCATCTAAATAAACTAATAAATCAAATAATGAGAAACTCAGAAATCCAAAAATATAATAATCTTTATTATTATAATATTTTCCAAAATGGGATAGACTATTGCAAACAGTATGAAAGAGAATTAAAAAGAAATGTAAAAGGAAATGTAAAAGAAACAATTAGAGATGCTGTTGAAATAAAGATAAACTTAATTAGCTATTTAATTCGCTTCAGGAAAAGAATTTTTTCATTGGTTCGCTTCTTTTTATACCATAATATTTCCATTATGCATTATTGGAGCTTTAAAAAAGAAAGTTAAGAAGATATTAAATTAAATAGAATCCTTTGCCATTGATTCCTTTAGTTCCCTTAGGTTTTGTATGTGGATACCAATATGATATGTATTATGGGTAAATAATTCAAATAAACTAGAAATAAAATGGAGAGAATAAAAAAAGAGGCAGAAAGATTAATTGATTAAGAGCCTTAACTATTTTACTTTCCAAAGAATGCTCATATTGTGTCGTAGGAAGAATACTAAGAAATTTTAGGGATAAATATAAACAAAAAATGATTATTATAAAATAATGTTCAAGTATAAATCATTTTGGAGATTATATGCTTTGAGTGTAGTTTTAAGTGTACCACAGATAGTTACTGGTTATTTATGTGTTCAATATTTGGAGTTTCGTTTATTAGATGATGAATGGTTTTACATAGGATTAGCTTTAAGTTGGTCATTATCACCATTGTTGGTGGAAGTCACTCGATTCAAATTAATTGGAGTAAATATAATTATGATTACTATTGCAATTATTGGTTTATCTACTGAAGATTATTCTTCTGAATAAATTTTTAAAATTTATACTTGCATTATAGGTATTGTAGAAGGATGTGATTGGCTATTAACAACTAGATTTATAAGAGAGTAAGTAGGATGGGAAGAAGAAAGATCGATACATCTCAATAACAATCCTTTAATCTGTTTTTTCTTTGGCACTTTACTAAGAATTAGTTACACTGAAGACTAGAATCCTGAAGACCAACAAATTATTATTAGTATTCTTATAATTTTGACTAATTCTATAAGATTACTTTCCTTCCTTACCGTTTATAATAAATAGAGTCTAGAGTATTACTATAGAAAATTCAAAGAGCTTTAAGGCAGAGTGATTATAAAGAATTAATTTTAAGGAAATATTAAAGATATAGAATACTTTTATATATCTAACAATGAAGAATATAGCAAACTAAATAGAAAGACGAGTACACTATTATAGTAGCAATATCGGAAACGCTTTATTACATGCATATTATTAACACTTTTGTCATGGTTCTAGTTGAACTATCACAATAATTTCAAATAATAGGAAGTAGTATTAGAACATTCATTCTGCTATTTATTTCTTGCCTTTCTAACTATCACTATTTTCTGTTAAATCATTTATAGAAAATTTAGTATAATTTTAATTAAATTCAAGATGTTAGAGATGTAATGATGGTTTTCAATATTATATTGCTAATTTTAAATGCTCTTCAGATAATGAAAAATAGACTAAACTTAATGCATTTTTAACTAATGATCATAAATTGCTCAGTACTTTTCAGTTTCATCATTTATTATATCGGACTAAATTTACTAATAACACAATAACTGCCTTATAAAGGAATAACATATACTCTAAATTTGACTTTTTTGTCATTGTGTGGAGCCTAGTAAATAAATCATTTGATTAAATAAAAGTATGAAAATGAAAATGTTAGAAATTCCACAACGCTACATTATATTTAAATAGTAGCAAATATTTTGTGTTTTCCTATTCTATTAAAATTAAAGAATATCAAGATGCTTAGAGAATATGAAATTAATTAAGTTTATAATTGAAATTCGTTTTATTATTTAAAATAGCATATATAATATTAAAAATAAATGATAAAGTAATCACACTCCACGTATGCTGTAATTTGTTTGGTGGCATTCTCTTAAGGAGTAATTAACCTATCAGAGTTGGCTATTTCGTACTTGCTAAAGGAGGATTACGGAATGAACCCAACAGAAATGACATACATATAAGGCATTATTAGCATACCTTGGGTAATAAAACCACTATGGGGTCTTTGTACAGATTTGCTACCAATTTTCAGTTACCGTAGAAAGAGCTATCTCTTCATATTTGGTCTTATGGGGTTTGTGTTATTTTATGCTCTTTCCATTTATGGGACAAAGGATGCATTAACAGGTGTCACTATTTTATTGAGCATTCAAATTTGTATAGCATTTTGTAATGTTGTTGCAGGTATTACTATTTTACAATTTAGAGGCTCTATTAGTTGAAATTTCGACAGGCAATGATAGTTCAACCAACAATGTCAGTTTATTTTTTGGTTTTAAAGCTTTTGGAACCCTCATGACCAGTTATCTTAGTGGTTATTCTTTAAAATATTTGCAGAAATAATAAAGTATTTACAATAATTATTTTAGTTTTTAGAATTACTTCCATATTTCCTTTGATTATTGCTGGAGCATCTTTATTTTTAAATGAAGGCTAACATAAAGATACAGATATTAAGAAGTAATTATAAGAATTACATCGATTCTTGAACATCAAAGCTATATATAAACCAATTGTATTTATTTTTTGCTTTATGTTGTAACCATCAACTACAACAGCAATGTTTTATTTTTAAACAGTCTATTTACATTACACAGCAGAATTTTTGGGTAAGATTAAATTCCTATTTGCATTGGCAAATATGACAGCTGTAAGTGTATTTAATAGATATTTAAAAAACTATTCATTTAAATCTGTATTCTTTGTAACAACATTAACCTATAGTGTTGTGAATTCATTACAGATTTTGTAAGTCACAAGAAGAAACATAGATTTAGGAATAAGAGACGAGGTATTTTCTCTATGCGATACTTTACTTATGCAATTAGTAGCTGAATTAAATATGCTACCAATTTTAGTGTTAGCATGCAAGATTTGTCCATCTAAAATAGAAGGTACAATGTATGCATTATTAATGTCTACAATTAATCTAGGATAATTGGTAGCTAGATAAATTGGAGGAATTTTGATGTACTTTTTGAGTATAAAATATGATAATTTACAATAGATATAAATGAAGCTTCATTTGAAAATTTGTGGATAATGATAACAATGACAAGTGTGTATATTTTGATATTGTTGCCATTTCTATCAATTATCAAGGAAAAGGAGATGATTGAATCTAAAGATATGTACAACAAACAAGATTTTGATGAACAAAATATTCTTGAAAAAGGATACGAGAGATTAAGTTTATCATTTGTGGATAGTTGATATTTTTATATTACTATATTAATAATGTTTCAGAAGGCACATTCCACTAATTTACTTATTGAAATGGTAGAGCATGTAGATGATGACAAGTTTCTGGATCGTAAATTAGAGCAAGAATGTGATAGTTTTAATGACAAAATAGGTATCATATATTAAAATTTTAGATACAAGAAGTCTAATTTTGAAGACTATAAATATCTTTGGAAAACAAAAATAAAGTTAAGATGCAAGGATAATAGAGATTACGGGAGAGAAGTAGCCATCTTCAATCCCAAATATAGTCAAGAATTAAAAATATAGCATAATCACATTCATTCCTATTGTGCTATTTGACTAATTCAGGTATTTTTTTAATTTGTTTTTCCTCTTAATCACCTTGTCATAATTTATAGAACCATTGAAAGTAGGATTCCTATTTTCTTATGTGGCTCCACTTGTATTTGTAAGCAATATTGATTTTATGAGAGGTCCTTACGCTAACTTTAATTAAAGAGGCATATGATGATTTTAAAAGATTTTTAAGAGATAGGGAGGCTAATTCACAGTTATATAATAAGATTTTATTGAATGATGTGGTTTCAATTAAATCATCATAATTAAGAGTTGGAGATGTTATAGAAGTTCAGGCAAATTAAAGAGTACCAGCTGATTGTGTACTTTTGAGGACTTCAGAAAGGAGTGGTACAGTTTTTATTAGAACTGATCAGTTGGATGGAGAAACTGATTGGAAATTAAGAAGTGGATTAAAGTTAACTGAGTTAGGATAGTTTTTCGGTAGTACTTTGATTGTTGAAGCTCCTAAATTAGATATCTATGATTTTAAAGGTAGGATTAAAATAGATGAAGTAAAAGAATCTATTTCAATTGATAACACATTATGGGCAAATACTTATGTAGCAGCAGGGAAGGTTACTTGTGTTATAATTTATACAGGAAGAGAATGCAGATCATCTATGAATTAAAGAGGAAGTAGATTAAAAATGGGTAGATTAGATAGAGAACTTAATTTTTTGTCAAAAGTATTGTTTTGTTTCATGTGTATATTAGCAGGTGGAATTTTGATACTCACACCTGATAATGATGTCTTCATCAACTTATTATAATTTTTTAGATATGTCTTATTGCTATCTAGTATAATACCTATTTCATTGAGAGTTAATTTAGACTTTTCTAAATTAGTATTTTCAATGAAGATTAATTCTGATAAAGATATAGCCGGGGCTATGGCAAGAAATTCTTAGATTCCTGAAGAATTAGGAAGAGTTCATTATATATTAAGTGATAAGACTGGTACTTTAACTTAGAATTGTATGACATTCAAAAAATTAGCATTAGAAAGCAATACATATACTGCTAAAGATTTGAATGTAGTTAATAAAATATTGAAAAGACAATTTTCAGCTAATCCTGTTCCTTTACATGATATCATTACTGGTAAAACAAAAAGAAATTCAAGAAGAAATAAAGATGTTGTACTGAGAGACTTAATCTAATGTTTGTCTCTATGTCATAATGTTACTCCAATTATAGAAAATGGAGTTAGATCATTTTAGGCAAGTAGTCCTGATGAGATAGCATTGGTTTAAATAAGTGAATAAATGGGAATATAATTGATATCAAGAACTGCTGAATAAATGGTTATCTAAACTCCTAATAAGATTGAAACATTCAAGATTATATAAGAATTTCCTTTTAGCAGTGAAAGAAAACGAATGGGAATAATTGTATAATCAGATTCAATAGATGGTTACTTCTTTTATCTTAAAGGAGCTGATTAAATCATAAAGAATAAAGTTCCTGAAGTTTAAAGAGGATTTTTAATGGATGAAGCAGAAATGCTAAGTAGAGAAGGTTTACGTACACTTGTAATGACATAAAAATACATGACAGTAGACGAATTTAAAAGATGGTAAAGTTAATACGAATTGGCAAAATTATCAATGGAAGAGAGAGAAATAAAGATTAATTAAGTTTTGGAATAATTAGAGTAAGGAATGGAATTTTTAGGGATATCTGGTGTAGAAGATTTGTTATAAGAAGATATAAATCATTGTATTGATTAACTTAGAAATGCTGGTATTAAAATTTGGATGTTAACAGGTGATAAAGTTGAAACAGCTTAATGCATAGGTATATCAGCGGGACTTAAAACACCATAATAAGAAATGTTTACAATAAAGGAAGCTGATTCCTTAAATATTTAGAATCTTTTGAATTAATTTTCAGCTAAACACAATTCAATCTTAGTAATTGATGGTATTTCTTTGAGTCTTGCTTTTAATGATCATTTTGATTAATTTATGTATGTAACAAGTAGAGCACCTTGTGTAATTTGTTGTAGATGTTCACCTACTTAAAAAGCATAAGTTGTTGAAGCTATAAAAAAAAACACAAATTAGGTAACTTTGGCTATAGGAGATGGAGGAAATGATGTTTCTATGATATAGGCAGCAGATATAGGAATAGGAATAGTTGGAAAAGAAGGGAAATAAGCTGCATTAGCAAGTGATTTTTCAATTATGAAATTTAAAGATTTATCGACTCTTTTACTTTGGCATGGAAGATTAGCTTATAAGAGATCTTCAGTAATGGCTTAATTTGTAATGCACAGAGGATTAGTGATATCAATTATCTAGGCTATATTTAGTTTAGTATTTTATGGAATAGCTATTCCAATATATAATGGATATTTGATGTTAGGATATGCAACTGTTTTTACTGTTCTACCAGTCTTTTCTTTGATCTTTGATGAAGACATTACAAAGAATAAAGCTTTAGAGTTTGCTGAACTTTACAAATCTTTATAAAAAGGAAGAGAAGTAACAACTAAAACTTTTTTAATTTGGTTATGGAAAAGTATCTATTAAGGTACTGTGATTATGTCATTATCTTTTTTGTGTTTTTAGAATAATTTTTTGTAACTTGTAACAGTAACATTTACAGCTTTAATAATGATAGAATTACTTAATGTAATTACTGAACTTAAAACTTTTAAATTCATGACTTTAGTTAGCTAATTTATATCAATTAGTTTATATTTGTGTTGCATCTATTTTATGAGAGATATTATTAATTTAAGTGAAATTACAATCAACTTTGTAATAAATGTGGGATTACTTGTACTTGCAAGTTGGTTTCCTTTACATTTAGTTAAATAGGCCATACATAAGTACTACCCTTCAGAGGCTGATAAAATAATGGAAAAAATTAAACATTGAATTTTATAATAAAATATTAATGAAATTGTCACTCCTTCAACTTGAGCGTTCTTATTTGGATGCTCTTTCTGAGTTTGGTGAATAAGCTCCAAAAACACTTCAAGCTCGTGTTACTCTAATAGAAATGCTTAATTAAACAGGTCGCAATTAAATACTATAGAAATAATAAGGAGAGAAATATTTTTAAAGAGCTATAGAATTAGCATCTAATTTAGAAATGGAGGAAATGCTCAATTTAAAATATTCAACTTTTATGTTATATGCAGAATATCTAGAATTTCAACATAATAATAAATAAGCCTACAATCTATTAATTCAATTAATACCTTTACCTAGAACAAATTAAAAAAGCATTATTATGACATAAGTCTAAATTTTAAATCACATCATTGAAAATGGAAGACTTTGTAAAATTACAAATGTTGTAACCTTAAATGAGAAATTGTTGAATCTTATGGAAGAAATTGGATTAACATTTTATCTATATAAATAATTCTCTAAGAAGTTTTAATAAATTCTATTATAAGCACTCTCATTCTAAGCCAAAATTTATCATAAATAAAATAAAGATAAAGAAGCGGCATAATTATATTTTTAATCGTTTCATCTTTCTGAAGAATTACTTGGAATCCATGAGAGAAGAACCTAAGAATATAAAAGATTATATGAATAATTAAGTGATAAAATATCTGTCAATATTGAAATTTAAAGTTAAGATGAAGATGAAGAGGAGTAATCTTAGCAAATATAAGTAACACCAAGAGAAGAAATACTTTAAACTTATCGTCCTAAATTTACATCTTTTAATAATTATATCATCAATGTAGATTCTGCTAGGGCTCCTAAGCCTTCAAAAAAAGTGGATAAATCAAATAAAAAAACAACCATTACTTAATCTTTACATAAACCTACTCTTTAAATTAAAGACACACCCTTATAATCTTTATTCATTATTAAAAACTAATCAAAAACACCTATTAATTCTTAAGCTACAACAAAATTAACTAGTCCTAACAGAGGTACCTCTTTTTTGTCTAAAAAAACAACTGAAAGATTTTATAATAAAATACCTTCTTTAGAATAAAGTGCCTTAAAAGAATTAGATGATGCTCAACCTCCCAATCTAACCAACGAATTACTAATAACTAGACCATAATATGAAATCAAATAATTTAAAAGAATTGAAATTGTTAAGTAACATACCTCAAAACAAACTACATCTACTTATTAAATTTAACTCAATATACCAATTAGGCCTTAAATCAGAGAACCCTCTAGAAATAACATTACTACTAAAATAGATGTTAAAAAAATATCTAATACACCTAGCACATAAAAAATTGAAAGACCATCCTAAAAAAAAATTTTAGCTCCTGAAATATAACCAACTATTTTAAATATCAAACCAATTGCAAGTACTAAAAATTTAAATAATGAAAATGATGAAGATATAACTAAGTAAGAAGATAATAAAAATTTATCATTTGAAAATGATGAACCAATAAAAGTTCACACTCCTGATGATTCGATTATTGCAAAATACTTAGAAACTCATTCAATGGAAAAATTATTAGAGGCTGTTTAAAAGATTAAGGGAAAACTAAAAAAATATGTTCAACACTCTAATAATAAAAGAAAAAAAGAATTATTAGAAAGAAAACATCAGCATTCTCCTAGTAGAGTTACAATCAATAATAAATAGTAACAAATTAGTAGATCCAATACATTAATAGATATTGTTGAAAAAAAGCTTCTTGAAAATGAAGCTAGTAAAATTATATATAAGTTTTTTTAATCAGCCGAAACAATGGAATGGTATCCAGTTCATTTTTATGATAAATTATTTACAGATTTTGAAACATCGAAATGGGTTCTAGAGAATCCTAGAATAAGAGGATAATTTTTAAATAAATCTTCCAAAAATGCCAATTGCCATTAAATAAATATTGAACAAATATAAAACATTCTTTTCAATTTGAAACGTTAATCCGCCCTTCAAGTAATTGGATCGATTGAAATCTCAAATCATGCTCGAAGAGTTTAATTTAGATTTATAATAGACACACTTGTTGAAAATTATAAAGAAATATAGTCTTATGATGACATGATGGATTTATTTGATTAGTTGCTAAATTTATATCTTTATCAAGAAGATTTATTAAATGAATGGTTAGACAATCGAAAAGAGTAAACACTTTACAGAGTTGGTAATAGTAGAACAATGATTCCTGGTTAAAAAAGGCAAACCCAGAATATAGAGTTTACTAAAGAACGTAAAATTGAATTATAAGACAATATGCAATACTATTAATATCTTTTATCAAAAGTTCTTTTTTTAATAAAAAGAAAGAGTTATATTAAGACTATGAATGGTTATAAATTTAAGTCAGTTAATCAGAATCATTAAGTTTCAATTTAATAATATAACAATACAATTTATTAGAAAAAGTTAGAAAGAATAAAAAAGTATTTTCAATATCGAGAATGCAAAATTTAAAATTAAGAGAACAAACCAATTTTGAGTAAGAAAAGGCATCGCAAAAGGAATAAAGATAAGCATCTATTTATAGCCTAAAATAGAAAATAAACAATAATAAGAGAACCAACATCTTCTGTATAAGATGATGAATCATAACAGTAATCATAACGAGGTAGTCCATATGTATCTTTGAAAGATACTGGTATAATAATTGGAAATGAGTTATCATCTCGATAATTAATTTTGGGATCAGAAACTCCCCTCATTTAACCTTAAGTGAAACAAACAGTGTAATCTAACTGGAAAAATATGGCTCATCATGAAGCTCCCCCATAATTAATTGATATATTTACTTTAGAAACATAAGATTATTTGCAAAGATATTTCCCAGAATTCAAATTAAATATACCTCCAGTTGATTACAATCCTGTATCAGCACCAAGTATTAGAAGATTATTGACTGAATCACATTATCATTTTAGGCAGGATATTCCAAGTAAGAATTATATTGAATTGGAATATAAACCAATATATTCAGAAGATTATTTAATATTAACATAAATAGTTAAAATTGATTAGCAATTTTATTATCTTACTTTATCTAATAAATTACAATTAAAATAAGTATTTGGAAGAGATCAATGGGAAGATGAACTTGACATCTAATTGAAATAGTTAATAAATTATTCTGTTGGAAGAACAGGATATATTATTGATTTGATAGAATTACAGAATATCTTATAATAAAAGTTATAAATTGTTAATTGTAAAATTTAACTAAAATAGGATGAGGCTGATAATTCATACTAAAAAAAATTAAATAAGATATTTAGAATAAATAAAAGACTGTATCATACTATTTGTTCCTTAGAATTTATTGAAGAAGGACTTAAAGAAATATCCTAAGAAAGTAATAGTTAATAAGAAGATGGAGATGAAGTTGAATTAATTGAAGAGTAAAAACGAGAACCATTAATTGATATTGTTTTTTTACTTGGAGTCTTAAATAATAATACATTTGTTGAATATTTTAATTATTTACCTCCTTGTTATTTATTAAAAAATTTGAATGGAAAAATTATGCTCTAAGATCCTGATTAACCAAGAAAACCACAATTTCCTTTTAGATTAATATTATCTCATGAAGATATGAATAAACACATCTCCAGAACAAACGAACAAACTATTAATGCCAAAGATATTACATTGTTTCCCCATTATAACTCTGTATTTCTAATTAGATAAAATTAATTTATTTACAAACCAATAGGAGTTAAATTAAGTATTTTATCTAATCTTCAAAATTTACATTAAGATATTAGAAACAATTTTTCAAAAGCACATTTATTAATTTATTATAACAATAATAAAAAAATCTCGTTCTATCTTAATTCTGAATAGACAGAAAAATGGGCTCATTTATTCCAAATTGATGGGTAAATGCGCCAACACATTTTAAATTATAAAGCTAAATTAAAAAAAACACTTGTTGGGTTTTAATTGTATCAAAATGAAAATAGGTTTTCTAACTCAAAAGATTTAAGATTTCTATTAATGCAAAATAAATCTACTTCAGCCAAACAATATTATCTTTAAACAAAAATTAAATCGATTGGGTATGTTTTTGTCTCTGCCAAGATTCATTCCTCGATTATGTTAATTAGTATTACACCAGCTGGTAATAGAACTAAATCTCATCTCTTTATATATTAAGTTAATAATGAAGATCCAATTAAATTAATTTATGTCTTATGTTAATAATTTATTTTAAAAACAACTTAGACATATTCTAAATTAGAATTAATGCCTATCACATAAAATTAAATACGTAAGCAATATCTATTATCAAATAAATATCATGATAATAATATTTTAATAGGCCAAAAATCCTATTCTAGAGTGGTTTATAAATAAATCAAAAAAATTGATAAAAGTTATTTTATAATAACTGTTACCTTAATTAAAAACTATTTTTAGATATACCTCTATAATCAAAGTAATTGCAGAAGATTTTACTTTACATTACACAGATCAGATTTTTTAATAATGAATTAATACTTTTTAGATTCTATATTTCCAGAATAGCCTCATGAAGTGATTGAACAGTTCTTCAGACCTTGGAAATTAAATGAAATATAAAAAATATACTCTTTAATAATCAAAGCTCCTGAAACTTTTCGAAAGAGAACATAAATGTATATCCAATAAATTAGTAATACTAAAAAGAATTTTAAAAGGTCTGCAACATCTAGTTTTTCTAGCCTTAGTGTTATTCAAAGATAATCAACTTTACAACTTAACAATGTTTCTGAAGATTCTAATGAAGATCTCAATAATAAAACCTGCTGGCTATTTGATAAATTATTATTACGTAAAACCAATAGTGTTTTTGAGAAAAAACTATGGATGGAAATAATTAAACAGATGAATATTAATATAAACCTAATAATCTTAGACACTTTTAAGACAGTTTTATCTGAATTAGTTTATTATAATGATAGAACTTGTAATTTTCTGTGTTATATATCATGTCATGAAATTTTATAATCTTTTAGATGGCAACCTATAAGATTAAGAATACATTCATATGAAACTTGTAAAACAGTAGATGTACCAATAAATATAAGAGGAAAATAAGTACATGTTTATAAATTAAGCAATTCTTTATATTTGAATTATCAAATTAACCAAAAAATTCCAAGCAATTAAGAAAATATGAAAGTTAATAAAAATAATGATTCAGAGTATATCAAATATTAATTACTTTATAAAGGAGCATTTATGAAGCATGAGATGCTTTTTATTGCTATATATTTATACAATGATGTATTTCATATTCGAATCTTTAGCTAAACTAATTCTATATCCAGAAAATTGGATGTTAATTAAGTTGAACTAAAAATTCCATACATTAAATAATTATTAATATTGAATCCATAAGAAGCTGGTCGAAGATTAAGTATTATATATAGAAATAACTTCATACATGCTTCATTTTTAAAGTTGTGATGTTTTTTTATGCATATAAATTTCTGTATATAGCAATTAAAAAATTAATATCTAAATTTCAATTAAAATTTAATATAGAGATCTTTAGATAATAAGTAAGCAACTGATTGGAATGTAAGTAAACTAAAATGAGTAGTGTAAATTTTTATTTTTATTTTTAAACGATTCAATTTTTGAGTTACTTTGTCTAATCATTCGGGTTCTTGAATCTTATATAGAAATCTTGTTAATCGTATTAATTTAATAGTTTATCCTTATTGTACCCATCATCAATTCTCTCTAGCAACCATTAGAACAACTATTTTTCAGAACCGAAATCGCTTAGATATGCTAATAAGTATTTTATGCTTTATACTTTGACATAGAGGATGTATAATAATTTCTTATTCAATTATATCAAGACAGACGTTCTTCAAGATAAATTATTTTATATGATTTTAAACGTATTATTAAACAGTTTTTTCATCTAAGTATTGTAATTCGTTTGTAAAACTAACAGAAACATCTTAGTATTCTTCTGTAAAAATAAATATTATTCCTCTTGTATCTATAGTAAGAATTCTTGGGTCATTGTTAGGGAGTTAGTGAAAGTTTGGAGCAGGTTTATTTCTTCTCAAAATTCCATGTTTAATTTAAGGTAAAGTTGTAATTAGTTTATTTATAGAATAAGCAAAATCTACTTTGATAGGATGAGGTGGTAAAATAGAACCTAAAATTGTTTTTAAAATTGATTTAGGCTCTTCTATTACTCCTTTTGATTATAGTTTATTCACATAATAAGAGGATAGAGATCTAAGGCTTAATTAAAAATTTACTAATGAAATCTCATCAATTAAAATAAATTGACATAAGCAGCAAATTTTCTTTCTTAAGAATAATCAATCATAGTAGACTTTTATAATTCATTTGTTTCTTAAGTTAACTAAAAATACTCCTTAAATCCTTATTCTAATATATCTTCCAATATGGTATTTTTATCTATTATTTTCTTTTGAAATTCTTTGAATTTTTTTATTAATTTTTCTAAAATTTCCATAAGATCAATAGAATTTCCAGTATATTTCTAGTAATTATTAGCAGCAATAAATTGTAGAAAAATTGGAAAAGAATAATACTGATTAGGAATTAATTCTTTTTATGATTCCAAAGGAATTATTAATTAAGATTCTAATAATTGTTAACTAACTTATTGAATTTCTAATTAATTTTTACAGGCTTTTTAAAGATAATTTAAGATATCTTGACCTAAGACACCTATATATTCACTAAACTTAAAAAAAAAGCTTACATTTAATTAACAAAACCATGTATTACTTTTCTTAATTATATATTTTGTATCATATCAGCAAAAATAGCCAAATAGTTTTCATCTTATACTTATTCAGTTGTTTCAGGTTATAATTATGGTCCTAATTATAATCGTTTAACAGATATTAAATTAGCTATGGATAATCATAAATAATACTTTCATTTGGATGATCTTTATAAAATTAATTAATTTTTTCTTCAATGCAAGGAATAGCTGCTAAATCTTCAACAGTTGGTCTGTTATTAGGATCTTTTTATAGTGTTTTTTCAATTAGTAATTAAAGATCTGAATCAATAGATGAATCTATATCATAAGGTTTATTTTGTATCATTTCAAAAATAATTTGAATATTATCATGTTAAAATGGTCTTTTTAACATAACTAATTCATATAATGCACATCCTAATGCCCATATATCAGATTTTTTTCCATAAGGTTATCCTCTAATGACTTCAGGTGACATAAAGTAAGGAGTTCCTAAAAAAGTTTATGCAAAATTGGCATGAGTTCCTAATGCTTTAGAGATTCCAAAATCTCCTAATTTAATAACCTATTCTATTAAAATTATAATAAAATTAAAACCTTTATTTAAAAACATATTTTGTGTTTTAATATCTCTATGAAGAATGTTTTTAGAATGCATAAAATGTATTGCAATAACTAATTAAGCCATCCATGCTAATATTTGATCCTTTGGTACTTAAGTTCCTTATCTTGAATATTCAGATATTTTTTCAGTTAAAGATCCTCCTTCTGCATATTCCATTATTATGTTTAATGATTCATTTTCAGTAAAACTTTCATAATATTTAATAATTGTTGGTGCTGTAAGAACTCTGAGTAGACTCACTTCATTTTCGGCATTTTTCCTCTCTTGTTCATTCATAAAAAATGTTGGGATAACCTAAGTTCATTTAAAAATTACTTTCATTGCATATAATTCTTAATCAGTACTTTTTCTAACTAATTCTACAGAGCCAGAAGCACCCTTACCTATATTTCTAACAATTGTATAATATCCTTTTTCATTTTAATTGTTCTATAAAATAAATATATGTTTTTGTACATTTCTTGGCTTAGGCTTTTTTTTTACGAATGTTTAAAGCCCTTAAAGTTTTTTAAAATTGACAGGTTTTACCATATAATCTGATGCTCCAGAATTTAAGCAGGCAGCAACTGTTTCTGTCTCATCATCACCACTCATCATTATCACTGGTACATCTTTCAATTTATCAATACTTGAAGTTCAAATAAAGACTTACGCTTTTATTATTTACAACAGTTCTAAACCAGTCATCTCAGGCAGACCTAAATCTAATAAAATTAAATCAAATTCATTTTCTATTTTGAGTAGTTCATCTCTTGCTTAAATACCTGTTTCACAAGCCACTACTTAATAATTACATAATTGCAATAAATCAATTAAAGCTATTCCTAATAAATAAATTGTAATTTAGACTTTAGATGGGAGCATCCTCCGCAAGAAGAACATTTATTATTTCTTTAGCTTGCTCATCTCTTTTCACCCTTAACATAAAATTATTTAATAATTAATTCAATTCAAGAGTAGAATATACTTGTAAATTGTACATTAATCATTTCAATAAACTGCCAAAATCATTTTAATTTTTGAGATCATCAAGAAACATTATAAGCAATATATAACTAAAATCTTAAGGTTTTTCTGATGTTTAAAATTCAATCTTTTTTATACAACTATTTAAAAAATGTTTGAATAAAAATAAAATAATTAAATTTAGATTATAATTAATGTTAACTTATCAATTAAGGTTTGATTGATTTATCATTTCCTTTATTAAAATTTATTCATTATTCTTAATTGTGACTAATTTTTGTCGATCTAAAAAATTAATTCATTTTTATTTAAGAATTCTAAAATTCATTTTTTTTAAATCCTCTTATTTTTATTAAAATAAGAAACTCATGATAAATTATAATTGAGGTTTTTTTATAGATTAATATAAGGTTTAAAAATCAATAAATGACATGAATACCACATTCAAAATATTATTTACTCAAAATAATTTAATTAGTTAATTTTTATTCAAAAGTTGAAACTAATTGCATAATTCTATTCAATTCAATATAATAAAATTTCTTAATATTCATAAGACAATTATGGTAATATATTTCAGTTGAAGTTATAATTTAATTTGTTTTAAAATCGTAACCTCAAATCTAATAGTATCAATGTAACTACAAGAAAAAAAAAAGCTGAGATTAAATAAAATTATTTTTATAATAAATTTGATTGTAATAATAAGGCATCTAGCTATATTAAATTTAATATTCAATCAATATTTAACTAATACGTTAGGATCTTTAAACAAAATAAAGAATTCTTTTTTGTCAAACTGATTGAGTATTTTTTTATTGTCCTAACCTTCATCGATATTATCCAAAAGCCATTCAATAAGCTTTCTTTAAGATCCAAAATCATAAATGTATTCTTGAATTAATAAATAATTTACTTTATAACAGAGGGTGAATCACAATTTCTTATTCTACTAAGTCAAGTATGACATTTTTTTATATGAATTATTAAGTTTATTTTTAGATGTATTAAGTAATTTATCCTTCATCTAAAAATATTAGCTCTTAAGTAATTAATGATTATTGATCTTAATATTCTTCAATAAATAAAATAAAAATCCCTTTTGTGTCTGATTATAAGACTCTAAGATCATCTTTAGGTAATAAATGATTATTTTCTGCATTTTTATTACTTCTCAAGATTCCATGTTTTATTTATCCTAAAGAAGTAATCTAACCACTTATACAGTAAGAGAAATCTGATGCTTTTGATTGGGGTGATAAAATTGTAGAAATTACAGATTATAATAAAGTGCATGGTTCTTTAATTAATTCTTTTTTCTTTTACAGATTTTCGCAATAATATTATTGTAAGGATCTACATATTTTAAATAAATTACTAATGAAGTCTCATTAATTGATAAATATTAACATAAACTGCCAATTTTTTTTATGGAGAATAATCTATCATAGTTGCTTTCTAGAGCTCTAATGTTTAATGAACTATCTAAAAAAAATCATTAAAGTTTTTATTGAAAGTTTCAAAACTTATTTATTTTTTTTCTGTAATTTTTCTTTAAAACTCTTTAAATTTTCTCATTAGTTTTTTTAGAATAAACATCATATCTTAAGAATTGCTTGTAAATACTTAATAATTATTTGCTGGTATAAATTCTAAAAACATTGGAAAAGTATAATAAGATGTAGAGATAAGTTGTTAGCTATTATTATTATCTAATGGAATAATTAAATGTTATTCAAGTAGAGTTGATACAAATTATTACAATTCAGCTTCATTTTTTTTATCAAAATTTTATTTAAGATAATTAAGAATATCTTATCCTAAGACTCCAATTTATTCACTAAATATATAACTAAGCATAATTACATTTGATTAACAATTCCTATAGTTATTTTTCTAAGTTAAACTTTATCAATCATTGCTGCAACTACTTTCAAACAATTATCTTCTGGGTTTTAAGAATTGCCACCATCATCATTATTTTATCCAAGTTAATATTTTTTGAAAAATATCTAATTTGCTATAAATTTCAAGAGAATTTACTTTCATTAGGATGATCTATATAAAATTAGTTAATTTTTTCTTCAATGCAAGGGAGATTAGCTAAATCTTCTACAAATGGCCTTTTATTAGGGTCTTTTTATAATGTTTTTTCTATTAGTTATTAAAGATCTTAATCAACGGAAGGATCCATATCATAAGGTTTATTTTGTATCATGTCAAATACAATTTGCATAACATCATGTTAAAATGGTCTTTTTAACATAACTAATTCATATAATGCACATCCTAATGCCCAAATATCTGCTTTTTTCCCATATGGTTCACCTCTAATAACTTCTGGAGGCATAAAGTAAGGAGTTCCTAAAAAAGTTTATGCGAAATTTCCATGAGTTCCTAATGCTTTAGAGATTCCAAAATCTCCTAATTTAATAACCTATTCTATTAAAATTATGATAAAATTAAAACCTTTATTCAAAAACATATTTTGTGTTTTAATATCTCTATGAAGAATGTTTTTAGAATGCATAAAATGTATTGCAATAACTAATTAAGCCATCCATGCTAATATTTGATCCTTTGGTATTTTTTAACCTACTTTAGTATGCTCTGAAATTTTTTCATTTAATGATCCTCCTTCTGCATACTCCATTATTATATTTAAAGATTCATTTTCAGCAAAACTTTCATAATATTTTATAATTGTTGGAGCAGTTAAAACTTTTAGTAAACTTACCTCATTTTCAGCATTCTTTTTTTCTTATTCATTCATAAATAAGGTAGGGATAACCTAAGTTCATTTAAAAATTACTTTCATTGCATATAATTCTTAATCAGTACTTTTTCTAACTAGTTGAACACAACCAAAGGCTCCTCTTCCTAAATCTCTTACAACTTCATAAAAGCCTTTTTCATTTGAATTATTCTAATTAGAACAAAAACTTACATTTCTAGTTTTAGGTTTCTTCTTAACTAATTCTTATAAACTTTAAAATTATTTAAAGTTGACAGGCTTAACTAAATAATTAATTGCACCAGCTCCTAGACAAGCAGCAACAATATCAGTTTCTCCATCTCCACTCATCATAATAACAGGGGTTTCTTTGAGTTTGTCAATGCTACAATACATTTAAAAATCTACCTTTTTATAATTTTTAACAAATCAAGTCCTCCCATTTCTGGCATCAGTAAATCTAAAAGAATTAAATCAAACTCGTTCTCATTTTTTAAAAGTTCATCTCTAGCTTCCAAACCATTTTTACAAGCAATCACTTAAAATCCACATAATTATAATAAATCGACTATAGCTACTCCTATCAAAATTTAAAATTTATTTACTTTAGAATAGATCATCTTCTGCTATTAATACATTCATGATCTCTTTATTTGAATCATCTCTCTTTTTTACTCTGCTTTACATAAATGTAAAATAAAATAATTAACTTAAAACGTAAATTGTATATAAGTTAGCTATAAGTCTTTAAATTTATATTCATTTTTATAGATTGAAATTAAGTCCAAAGAGTGATCCATTTAAAAATGAATGTATTAATATCTTTATTTAGATTCAATTCTTTACAGATATAGTAATTTTCTTAAAAATATAATATTGGCAGAGATTAAATATCATTTCTTATTGAAAGATTAGAATTATTTTATTTTTTAGATAATAAATTTAAAAATTCAATATTATTGATGCTATTTTAGACAATTTAGATCATTTATATGAAAAAAAAGTATTTTTAGTTAATAATATTGATTATGTTATCTATTTTTTAAGAGATTCTGCGCATCACTGAATATATATTTCAATAAGTTTTATAATAATTTAATAAGTTACAATCAATTTTATTATATATTTAATATATTTTAGAAAATCTAACAAAATGTTAGCAAAATTATTCAACCTTATTTTTTATGGATTATTATAGTTATGATTATAAAAATTTCTTTTCTTTAAAGATCTTTAATAAAAAATAATTTCAAATATCATTAGAGAAGCTTCGAATTTAACTAACTAGAGTTCAATTTTTTTTTTGCAAGTTCATTTTACAAATCTTTAAATTTCTTTAACATAATCAAAAAATCATTATCAATAGATTCTAAAAAGGATTTTTGTAATATTAGTTCATTTTTTTATTCCTTAACTTAATTTGTTAGCTCTAAAAAATTGGATTCTATTTAGGTTATATTGATCTTAAGCTCATCATTGATTCGTGTTAATTCTGAAGAAATAAAGCTAGTATGTAATTATTTTTTTTTACTTAATCTCTTATCTTTCCTATTATAAGTGAATTAAAAAGTCTCTTTAATTTTCATTTACCTCTTAATTTTTTTATTCCACTTACTTAAATAATTTTTCATATTAGATTAATCTATTCTAAGTATCTTTTAATTAATTGTTTATTTGCTATTCAATTTTCTTTGAAAATTAACCTTCTGTTTATTATATCTTATTCACCTATTCTGTCAATAACTTAAGCTTTTTATTAAATTATTCTATTTTTTAATGTAATTATTCATCATTAGGTTTATTCTTTAAATCAATTTTTGTTATTTCAGTATTAGCTCTTCCTAATTTAGAACGATATTTTAGAGGTTTTTATGAATTTTTCTACAATTAATCTTATTATGGTACTGCTTGAGGTAAACTAATTTCAAAATCAGATTATTAACTAAATTTTCCTAAAACAAATAGAATTTATACTTTATTTAATCTGTTCTGATTATGTATCATCATTTTATTTTTATGCAAATTAATAATCAGCTGGCTTTAACATGTTTATTTAAGAATTAATATATTTAATTTCATCTCTATTATCTAATCTTTATTCTAATTCTAACAATTTATCCTCGATCATTTTTAAAATTTAAGCAAAAATTTTCTTATTAATCACTTCTTGTTGATTATTGGCTTCCAAAAATAATGATAATCCTAAAGGATTGAAATCCATTAATCCACCTGAGTCTTTATTAATTTATTTATTTGGATCTTACTCTTGAATCAATTATTCATCTAATGTATATTCAAACAGATTAAAATTTGTTTATTACATATAATTTATTATGGGAAATTTTATAAACAATAAAGAAGTAATCAAAAGAAATTCTAAAGAAAGTAAAATAAAATAATTAAATTTCTAGTTGCATATAGTTAAGTCTAAGAATCTCCTAATATTGTAATTAAGTAATCTAAAATCGCAAATGTGGAGATAATAAAATTGAGTATGTAAATAGATGAAGTTGAGTTGATTTATGATTCGGTTGATAAAATATAAGTCGATATAAGATATAGTAGTTAAGTTAACTTTTTGTTATCTGTCTATACATTTATAGAAGAGTCTAAATAACATAGGTTTTAATTTTACTAATTCTTTTAAGATTTGAAAGAACCATGTTAGAGAGTACAATTTAGAAGTTCAAATGTCCAAAAGGATTGAATCATCAAATTCCATCGAAATATATTGAATTTATGATTATAGATTTGATCAAATTTAGTAGAATAAGAGCAACTCCTGAAAAATAATATCACAATTTAATATTAGAAATGGTAAGTATATTTTTAATTTAGGTAGAAAAGTCTAACATCTAAAAGTTCTTAGATTATTTATTTTTATAAAATAGATTGTAATTAATAGACCTTTCGATGCGAATTAATAAATACTAAATAACTTATAGTTTACAAAAATTGTATTTATGAAATTCATGAATTATATGGTATCAAAAATACTCCCTTTAATCCACAATGGAATCCAAATACTGTAGAAGATAAAGAATGTGTCATATGCTTTTGCAATATGATTAACACTATTCTTTTACCTTGTAAACATATGTGTACTTGTTCAAACTGTGCTGATTATATACTTCTGAAATAAAAAGTAAAACAATGTCCCTTGTGCAGAATAGATATTGATAATTACTTAACTTTGGAAATTAAAGATAAAGAAAAGTAAGATTTATAATTACGATAATTTTAAGAAGAGTAATAAAAATACCTAGAAGTTAATAAAGAGAAAAAGGAATAGTAAGCTATCAAATAAAGTTAGATAATGGAATAATTACAATCTAAAATACATTAAGATTAGATTAAAAAATTAAATTTTATCAATGATATAAAAGATTTTCAGAGGAATAATTCAAATGAAGAAAACCAAAGTGATTAAATTGAAAAAATAAAAAAATTTAGAGAGCAAGATAATAACAATGAGTCTATGTAACTTAGCTAAGATGATCAGTAAAAGTATTAATCAAAATAAAGAATCAGTAACTATGATTTTTTAAAATAAGAAAGAAGAATTTTAAATAGTTTTTAGTAAGAAAAATAAAACAATTCACAATAAGAATCTAATGAAAGCGAGATTTCACAAAATCATCCTTATATTTAGTCATTAAAAAACTTTGAAAGTTACTAGATTTCTAAACAACAATATTAGTGTATATTTGGAACTAATAAAGCATATCCTACTGTACCTAATTATTTTAAGGAAAGCTAAAATATATATTAATTAATGGCTTATATTGATAATTATGATATGAATGATTAAAGTAATTTATACATTTAATAAATTTAAAATTAATAGAAAGACTTAGAAGAATAATTTCAAATGTAATCATAAGAATTTAAATTTTATTAATAATAATAACATTCACAACAATAATTGGTGAAATATAAAAATTAATAGATATAATTTTGTTAATTACAATAATATAATATTAAATAAGGTGACGAAATCATAAAATAGTTTGAATTAAATGTTATGATTCAATAATTTAATATAGAAAATGATTATAAAAGAATCTAAGAAGCTTAAAACAAATAAGTTTTAGAAGAATTTACTAAAGGTTTATTTGCAACAAGGAATTAATTTGATGATGTAGTCTTAAAAAATAAAATTGAGATAGAAGAAGCATAAAAATAATGTCAAGATGATAATGATTGTAGGTTAGTTTAGGAAGATATTAATAGAGAACAAATAAAGGAATTTACTAGTAGTTCAGAACAATATTTACAGAAAGTAGTTTAGGAAAAGAATGAATCAAATCATAAAGAATAAAATGGCTGTTAAATTTCATTAATAGTTTTTGATTGATAATGATTTTATTTTGATATCAATGACACACTCATATTTCAACTGGATCTTATTATTAAGGTTCTTCATCATCATCATAAATTTCAAGGAATCCTTCTTATCTTTATGGAATAGCTTTCTTTCCTTATTAGGGGAAACAGAAGCATTGAGTAGTTGGTAAAACAAATTATTTATCTTACATCAATTACTTTCTTTTTTCTAATTCTTCAACAACATTATCAATATTAGTTAAAGAGACATTTTCATATTGATCTCCAGCTAAACAGATGGGACTAATAAATAAAGAGAAACTAATACTCTTTCATAGGAGTGCAATCTTCTACTGGTTTAGGAGTTGGTTAATAAGTAATATCACAAGCGAAAAGATTTAATCCTTGGATAAATCCTTAGAAAGCATCGGTTAATTAATCCTTTCCATAGTAAAGAATGAGAGAAGGAGCAACATAATGATTGACATTCTTGAAAGATAAAGCTCCTTTTCCTTATGAATGTTCAACAATGACATCTGCTTATCTACTCTTTCTAGAATAAGCAAAATAGATATGGAACCAATCTTTGACAAAAGTCTTTCCTTCAACAATTTATCTAACTTCTGGATTACCAGATCTATAATTAAATATTATATAAATACCCTAATTAATCAGTATATGTATAAGTATAGAAATTAAGAGTTTGATCTCTGGTATCAAAGTAACAACTAAGAGTATCATAATTGAGTGCATCTTCACCAGCAAGAGTAGATGTTAATCTGAATAATAATTAATCTTTTTCTGATGTCTTACCATTCCATTTAAACCATCCTTAAACAGAGTATTATTCAGTAGTTCCAAATCTATCACCTGAATTAACTGGATTACCATTAAATTATGAAGCTTTGGCTGATACTGCTCTAATCAATCCTTTACTTGAACAATCCTTTTAAGGTTGAGGATTACAGCTTAAACAGAAAGGATTATATTCTTCTAATGTATCAAAGAATGATCCTGATCCTAATCTTAAAACAGGTCTGTGGAATTAACCATTAAATGAATAATATCTATTTTATGGATCTTTACCACCAACTTAGAATAATAATTATTCCATTCTTGGATGTGTAACTTTAGCTTCTAAAGTAATTGGTGCTTAATTCTCAATCTAATAGAATGCAATAGCTTTATATCTAGTATAACTGAAATAAGTATAAATCCAAACACCTTCAATATCTCCAAATGGTTAAGCTAATTCTACTAATTTTTTAGCTTTATTATTAGCAGTAATATAAAAGAAACCAACTTTTCCTTAGAAAATAGTTAATAATCCGTCTCTAATATCTTTAGGCGTTTCTTTTTTATTTGTAAGTCTAGCAATCAATGACCAATCTGGTCTTCCATTTTCATATTATCCACCTGCTAATCCAGTATATCTAAACCAAAATCCATAACCATATTAAGTTGTATCTTTCAAATCATCTTTATGTAATTCAACATGAACAACTGGACCTTTGTCATATTTTGCATTAATAATTCTATTTGGTCCTTCAACACATCTCTTTTTTGGAGGTGGTGGTGTTGGAATTGGTCTTAATGCTGGTTTAACATTTGTTAAGTAAGATCCTTTACAGAAAAATACTTCAAGATAAGCCATGAATCCACTATAAACTGGGAATTGTCTTTCTCTTCCAAAATAGAAATAATGTTTTGGTGATACAAAATGATTAACATTAACAAAACTCAAAGATTTAGCATGAACATGTTTGAATAATACTTAAGCATATGCCTTTCTTTAATCTCTACTATAACCAAAGTATACAAAATGCCAATGTAAATGTTAATCTTAATGTTAAACATATTGATGAGCATTTGGATTACCAGATCCTTTCATATTTGCATAAGAATATGTAGAAAAATGAATTTATCCTCCTTTTGGTTTACCTAACCAAGCAGCTAATACTCTCTCTCCTAATAAAATTTATTATTTTCTTAAAGGTGTATTTGATAATCTAAACATTGTATGCCAGTTCTCTTACAAATCTGTCTCTTCCCATTTAAACCAACCTTAAACTGCATATTCATCTGGTAATAATAAATCAATAAATTCTTATGTTGGTGGTGCAGCATTATCTTCAATATCAACATACTTTGATTCTCTAACGAATTAATATGGAACTAATTTTTATGGAGCAACATATGGTTAAGGATTGCATGAAATAGCAAATTATAAAAATTCTTATTCATTGATTAAATATGTTCCCAAACCAATTGCTAATACTGGTCTACTAATTTATCCATTGAATCCTGGGAAATCAAAATATTATCCTCCCAAAACAAATCTTAAATATTAAGGAGTTCCTTAAGATGCTGGTAATGTAACTTATTTAACTAATTGACTATTTGATTGTTTATAGAAACCAATGGCTTATTATTGATATGCTGAGTAACTGTAATAAACGTATGTCCAAACAGCTTCAATATCACCAAATACTATAGCAGCCGTTGCCTCTTTTCTTTCAGGTTTATCATGTTAAGCACTGAAAATGTATTATTCTTAAGTTTAGAATATAGTCAATAATCTATCTCCAATCTTATCATCTCCATCTTATTAATTCTTAGTCAATTTAGCTACAAAGTAAGATTAGTCGGTCAAACCAGTTTACAATTATTCTGGATATAATGTTAAAAATCTCATCCAAAAACCAAAACCATATTCATTAACATCTTTCAATTTCTTTACTTCTGTTGAAACTGTAGGTTAATCAGCAGAGATTGAACTTGTTAATACTATATCTGATCCTACTACACATTTTGGTTATCTTTATTATGGGAAAGGAATGTCACAACCAACCTCTTCTGGAACTGGATGATCATTTTATCTATAATTTCCAGGTACAACTCTTTATTTTGATACTTTTCTCTATTAGTATCTATCACCACATTTATCTTTTATAGCAATAATTCTCTCCTTTTATTCTTTAATTCTTTATTATGTTTAAGGTTATGGTTATTGTTATCTTGATTATGGTTATGGTTATGTTGTTTATTAATATTGATTTTAGACTCTAGAAATTTATTTCAATAAATATTCAATCAATCCATATAACATAGCCAACTATGATCTTTTTTATTCAAAGGATCCTATAATGAGATTAAAACACAATCATACTTGATTCAATTACTCTTCTAATTTGATCAGATATTTATCTGCTTTATTCAAATAAGAATTTTCTTTATGGTCCATTGTATTAATTCTGAATTGTTTATAGTTGTTCATCCATTTATTCTAATTACTCATCATATTATTAGTCTTCCATCAAATCATTTGGATTTGCTAACTTTTTGGCCAAAATTATTACCTGATATCATTTCATTAGTATAATCAGAAAGTTCTTGGAGTTGCCTCATTTCTGCATCTAATTATCCTTATTATAACAATTCAATTATTTCACTCCATGAATCAAAGTCTTAAAGCATTTATACAAAATCAGTATTCTCACAGTCAACTTCACTTTATTAATCCAGAAGTGTTGTTAAATCATAATGCAATGCTTACACAAAGCAAACTAAACAGTTTTTAAAGATATCGTACCTTGCATTATAATTACACCTAATAAAACTAGATGTTTTGTTCTCATTCTATCCGTTTTAAAAAAAATAATTATTAATTATAAAACCACATTAATATTTCATTATAAACTGAGTGATTGTATTTTCACCCACTCTATGTATAAGATTATTAGACTTTCAATTTTTGGCATAATATGACTCTAAATAGGCTTATTTTTCATATTTATGAGTTATGGCAAGAGTGTAAACTTAATAATCATTTGCATAAACACTGTATATTTTATTATTTGCGTATCTTCATTTGAAAAGTATTCAATTATCTAATTTAGGATATGGAGTTATAACTCATCTTTTTTCTAGACAAATATAAATCAAATAAACTCTTCTAATTAGAAAAAAATATTATGGATATTAATTTTTATTAAAAGATCCTGATTGGAGATTGAAGAATCCTAATGAGATGATGAAAGATATACCTATTTATGAAGATTAACTTTATAAAAATGATAACCTTTTGCATTAATTTAATAATCTTAACTTATAGGATTTGGAAGACATTTTGGGTCAATTATGGAAACAACAAAAACAGTATTAATTATAAAGAAGATTTTGAAATGTTATATTGAAACAAAGTAATTAGTTAAAAAATTAGTTCTAACAATTACTATACTTTTTTTTTTAATTGCTGAAATCCCATTTAATATTTATACATTGTTCGACAATTAGAATAAAAAGCCTATATAATCATATTTTTGATATATCATTTTTAGAAAATTTATTAAAAATAAAAATTCCAGCTTCAAATTTTAAAATAATTTAAGATTTCATTTAACTTTTTAGTCAATTTTAAAATTAATCAATAATAATAAGCAAATCAAATAAGTATGATATTAGAGTATTTAAAATAAGTAGAATTTTAGATATACTAAAATTTTATTGATATACTAGCAAAAATACATTAATATAAAATTTTATTAATTATCCTTTTTTTTAGACTATTTTCATTGAATTATAGCTTAACGCATTAAAAAATTGTTTTAAAAAGAATTAATTTTAAATTAAAAAAATATTAATTATTATTTTTACTATTAATTTTGCCGTGGTCAAAGCTATAAATAATCTTGAAAAAGTATATATGGCAAAAATTAAAATTGAAGCATTTTTTTTATTAATATATTTATCATCAAATGAAATTATTATTAAAACAAAAGTTTTATAAGGATTTTCTCTTAGTGATAACTCGAGAGAATTGTTAACACATCTAAAAAAAATGAGTGAAACTAATGTGTAGAACTCATTTTTAGATTTCTCTTAAATTGAATAAGAATCAGAGCCTCGAAAATTCTAAAAGATTAAAAAAAACCCTAAAGTAAATACATTTATTCATTTAAAACCAGCTTTAAAACAAGAGGAAAACAAGTCTTGTTAAGAGATTATTATTTAGAATGTTCCTCATTCGAAATTATTAGAATTTTTAGAGATTCATCATTATAGTTATATGTATGAATATGTCAAGTGCTAGAATAAACGATTTAACAATGTATATTAATTATTGAAATTAGGCTATTAAGAGTCCATAGAAATCCCAAATCTACAACTATTAAATGAAAGAAATTAATGATGAAAATTATAATTAGAGATCTATAGAAAATTTAGTTGATTAATTGTAAATTACAAACTAATAGGATTTTCATAAAATAATTAATGGAAATCTAATTAAAGTTTATGATCTAGAGGAAATAAAGTATACGGAATCTAAGTTATGAATTTTTTCAGATTTTAAAAATTGAAAGTTTAGTTTGATTTAAATTTTATTAATATATAAAAAGAGAAAACCAGTGTTAGCAGTTTTGAAAATCCATTTTTCTTTTTATATAGAGAAATAACTTAATTTATAATATTATTACTTATTAAGTTTTTCATATAGTAGAGAAAATATTTATGCTTGTATTAGTATTAGAATAATTGCTTAGTCTGTATTTTATAATTATTTATTATTGCTAAGACGAAATAAGTTGTGAATTTTTATGAGACTGATAATTTATGTTTACTTAAAGGGCAAGCTTTTTATATAACTTTTATTTAATAAATAATGAAAGTGAATAATTTTTATTTCTAAATATAAAAGTGAGCTCATAAAAATAATTATATACTATGTCATAATTTTCTTACTTCTTATAAGTAATTTTAAAAGTCATTTTATGATGAGATTAAATTTTCTATATTACTTTTGATTATTTTCGATCTTTTTTAGAAGAGTACTTGCTTTTTTTCATTAGTTTGTTTGAAATTTTGATATTGTGTAATCAATCTCTTAAACTAAATATTAATGCTTTTTACACTTTTTATTAGTCAATAATTTAAGCTTTATTTTCTTCTAATAATTCAATTGCTTCATCAAGTAATTCAATTAGTGACAATTCTCTCCAACTATTTAAAGGAACATGTATTGATCTGTCAATTTTTTTAGTCTTTATTTCAGTAAAGTAAATAGATCTATTTGACTCTTTTGAAGAGAATTCCAATTAGAAGTTAAAAGATTTTCCAAAACTTGATGATCTTTTAGGGGCTGATTAATTCATGTTTAACAGATAAATTTTTAAATAGAAAACAATATATATTGTAAAATTGGAATCGTGATAAAATAAATATATGTTTGATATTTTAATAATGGATATAAAAGGAAAAATAAGTAATTATAAATTTGTGAAAACTGAAACTTTAAAAATAACCTCATAATTTATTAATATTAAAATGAACTGATAAATAAATTATTTTTAGCTTTATAAATGTTGAGATCTAAAGTTGCTACAATAATATACATCTAAAATATATTAAAAAACCAATAAAATTTTATTTTATTTAATAACTTGATAAAAAGTTATGAAAAATTAATTCTTAAAATTTATCATAGAATTTTCATTTAAAAGTGTTGTTCAGTTAAAAATTTTCATGGTCCTTGTAATCATAAATTCTTATCTTTAAATCAATAGAAAATGTGTAATCATTAAATTTGGAATTAAAAATTAGAAATATATAATCTAAAAAATAGTTATAAATTATTTGTTATTTTTTTTTATAATCTCTTACATTATGATTAGCCAAATTTTGATAATCATAAGCTAAATAACAATCTTAATTTATCTGTTTAATTTAGTATTAATTGTACTTGATTAATTTGATCTATTTTGGAATGAAATTTATTTTTATCATTCATTTTAATCATTTCAATATTTTACCTAAAATTTAATTTGGAGATTGAATTGTGACTAATTATATTAAAGGTTATCTATTTTTTTATCTGATCAAATTAAATAAAAAATAATTCAGCTTAAATATAGAGTTTAATTTTAGCAATATGTTTGGCTATATATTTAATAAATAAGAAAATTAAAAACTAATTTTGATATTTTTTGATGGTTTATATGATTTTTTGGCTATAAATATTAAGAGATAAAATAAAATTTAGAAGAAATCCAACTATTTTACTTGATTAACAAGATCCAATTGATTATATAAAAAATTGAGAGTAAAAATCATATACTTATTCATTATATTGGTAGTTACTTAGAATTCTTAAATTTAAAAAATTAATTTTTGGAAGGTTACCATTATTATTTTACCTGAAATTGTAAATTTTAATATTTCTAATTTTTTATGTCTTTTTTTTATCCAGAATTTGGTTAATGAAACCAAAATGTTCTAAAATTTAGATCTTAACAATTTTTTTTATTTAAGCTATTTTTTGCAACGATTGAATTTACATAATAATTTAGGTTGATTTTAGAGATTTTATGAGGGGCATTTAATTAATAGGAAAAATTATTATTAAAAATGGATAAAAGTGTTGAATCTCATTTTACATCCGATTTTTGGCGATAAGTGAATCAATAGTATTTTATGGTAGAAACACCGATTTCATTGAATATGTAGAAAAAAATACACAAAAAATGTAGGTGTTAATGTTAGTTTTAGCATCTCATTTTGTAAGTATATAAACTTATGGATTGATAGAAAAAATATTGAAATTTATTAAAAAACATACATATTAGGTTGAGAAATTAAATGACAGCAACATAAGGCTGCATTTAAGTTTATTATTGATGTAAAGAGAAAAATCATTCGAACCATTCTAAGAATTAATAGATGAAATGATCGACAATATTTGTGAACAAGAATTAAGAGAAGGTTTGGAATCAAATAAAGTTTTGCTTAAAAATATCCATCAATTACCGTATGAAAAATAAATGGAAATTTTATAATCAGAAGAATCAATCCTATAAAGTTTGTAGCAAAGAATTGATTGGCCTGATCAATTAAATTAAGTAATAATGGAGATAGAAGATGATTTAATCAAAGTTTAAGACAGAAATAAAAAATAATTAAATAAGTATGTTTTTTTATAGAGTTTTAGTCTAGCAGGACATTTAGAAGAAATCAATAAATATTTATTATATTAATACAATATTAAGTAAATAGGATAATTCGCTTTAAGAATATCTAGGAATAGAATTTAGCATTAAAAATTTGAATTAGAGAATCTATAATAATTAATTATTCATTATTAAGATTATCAAGTAGCAGATTCTATTGGAAAGGTCTTCTATAATTAAAAAAGTATGTAATAATTAATAAATTAGCTAAATTTATGACTGTTACTTTAGACTCGTATCTAAGCAGAACTCCAATGGATTTTAAAATAGATTAATTGTAAAATTTGCAAAGACTTCGAGAAAAAGAATTAGATTTAAACTTTTAATAATAGGACATTTAAGAAGAAATATAAACTCTAATTTAAATCCAAACTGAAATGTGTCATAGTTGTAGATAAATGATAGAAATAACTAATTTATAATAATGTAAATAAAATCATAGAAATATGAATTTCCATAATTATAATGAAGAATTACTGATCTAATAGAGATATTCAATTTCTTAATAATAAATGCGAAAATTTTATATAGATTTATATTCTGCTAACTACATAATAGAAAGTAAATACTATTTATAAATTAAGATAATTAAATTCAGTGTTAAAAATATTTTTGTTTTAAATGCTTGAAATATGAATTTGATTAATATGATATATCAGAACCCAAATGGATTTGTCCTTTATGTAAAGTATGAAAATTATTCTTATCTAAGGGAATATGTTTTTGTATAAGATGTTAACGAAATGATTGCATTTACAAATTGAAAAGAGCATTTATAGAGATTGGAGGTAATCTAGATACTTTATATTCATAATCAACATTTGATACTTTAGTTGAAAATAAAAGGATTTTGATTCAAACTATTCCTTTTGATTTCATTAAAATTTTAAAGATTCAATCAGAAAATGAAAAGACTTTTACTTAAAAAAATTTACGTTAAAAAAAGAATAGGATAAACAAAAAAAAGAAAAGTAGTGAAACTATATTGGTTGGTAACACATAATCTTAATTTATGTATATATCTTCATCATCGATAAAAATTAAGAAAATAAAGGAATATAAGCGACCTATACCAAATGAAAGTACTATATTTGTATAATGATTAATTTTATCTTAAATGATAAAATTATAATATTTAGTAGATTATAAAATATCAATTCAAATTCCTGTTAATAAATTATCTATTTTTTGCATAGATTATTATCCAATTTTGGAAAATTATGAATTATAATATTATTAAGGTATTTCAGTCATACTTTATGAAAAATTTGGGTTATTATATTGTTACATGTATTAAGATGGTTATATTATTATTGGAAGTGGATTCTAAGAATATACTGGTAGTTAATTCTAATATAAGATTGCCGTGCTTTGATTAGTCTACTATAAATAATATTATTGCTCTTAAGGCTAGTTATGGTAATTATGATATTGGCCATAAATATAAGGATCAATATAATTTAAAATTTCCTTTTTCGTATTTGATACTTATTAAATCAATATTTTTACAAATAAATGTAAAATTTAATATTTTAACAGAATAATAAGAATAAATTTATTTAATAGAGAGATTAATAAAATAATGTTAAAGAGAAAAAAATAAAATGTTAAGACGATATCATTACCTCTTATTTTTTAAATAATTATTCCTTTAATTTCTACATTTTCTAAATAAGTTATTAAAAATAAAGAAATTACAAATTATAAGAATCTAAAAATCATATTAAATATTATTATAAACATCTTTCTAATCTAGTCGAAGTATGAATAAAATGCAATTCTAAGATAAAATTAAAAATTACTTTCATATGTTCTTCTTTAGCCTTCTACCTTCATTCTTTAAACAGGATATCATTGAATAATCTAACCATAAGAATTTAGGCCATATAGTTATATTTCCTTCGTATTGTTATATTAATATTTTTGACATTCTACATATCATTTTTGGGAGAATTCCTATGTTCATAATCTACTGAATTCTGTATTTAATTTCTCCTACGATGAATTGAAAGACTTTATCACTAGTCTTTTATATGATTGTATGATCACATCTATGAGAACTTAAAAAAGGAAAAACCCAAAGATTAGTCTATGATACAATGATGTGATTTATATTAAATTATTCTGCTAATTGTTAAATTGGTAGATCAACACTTTTTGATCCAGCCACATATTTAATTTCTCCTACATATATTTCACCTTTATCATTTTTGTAATATAAATGAGAAGCTTCATAAACTCCTGGCATAGAGCAAGAACAACACACAGTTGACCACACTATTACATTAGGTGAAGTAATATNCTTTATGAAAAATTTGGGTTATTATATTGTTACATGTATTAAGATGGTTATATTATTATTGGAAGTGGATTCTAAGAATATACTGGTAGTTAATTCTAATATAAGATTGCCGTGCTTTGATTAGTCTACTATAAATAATATTATTGCTCTTAAGGCTAGTTATGGTAATTATGATATTGGCCATAAATATAAGGATCAATATAATTTAAAATTTCCTTTTTCGTATTTGATACTTATTAAATCAATATTTTTACAAATAAATGTAAAATTTAATATTTTAACAGAATAATAAGAATAAATTTATTTAATAGAGAGATTAATAAAATAATGTTAAAGAGAAAAAAATAAAATGTTAAGACGATATCATTACCTCTTATTTTTTAAATAATTATTCCTTTAATTTCTACATTTTCTAAATAAGTTATTAAAAATAAAGAAATTACAAATTATAAGAATCTAAAAATCATATTAAATATTATTATAAACATCTTTCTAATCTAGTCGAAGTATGAATAAAATGCAATTCTAAGATAAAATTAAAAATTACTTTCATATGTTCTTCTTTAGCCTTCTACCTTCATTCTTTAAACAGGATATCATTGAATAATCTAACCATAAGAATTTAGGCCATATAGTTATATTTCCTTCGTATTGTTATATTAATATTTTTGACATTCTACATATCATTTTTGGGAGAATTCCTATGTTCATAATCTACTGAATTCTGTATTTAATTTCTCCTACGATGAATTGAAAGACTTTATCACTAGTCTTTTATATGATTGTATGATCACATCTATGAGAACTTAAAAAAGGAAAAACCCAAAGATTAGTCTATGATACAATGATGTGATTTATATTAAATTATTCTGCTAATTGTTAAATTGGTAGATCAACACTTTTTGATCCAGCCACATATTTAATTTCTCCTACATATATTTCACCTTTATCATTTTTGTAATATAAATGAGAAGCTTCATAAACTCCTGGCATAGAGCAAGAACAACACACAGTTGACCACACTATTACATTAGGTGAAGTAATATAATTAAGTAAACAATCAAATGATGATCATTCTTTTCCTGTTACCATAAAATTCATAATTTTTCCTGTTTTTTAATATGCTTCCAAAAAAGTAATATCTCCATATGCTTTTTATAAAAACTATTGCATTTATTCTTTTTCTTATATGTAACCCTTAGTTAATAATCTACCAATTTTATCCAGGATATCAAATTAAGATTTTTATTCAAACATAGAGTAATCATAATATTTTGGTTAAAAATAGTTTGTACATCTGTAGCTGTTCCATCCAAACTGACTAATATCGCACCTGCTGAACTGCCAGTCATAACTTTAGGTAAAATCTCTAATTTATCCAAAATATTAGCTACTCAACAAATATATAATCCCATTATTGCACCACCTGAAAATAATATAGCTGTTTATCCTACAGTTTTTTGAAGATCTTTAAAAAATTAAATTTTATTATGGAAATTCTGAGTTATATTAAAATTATAAACATTTTTAGTACTCCTAAGAATATTTTAAGAATTATTTACTTCTTGAAATTCTTCTATTAAGTTCTTTGATTTTGTGAATGCATATGAATATAGTTTTGGATTGAGAATGTTTCCTTTATTTCTGTTTGCATTTTTTCTAAGCAATCGGCATATTAGAGAAATATTTATTTCTTCTTGTGCCTATTTCAATTTTTAATTCAAATTCTTGATATATTTATATTGAAATATACTAATTTCCTCCTTTTGTAACCATTTTTAGATATAATCTTCTAAATCGTGTTTGTTTGCTAATTCTAACCATTTTTCATAAATCTTTTCTATTTCAATACTATTTAAATATTTATATCTTTGATGATTTTTTTTTTCAAACATGGTAATCCATCCAAATCAAAAAGTATTTTATTATTTTAAAAAAATGATGTTCATTATTATTATTTTTGAATTAGGGAATAGTTTATTTTATTTAAAAACTTGAATTATAATATTTGATATGATACTCTTAATAAAAATAAATCTGAAAATTCGTAGTTATTTTAAATCATAGTTTTATATAAATATTGAAGAGTTAAAGGTAAAATAGAGATGAGTGTTAATGAGAATAATGAGATAAATGAAATATTTATTGATATAAAATTAAAACCGATTTAAAATTATTAATTACCCGTTTTTATTATATTAATAAGATGAAATAAATAGTGCTTTTTGCATTGTTGGCATGTGTTGTTCTTACACATAATGATATAAAGCATGTGTAAGAATTGCTTGTAGAACTGAAGGACGAAATTCATGAATAAATCGTAGCTTTAGATGCTGAATGGGTGTTAACATAAAAAGTATTGATTATTAAATATGATAAAGATGAAACAAGCTAGTATTTAGGCATTAAAATAAACAAAAGTAGATTAAGAAGCTGATTGTGAGAGAAGAGATGAGAATGTAATAAATAAGAAAACAGAAATTTAAGAAATGTCAGATTTAATAGCTTGGATCTAACATAGAATTCATGTCAATAAAAATAGAATTCAAACAATAGAAGATCTATAATGCAGACAATCTTTGAACTTTGTTGACACTATGAGAGATGATAAAATTTCATTAACAGTCTCAATATTTGTTAAAGAATAACTTGAAAAAATAGTGTCAGAAGGCACTTCATTTGCATAAAAATCATAAGCTATGAAAAATATACTTTCATTCCTTTAAGACATAAAAGAGTAGAAATATGAATTTTTGGAATTAACAAGGACAATGGAAATTGAGAGAGAAGAAAACCCAAATATGATTGAAACACATATGGGACCTATTGAAATGAAGAAATTCTAAGAGGTTAGACATGAAATCTTAGCAGTATTAGATGAATTAGAAGCTTAAATCAATTCACATATTCCAGTTGCATAAGCTGATATGATTAGAGTTGGATTAGCATATCTTGAATGGAAATAAAGAATTCTTAAAGAAAATGAATTTTTTGAATAAAAGATTGTTGAATTAGGAAAATAATTAGTAAAATTAATTAATCTATAATAAATAGGAACATTTAGATGATTAATTATTAGCTTTAGAATACAGTGCTTAATAATGCAGAGAAAGAGTAACAGATATTGAAAGAGCTATTGAAGTAGCAAAAAATGATAGTGTTTTGGCTTATAAAGATTATGTTGAAGAACATGAAAGATTACTTAAATAATTAGCAATTTTCTCATAATTATATTAATTATATGATAAAGAAATTGATAATAAAACAACTGAAGCAGAAAAAGAAGCTTTGACAGTAAATATTTAATATCATTAAATAGTAATAAAGACATGAACATTAAATGGTTGGTGGAGATTAGAATTCTTTGCCTCCTTAATATAGAGATTAATCAGAAAATGAAGAAGAACCAATTGTTGGAGCAGATGAAAATTCTTTACCTCCTCCAGAACTTGAAGAATAAGAAGAATCAGAAGAATAAGAAGAATCAGAAGAATAAATGATTGTTGGAAATACTGAAGACTCTTTACCTCCTTAATACAGAGATGAAAATGATGATGAAAATGATGTTCCATAACCAGTAGAAGTTCCATAATTAGAAGAAACTGAAGATGAACAATAAGTATTTTCTTTTATATCCATAGTTATTAATTAAAAAAGGTCCTTTGAAATTAAGAGAAATTGACACTGCACCATCATACAAAAGATCCGATTTCATTTTACTTTAAATGAAATAAAAAAAAATAGAATAAGATGAAGTAATTTTATGATGATTTCTAATCGTAATCATTATATAATTTAATTTGAATAATTATCATAGATTTTAGTTTCTTAAAGTGCGCATTTTTATCATCTTATTATGAAACTAAATAATCGTGCTATTATAGTTTCTTCATTAATATAAGAATGAATTAATATTATCAAACTATATAGAATCATAATTAAAAACTAGAGTAATCAACTTCTTTTAAATGGCTTTTTTTAACTTTCTGTAAATGTTAGTTTCATTTAACTTAGTTTTTCTTTTTATTATTAAATCTCTAATCTTAATTCTTCTATTGTTTTGTCAGTATTATCAATTTAAATCACTGTTTTATTTGGTGTTTTTATTCCTGCATTTATACTTGGACTACCAAAACTTTAAGATTTATTGCCTCATAATATTATAATTTTTTACTGAATTATGTAGGTTACTTATTTTAAATAGGAGATTTTTGAATATTTTTATTTGGAGAATAAGATTTCATCTTCATTGGCTATTGAATTATATTTTCTAATTAAGTGATTTATAATTAGTAATCTTATTAAATTTAATCTACTTTTTTCTCTGATCTAAGTTTCAATTCCTAATATCTTTACTCAAAAAATTATCTCTCTTTGTTCATTGTATATTCAGAGAACTATTACTATGAAATTCTAAATTATAAAAATATTTATACAATTCTTCTTATTATTCCTTTATTAGTTTATTTAAGTTCATTAATTCTAATTCATAGTTTTATTTTTATTCAATATATAATTATTCTTGTAATTACAATTGTTTTTAAAATTCTTCATTCTCTTTATTTAATATTTATATTTAACTCTTAAATTCATTATCATTAGCTTTCGACATAATTAATTATTCAATTTGTTATTATTTCTATTTTAATTTTATTTAACCTTCTTCATAAATTAATTATTCTGATTACTTAAATTATTTCTTTAAATTATCTAATTTTTTCTCCATTTCCAGATTCATTTATTCAATTTCAAATTATTTTTCATTTTCCATCATTTACACCTTATTATCTGTAACAATCAGTTATTTTTTATACAAATTTTGTAAAATTAATTTACAATCACTTTCCAACTACTTTAATTTATTTAAAAAAAGGTTCCTTAATTCTTTAAGTTAAACAGTTGTTAATTCTTTTTATCTACTTAAAACTCTAGTAACTCTCTACTAAAACGTTTTATATTTAAATTTCTATTCCTCAAGTTAAACTTGTAATAAATTTTTATCATTATTCAAAATACTAATTTATTTACCAATTTCGTCATTTTAAATTTTTTCTTTTTTTATTAAATCTTAGATTTCTTATTTAGCACATTCTAATTGATCACTATTTGATTCTAAATCTTAAATAATCTATTGATTCTAAATTTGTAAAAATTCTATTTAATTATTACTTTCTATTTAATCCTTTTATAATTCTATGATTATTTTATTCTGTTCTTCAATTTTCTATTTAAACTCATTTCTTTATTTTCTATTCTCAGATTATTATTCTTAAAATTAAAACTAAATTTTGTTGTTTTCTTCATTAAAATTATCTTACAATAGCATTAGTTTTTAATCTTTTTCTTACAACTCTTAATTATATTATTCCTCTTTCTTCTTAATTTCTTCCATACATCTCTTAATATCATCTTTATTTTATTTCAATTTTAATTCTACTTCTGATCCTAATCTTTTAAATGAAAAGGATCCCTAAATTTAAATATCTAAGAGATTTTAAATATGTTATAAAAATTATTAATACTACTGATTTTCTTTTTCAATCTCATTGATATAGTCCTAGTTTTCTCTAATTGTATTTAAGGTTTATTCTTAAAATACTTTAATATCATCTAATTCTGCTAATAAAACCTTAAGTTTTTAATCTTTTTTTGTGATCTCCAATTCTTGATTTCTATTTTTATTCTCAGATTCTTCTAAATCTTAATTTTACTAATTTATTTCATCATTTAATTGATTAATTTCCATTTCAAGATTCCCTTATTACCTTTACATTTTTTCAAATTCTAAATTTTATTGATAAAGTTTTTCTTTTAATGTTTTTGCTTCTTTAATAAGATCTTATATTTGTTTATCTTTATCTATAACAACTTATTCAAAAGAAGTTTTTAAATTTTCTTCTAAGTTCAATTTTTCCTCTAAAAATTATTATTCTAAATCTTAGAATTATTTTTTATATTAGGATTCTATTGATTTATGATTTTATTTATGATTAACTTGCAATTAAGTTAATTAATTTTCAGATTCTTTAATTAATTCTTAGAATTCATACAACTATTCTTACTGTTATTATTAAATATTTTGAGCCTCTTTTAACCTACTTTTCAATTCATTAATTTTTTAATTACTTTTTTCTTTCAATTAATCAAGAAGCTCTTTTTATTTCAATAATTCTTGATGTTTTTTTGTTTTAAGTTTATCAATTTCATTTTTATATTATTCTATTTCTTCTTCCAATTAATTATTGAGTTCCACTTATTGTTATGACTTTTTTTTAATATCTGTAAGTTCTTTTAATGTACGTTCATATTCATTTTTAAATTCTCTATTCTATCTATCTAATTACTAATTTAATTAGTTCAGAGATTCATTTTTTGATTTCATATCATTTAGATCAGAATTTAATAGTTTTTATCGTTAATCCTATTATTATAAATTTTCTTTTGCTAGTAAATTCTCTTTCAATAGTTATTGTTCTTTGGATTGAAATTCTTTGAGTTACTTATGGAACTTATCATTTTATTGTTAATATTTCTAATTTTGAAATATAAATTTACTTGAAGCTATGTTTCTGAAGTTTCTAATAAATCCTATAATTCTTAAACTTCTCTAATTTACTGTAATTAAAATTCTCTGTGTTTAGAATCAAATTCTTAGATGATAGTTTCTTCCCTTTCTAAGAATTCTCTTTTAATTGAATCGTTTAGAGCTTATTCTGATCTTAATTCTGCTTGTAAACGATGAATTTCATCTGTAAACTATTTTGAAAAAGCTTCAAGAGTAATTTCTTTAATTCTACTAAATACAATGCTTTTAGAATCTTTATTTGATTCAATAGCAGAGTCATGTAAAATTTTGGTTGAAATATCAAGTAAGCATTCTAAGATAAAAATGAAAATGAATATTTACACTCTAATTGAGACTGACTATTAAATAGTTTTGAGGATGACAGCATGTTTAACGTATATATAAAATATAATTAATTTTTGTTTGAATTAAATTTTACTCATAATATGTTATAATTTTACATTAAGTGTCACCTCATATAATTGGAACAACAGAATTTAAAAATTTGCAATTTAATTATAAATTTATAGAAGAGGGAATGATGTAATAGATATTTTTAAAGAAGATATAGATAATCTTATACTTTTTTATTAATATATTTCTAATAAAATATATAAGAGTTAAAGGATGTAATAGTTGAATCTTTAATTTAATATGTCAATTAGTCTTTTAAATCTCGAATTTATGCTACTGACTTGTAAAACAGGAACCATTCAATTTTTGATTCAAAGATGTAGTTAGAGAATTTTTTAAGTTTGAAAGTCATTAATAATCTATGAATTATTTAATATAATTAGATACTTACTAAAAAAATCATTTAATAGTTGACTTTATTTAGATTTTCAAAGTTTACTGTATTTTTATTGCAATTTAAGATATAAAAAAAAAAACCAAAAATTAAACCATCTTTTATGATAGTACTTAATAAATTAATTCAATTTTAATTATCTTATTACCTTTATATAATAAGAAGAATAATTTAAAGAATTTAAATAAATTTAAGACTTGAAAATTTTATCAGTATTGAAAAATATTTAATTTTTTTATTTTAATAGTTCTAAAATAATTAATTGAGAAGAGGATGAAAAGATACTGAAAGAAATAAACTTAAAAAATTTTAGTAAATAATCTTTTCTTTTTGAGTTATTTAAATATTATAAAATAAAAAAAAAATTGTGATTATGAATTATTAATGCTTCTTATTGTTGATTATACTTCATTAAGCCTGCTCAAATTTTTTTGGATAGACGAATAGATTGGGTATTTAAAAATTAAAAGTTATAATATTACCTCATTCTCATGATGATGTAGGATGGTTAAATACTGTTGACTAAATATATTTGAGTGGTCCTGGTGTTAAAAATATAATTTCATCTTATATAAATGCCTTACTAGAAAATAAGGATAGAAAGTTTGTATAAGTGGAAACTGTTTATTTTGAAAGATGGTGGAATGAATAGAGTGTATTAATGTAATAAAAAGTAAAAGGTTTAGTAGAAAATGGTTAATTAAGTTTTGCAGGAGGAGGATTAGTAATGAATGATGAAGCTACACCTTATTATGAAGATATTATAGATTAAATGACATATGGACATGAATTTTTATTCAAAACATTTAATGTGATTCCAAAAGTGGGATGGTAGATTGATCCATTTGGACATTCAAATGCATAAAGCATATTATCATATCTATTTGGTATAGATGCAGCATTTTATGCAAGAATTGATTATTAAGATAAAGATTATCGTCAGAAATAAAAAGAATTAGAAATGATTCATGTTCCTTATACAACAAGTAAATAAAACTATCCTATCTTAATTCATGTTAATTATTTTCATTACTCAAGTCCTAATCATTTTGATTTCGATCCATTAAGAAATTCAGGAGGTTTTGTAAATGATTAGAATATTTAATATAAAGCAGATGATTTGAATCAATATTTTTTACAACAAAGTTAATCATACAAAGGAAAAATTATAACACATACATTAGGTGATGATAATGAATGGTCTAATTCTAAATCCTATTTTGAAAACATGGAAAAGATAATTAATTACATAAATTCTCATCCAGAAAAGTACAATATTGTAATTAAATTTGGAACTCCTTAAGATTATATTAAAGATATAAATGATTATTCTGATGAGATATTCTATCCAACAAAGAATGATGATTTTTTTCCCTATGCGGATAAACAACATTGTTATTGGACAGGATATTTTACAAGTAAGGTAGCATTTAAAGGTTTCGTGAGATATACTGGAAGATATTTTCAACAAATAAAAACTTTTATATCTTTTTCTTTTGCTTCTCAAAATTAAGACATTTTAGATATAAAACAACCGCTTTTAAGGGCTATAAAAGAATTAGGATATACACTAGGAATATCATAACATCATGATGCTGTTACAGGTACCTCATAAGATCATGTGACTAGAGATTATGTTAAAATGCTACATAGAGATTTAACAAATATGAATAATGAATTTCATAGATTAATAAAAATAATAATCTCAAAAGATTTAGGGTAGGATAATATTGAATAATTGTATCAATATCGTTATAATTCTACATCCTCTGAGTGTACTGAAATCTATGAAAATCTTAAGAACAAAAAAACTATTTTATTAACCATTTTAGACACTAAAATCAATGAAAATGATAAAGATATTATTAAAATTAAAGTACCTAAATTACCTCTCAATATTATTGATTCTAAAAATCAAGTAATTGATGGAGATATCATATGCAGTAATTCAAAAGATGAAGAAGATTGTACTCTCTATTTTAATTACCAAATTAAAAAAGGAGTCTAATACTACAAAATCAAATAAGGTAATTCAAATTAAGTGTCTTCTGCCAAAATTATTGCATCTCAAACTTTAACAAATATAACTGCTAATACTAAAATATCACTTGACAATGGACCTGAATTTCAATTGCAATATTAATATTATGTTGCTTCGACTGATAATTTACAACCTAGTGGAGCATATATATTTAGACCTTAAGGAGGAGCATAAGTTTATGGATCCATCTAAAATGTTCAAATTTATAATGGAACTGTTTTGACTGAGCTAAATATTGAGAGATCTAATGTTAATACATGGATAAGAAAATATAAAATTTAGAATAATGAATATGAAGTGGAAACCTTTGTTGATTCTATAATAAGAGAATAAAATAAAGGAAAAGAAATAATAGTTATCTTTAAAAGTGATAACATCAAGAATCAAAAAACGTTTTATACTGATTCTAATGGAATGGATTTATAATAAAGAAAAATTGGATTTAGAGAAACTTGGAGTTTGCAAAGTAATGAATATGTTTCTGAAAATTATTATCCTATAAATGGAATAATATAAATTAAAGATCAAGCCAGTCATAATGTTATGGCTGTAATAAATGACAGAGCTTAAGGAGGATCAAGTTTTAATGATGGTGAAATAGAAATTATGATTCACAGAAGAATGTATTCAGATGACAGAAGAGGAGTTGGTGAACCTTTAAATGAAGAAGAGGATAATCCTTAATGTAAAGCTTAATCCTAATAAAATTGTGAAAAAAGAGTGGGACTTAGATAATATATTATTCATAAAGTATTATTCTTTGATCAAAAGAATAATCCAAATTTTGCAAGAAAAGCTTAGTTATTTTTAGATTTCTAGCCAATTAAAATCTTTGCTGTTGATTCATAAGATGAATTTGTTCCAAATCTTAAAATTGAATTTTCAAAATCTCTTTTGAACACCATTTAAGTTTTTAATCCTGATGGAGATAGCATTGTCAAATTTTATTTAATACCTAAAGAAGAAAATAATGAATATTTATTAAGAATTCATAATATGTAGGAATAATCAAATGTCAAAATCTCATTTCCTTAGGAAATTTTATTTGAAGAAACTATTTTGAGTGGACTTAGAACATTATCAGAATAACAAAAAATTAGATTAGGTATTTATTCTGAGTATTAAATTTTAGTTTGGGTTAAAAATAAAATTCAAGATTCAATTTATATTCCTGCTGAAGAGGTAGCACCATAACAAATTAAAACATTTATAATAAAAATTTGATAAATAAATATTTTAAATACGTTTTTAAAAATAAAATCATTCTATCCATGTATTGTTGACAGATTTTTATTTTTAATATGGCCTTCAATAAATATATTTAAAGATGAATTATATTTCGTATTGAAGAAATATTATAAATAATTCAAATATCTTAAATAAATAAAGATAGATATAAAATTAATAAATTTTGATTAATTAAGTTCTGAAATTGTTAATGATGATATTATTATACAATAAAGCAGAGATCTTAATAGTAAAAAATTTGATTTTCAACAAGAAAGATTTTTTAAATAATTCTGGATACGCTATTAATTATTAAATAATGCCATCTATAATCTAACTAATTTATAAACAAATATAAAAATACTATTTTAGTTCTTTTAAATAGATCTAAGTAATAGTAATAGTAATTGATTTTATTTTTTTTAATTATAAAAATTAATATTTGATACAATTTTAAACTTAATCTTATGTTTTCGAATCCAAAAATTATTCTGTAAATTTATAGCTATATTTATCTTAAAATTGTAAGAAATATTAGAATTTAATATTAAATTAAGACTATAATTTATAATATCAATAAACAATTAATAGAATTCAAATAAATAAGAGATTATTGATTTACTCATTTTATCATACCAGCTTCAGGATTATAACAATATTCATTAAATTATTCTTAAATAAATAATATATATACCATTAAGAGTTAAATTTCTAAGAATTACAAAATTATCATCATTAGGAGTGTCATTAGAATCAATAGAATTATTACATTTTAAAAAGGGCTTAGGTTTATAAGGTGGATTGTAAGTCTTTTTAATCAATGAATTCCAATCAAAATTAGTAAACCATTTATGATTTTTAACATCACTTGGATTATTATAACCTAGTCTATAATTTGGCTTTCTTTAGATTAACTAAACTTATTAGTAATATTTACTTAATTTACAAAATCTGCTGCATCTAAAGACCAAGCAACAGGTAAATCCATTCTTTTAATTTAAACTTAATGAGAAAGAATTTAGTCACGTATTTCTTATTTAGTTTTACCAACATAAGGTCGTTTTCCAAGCATACATTCATGTACAATTACACCAAGTGCAAAGAAGTCTATAGTAATTCCATGATTTTATCTGCATAATACTTCTGGGGCCATATAACCTGGTGTACCACTTCCATCTGAAGAATTTTCAGGTCTCCATATTCTTGCAATCCCCAAATCTGTAAGTCTTAAGTATCCTTTATTATCAAGTACCAAATTCTCTGGTTTTAAATCTCTATGAATTATTCCTTATTAATGTAGGTACTCTAAACTAATTATTATACAAGCTGCAAAAAATTCTAAAAATTGAACATTTTTTCATACTCACTTCTTATTCTGAAAATCTTTTGTTTTTACATATATGAAATCTTAAATCTCCTCCAGTTACTAAATCTAATACTAAATATAGATTTTCTCTATCTTAAAATGCTGAATGCATATTCACAATAAAAGGATGTCTTAACTACAATAATAGATTTTTCTCATTCAAAACTGCTGTAATACATTTTAAGGCAATTATTCTGTTTTTATTTATAAATTGTTTTACTTAGCTTTTGACATTTTCTTTATTGCATAAAGTTAATTATTTTTTTTTCTTCTAACTTTTAGAACTTTACCAAAACCTCCTTTTCCCAAAATTTCCAGAATTTCATAATTTCTTATTGATTGCACTAAAATTCTATTTTATATCTTTACTTGATTCTTAAGATTCTTCCTTTTTATCTAAAACATTACAATTACCCATAAAAATGAAAAATATTTAAATATCTTATTATATTATCTTTATCATAAATATATTTGATAGATCATTTTATACCATGATTCAATGTTTCAAAAATTAATTCAATCCATTTTTTAGCATTTTAAGACTAGATTCATATATTTAAAATGATTACCTTAAAAATATATTTTTATTTATCATCTATTATAACAAATTTATCTTGTTTAATCAATTCGTATTTTAAACCTTAAGTAATATGAATCACAGTCTTTTTATTATTCTTTTTTGGATTTGTATAATGAATAGAAGGAATGTCATTTATAATTTATAAAACTAGTTATCTAGGAGTAAAGTAAGATATTAAAACTTATTTTTTATAATTTTAGTTTACTTCCAGATTTTTTTTCAACTATTTCTTAATAAATAATTTTAGAAATTGGATCCTAAATAAAAGTCTTTTATTATATTTGTTCTGGATATATTTATAATGGCTAAGGTGGAACCATTTACCATAAGTTATTAAAATTTATTTCGGCAAAATAAGGGTGGCTTTTTATTTTAGTATAATCAACTAATCTATTATTAAGATCTTTCTCTAAAAATAGTTTCATTAAATCTTAAGCTAATAAAGGAATGCTCTTAACAATAAATCAATAAATTATATACTGAGGGAAATTAAATTTAATCTTCTACAATTTTTTAATATAACTCTTCCTAATTATTAGATTTAAAGGGTATAGTTCCAGTATACATTTTGTACATTATTATAGCTAAAGCCCATAAATCAGTTCCTGGACCAACTGGTTTATCAGAAATCATTTCTGGAGTTAAATATGCATTTGTTCCTACAAAACTATATTTTCTTTTCCTTTCTTTATCTACAAAATCTTTTCTATAATTTTCAATAGATTGAACTATTTTTTGGGGAACTTTTTATTGATCATAAATCACTGCAGTCCCAAAATCTATTAACTTTAAATGTTTCTCTGGAGTTATTAGTAAGTTTTCAGGCTTTAATTATTTAAAAATATACTTTTATGTCTCTATGTACTATTCCTTTAGAATGAACATATTCTAGAATAGATAAAATTTCAGCAGTATAAAATTAAATGATTTGATTAGTCAACTTTTAATCTAAATTATTAATGAATTATATACTGCCATAAAGTTTTAAGAATTCACTAAAACAATCTTAAACTAACTCAACTAAAAAATACAAACTATTTTTATCTTAAAATGTTTAATGTAATTTGATTATTCCATCATATTTTAAATATTGAAGCATTTCTTTTTCAATATATGCATGATGTTGCTTTTTATTCTAAGTTTTTAATAATATTTATACTAAATTCATGAAATTTTTATCTATAATTTTAATTGCATATATTGGACTTTAATTACTATTTCCATTTTAAACATCTTCTTTTTTTTAACAGCTGTAGACTTTACTAAATGCTCCATCCCCCATTTCTTAGATTTTGATAAAATCTTCAAAGTTTATTTTTTTTTTGATTGGAGTTTCTGCTTCTTATGATTTTTATATCATTAATATTATTATAAACTTTAACTAACAAAATCAGGTCTTGTGTTATTTCGCATTTAAGGTTCTTCATAGATTATTTATGATTATGTAAAGTAATCATTTTCTACTTCAACTATTGGAACAGGAGCAGAATGGAATTAATTTTAATTTTGATATACTCTTTAACCTGTTAATGCCATTTGTTAATGGAATTAATATTAAGATGATACTTAATTAAAAGGTGTTAATGGTACAAATTAAGCTTATTATTGATTATACACAGGATTTCTAGCTGGAGAAGTAAATTATGGAATCACTATTTATTATTTTAAAGGCTAAAATATAATATTCTGTTTTTATTACCTTCTCTTCTTATAATGGTAATTAAATTATATACTTAAGTCCTTCATGTAATTTTTAAACGAATTTTTCAATTGATTACTATAGGTTTTTATAATCTTATTTCCATTTGCTATCAACATAATCTAAAAATCCATTCACATCTTGAACTTCCTTTGAATTTAATGTTTCCATTTACATATCAAATAATTTACAGAATTCAATTGTAAAAGCATTACTAAAATAAGTTTTTATCATTTTTACAAAATTATCTTTCATTAAATTTAAAAGGGAAATTCTACATATAGATATTATTATTATTTACTTTTTATTTACAATATCTCCTTCTTTGTTATTTTAAAATTCATATTCTTTATGATTTACATAAGATTAAATCTTTTTAAAAGCTTCTTCAATATCATCACCAATATCCTCTGAGATTTTAATCTTTTAATCTAATTGTTCTAAATCAGTAAAAATTTTATTTCTTTCTTCTTAATTGTTTTATTTTATCTCTTTTTATTTATCTTGAAACTCTTTTTTAAAAGCATCCATTTTTTTTTAAACTCCTTTCAAATTTCTTTCAATAACACTTTGAAAATAATTATTCTCATTTCCAATTCTATTTTCTTCTTGAATTAACTCTGGTTCTCCATTTATTAAATATTTAAGTCCAGGACTTATATTCTTATTATTACTTTAATATAATTATAAGACACCATTTTCTAATAAATTTGAAAGTTCTTCTAACTTTTTAAATATCAATTCAAATTTACTTTATGTGATTTTTCATGGATTTTGACAGCACAAGTTGAACACATTACTCTTTAAGAACATTATTTTTCTAAACAAACCCAACTAATCTTTTATTTAGAATGTTAAATGCAAGTTTAATTGATTTCCATTAATTGATAATATTAATTAATCGTAAATTGATTATTGAATTAACTGTCAATACTTTATAAAGAAATATTTTATAATCTATTTAATTAATTTCAACAGCTAATTTTTATAGTATGGATCCCAATAACTAAAGAAAAGCTTCTCAAAATGCTAGAGCATTAACACTTGCTGATTTAGATTAATAATCTATTTCAGATGACTCTGCTATAGACTTAGATTAATCTTAATTACATAGATTAGGAATAGATATTAGCAATATTTAAGCTGCTGAAATAACTTAGATAGAAGAGCCTAGTAAATCAATCATGCACTTTTCTAAAAAACATAGTGATTCAACTACTAATATAGATTTAACTTAACATATATTCTAATTCAAACAAAAAATTTAAGATTTGTAATTAGAATTAGGATCTGATAGATCTGATCCTTATGAAATATCTCTACATTCATTTAAAAACCAAGAAGATAATTCATAAAATAAAGGATTATGTGTATCTGAAGCACTTAGAACAAATATCAACTCTTAAAATTAACAGAAAAATTATGATTAATAAAATTCAACGTCAAATTAATTTAAAGTTCCAAATACTTCTTAATCATCTGGAGGTCTTAGTTATAATCTTCCTCATTTAAATTCAACTGGTAATAAAGTACCTCTTAATGCAAATCCCATTGGCAATATTTATGAGCAATTAGAATACCATAGATTAAAATTTTATGACTCTTATATGCCAGAATAACATAAAGTACTCAATAATCCTCTCAAATTTCTTAAATATAAATTACATTAACAAAATAGATATGCTTTTGATCATTGTTTAGATTGCCTCATCCATTGAAATTAATTCATTTATATATTTTTTAATTTAATTAATTTAATTGACATTTTTATGAATAACTTCATTTTTAATATATTATAATATTTTGTTTAGAAATAATATAATAATGTGTTATCTTTTTAGTAAGAGTTTGAACAAATATTAATTTTACTTTTCTGTCTTCTTCATTATTTAAATTCAGATAATTATATTTATACATTACTCCTAAAAATTGAATTTAAATTCATTTAATAGATTTGAAATGCTTTAGAGAATTTAAAAACTATATGGAATTATTAAATGATTTTTATTATAAGAGTTAAAAAATTAGAAGTTATTTTGTCCTCATACTTTTTATTAACTTGATTTAATACAATTTTTAATACAATTATACATTATCATAATCCAGAACAAGGCCAATAATATGAAGGCACAATTTATTATATCTAAGAATAGATTTAAGAATTAATACCATCTACTATAATTGGTTACATTAATAAGATAAATAGGAGTAATTTTAAGTTAATTATTATTTTTCTTATTGTAATTACTGTACTCGGTCTGATAATAATAAATTCTAAAATTTTTAATTTAAGTTTATTTACTTATGTATTCAATTATTAAATCAATAGAGCCTAACTCCTATTAGTCTCTTCTGCTTATTGATAAAGATTTGTATCTAAATTATCTTAAACAGCATCAATTTTTATCTGTCGTTATTCACCATAATTTGGTTTATCAGAAGTGGCTAAAAAATTTAAAATTTTCTAAATACTTAGGTTGAGAGTTTCTGACTTTGTATTCAGCATTTTCTTGTTCTCTCTTTTGAATTTCTTTTATGTTCGGCCCTCTTTTCTATAAATCTGCATAATTGCCTTAGCAGTTGAAAAATTGATGTTTAATTCTTTAGCTGCACTTTTTATAGTACAACCTGTTGTTGTCACTTATTTAATTAATCTCTATCGTTATTCATTTGATATTTTTGCATATTTAAGACCATGTTTTCCTATTGATTTATATTTTTAAACATACCTCTATATTTATAAAGAAGTTCTTTCTCTTCTTCGGGAGTTCTCTTTTATGAAGGCTTTTAGTTTAAATCTTAAGCAAAATCATAAGAAGAGTCTGAAGAATCAGACTCATGAGATGGAGTTAAATAATCATCTTATTACATTAATTATGGATTCTCTGCTTTGGAAAGCTACTCTATTGATGTCATACAATTTGATAATATCAATTTAAAAAATAATTGAAAATAATGTTGATATCTAAGCATTTATATTCTGAAATTTAATATAGGAGCATAAAAGATATGACTTAATATAAAGTCTCTAATAATTTCATAAAAATAATTATAATTGTAATTCAGATTGAGAATGCACTCATTTCTTATAAATTGAAAGTTCATTTATATCATTCCATTAATAGTTCTAAAGATATAAAATAATTAAGAATTTTTATTTAATTTAACAATCTCCCACTTTAATTTTCAGATGGAAGTTTCCATAACTATGCATTTAATAGCAAAATAAAATATCTTAAATTATTATTATAAAATCATTAGAAATTGCAGATAAGAAAAAAAAATAATTTGTATGTTTAGATCAGAATTTTATATTTAAAATTTCATGCTTGAAAAGTAATCAGTTAAAATATATCCAATTTTATTTAGGTAAAAAAAATAATTTTTGATCAATTCTTAGAGTGTAATCCATGTTTATTAGATTTAGTTTAATTGAGCTTTAAATTTTTTTTATCAATAGGTTTTTTATTAGATTGTGAACGACTTATTGATTTTTTATTATTATTTTTTTTTTCTGTTTTGATATTGTCTTTGGCTGATGATTTTGGTTTCATTATAGATTCACCTTCAGATTGTTGGGCTACGGATTGTCTTGACTATCTTTATAGTTAAGCTTAAGATAAAGTTTTCTATTGATTTAAGTCAATATGTATATTTTGAACATTATTCTTTAAAATTTCTTAATCTTTTAATAAATTATCCATAAGTAATTTTAAATCACTTAATTTTTATTCAACAATCTTATCATGATGCAACCTTTCTGTATCCTAAATCTTAATTTATGTATCTGGTTAAATTTCAAGCCGAGCTACTCGTTATTCTAATTTTTAATAATCTACTTTTAATGCACTCTATCTAATCTCGCTCATCATAACATCTATTTTACGATTTATGGATTTTTCAAAATCTTCAAAAAGAGGTTATTAATCTTTTAATTGAGTTGCTTCCAATAACTCTAATCGGTAATTGGATTCATGTAATTGTTGATTAATATTTCTTAATTCATTATGATACAGTTCTTCCATTTTTGTATTTATATGTCTTGTAATCTTACTATTTTCTTATTCTTGAGTTTCTGCAAAATTTTACAATAATTTTATTAATTTAATGAAGTTCTTCAACTTATCATCATGATCTTCAATCAATTATTCAATTCCTTTGATTCTCTATTCATATTTTTTATGAACCATAGTTGCTGCCTATTAATTAAAAATATTTATACTTTTTCTAATTGTTACTCAAGATATTAAATGTAATTTTCTTTATTATTATGAAGTATTTTCTTATCTTCGCTTGTAGTCTTTAAAATAGGAGACACACTCTTTTTATGTTTTTCAGAATAGTTAGAATAATTCATTGATTTTGAAGAATTTAATTACTGTTATTATTATTAGATTGTTAAGAAATATTAATCATATACATTTTTAAAATGATCTTAAAAAATAAAAAATAATCAATTTTTAGATTATTAAATTTGAAACAATTACTAAGCAATGCTTAATATTCCAAAAATCTATAATTTATTCTTACTCAAAACTTTCAAATAATCCATAGATTTATAGGATTCTAATATTAATTCTTCCTAAAATTATTTTTTAATATACATCTTCTGAATTTGTTAATTAAGTCTTAACTAAAAGAAATGGGAATTTGATTTTTTCATGTTCACTTGTTTCTCTTTCTTTGTTAAACTTTACCAAATTTTAAAGTGTCTCTTGTTTTTTTATAGAATTTGTTAACTATTATTTTTTTTGCAATAATAATTCCTTTAATTTTTGCTGTTGAATTAAATAATTAAATTTACCTTACGAAATAGTAAATTCTATTTTGTAATGTTGACTTAGCTTTCTTCATTCTTTCTCAACATTTTCTTTTCTTTTACGACTATTCCAATAGAAATCATAACATTTAATGCATCATAAACCCTTCTTCTTAAATTTTTTATATCTTTTGACCCATAATCAGAATGGCCTTCCATTTCTTAAGTCATTTCCTCTGTTAGCTTTTAACATATTTCTGAGTAACCAACTATTTTATTTTGTAGTTCTTTTTCAACTCTTTTACTTATGTATTTCAAACTCCATTTTTTTAATGATTTTGGAGAATCAAATTAAATTTTGCTGATTTCAAATGGCTCATTCTAAACAAATAATTTTTTATTAGTATTTGTTTGAGAATCACAAGGACCTTCAAAATCTAAAATAAATAATTTTGCCACCAAATTATAGTATAAGCGCCAAAATAAATGCGCGTTAATATATGGATTAATTCAACCAATTCATAAGTTTGTTTTGAAATATTTTACCTTAAATTATTCCTTTTACAGGTGTCTAAAATACATTAAAATTGAAGGAATCTTCATCAAGTCTAAATTAACCTGTAAAGTCCATATTTAATGGATTAATAAATTATATTAAAAATATTTAACAAATTAAAAACTATTATAAAAGTTATTTATCACATAAATTTTAATATTTTATTAGAAAAAGAAAGAATCCCATTTTTAATTTATTTATTTCTTTTCGATATCAACTCTTTTTATAAAGTTTTAATCTAATAGTTATAATGATTTTTGAAAAACTGAAATAAGATTTAAGAGTTTTATTTATTGAATAAATATATAGCATTTTCTTAATAATTAGAATATTAAAAGATATTTAAAATTTTCATATTATCTTGAATTTTCTAAACTTGCCAATAAAATAGATGAAAAATTTCCTATTAAATTCATAATAAATGATTGTTGATTTAATTAATCCACTATAATTTAATGAAGGCGTTAAGCAAACTAATCCACTTATACAACTAGATGAAATTTCATTTTAAACATTAGTTAAAGCAATTTCTAAAATAAAAATAAAGAAGCAATCAATAATTTGTCATTAAATAGAGATGAAACTGCTTAATTTTTAAACTAATATTTATTCCAACAATTATTTCATACATTTAGAGTTTATGTTTTATATATTAAGCTTTAAATTATAATTTAAATTAATATTAATCTTTACAATAAGGATTATGTCTTTTATTTTAGCAATTTCTTATAGAGAAATGTAAGGGTACTATATTAATTTAATACAGCAAAATAAATTGATAATTTAACAATTAAAATGGACTAAGAAATTACAATAATAATAATATATTGATAGATTAACAAAAAGTTCATATCAAACTAATTAATTTATGCTTTTCATATAATCATAGGATATGTTGGATTTGTAATTTTTTAAAGATCTTCCCCACAATAACTCATTTAAGGAGAAATTTCAATTAAATCATCTTCTAATGTTCCTTCTAATTTTAAATATCTCTTATGTACATTAGATAATTAAATAACAGCTTTTTTTGGATCATCAATTAATAAAGCATAATCATCTGTTGAATATAAGATTGTTAAATCAGTTACTTCTAAAATATCTTAAATGTGTTTTTCAAATTAAATTACAGTTCCTCTTTTTATAGAGTGGAATCTTTGATTTAATCTCAATGCTTTATCATGATTCTATTTCAATGAATTGAGAAAAGAAACAGATAGGTATAAATCATTCAGACACATTTAAGTTTAATTGTATGAATTCTCTGTTATACTGGAATCTTACTCTTCTATTGTCTTAAATTAGCTATTTTAATAAAATAATCTATCATCCAATATTGAATTAGTTTCGATGACTTTGCATAAAGCATCAGCTTTCTATTTACAAATAAGATTCAACATTTTTGGATCTAATGGCAATCCTACTAAATTATCTAAACCCAAGAAATGAATATACTCCATATTTGGAAATTTACTGAAATTATCTAAAACCCTTTTACTTTATAAATGAATTCAATTATAACAATATTGTACCAGTGCCCTCTGGTGTCATTATTGCTTCACTCTCTTATTCAAATACTACTTATCCTTTATCATCGATCACTGGTAATGATTTCTATTATAAAAAACTTATTTATTTAAATCCAAAATCTTTTTAACTTTTTAAATATGTCTACAATCTCTCTGAATTTTAATCTGATAACAAAATACCAATCGGATAATCTATTATCTCTCTATTCTCATTTGCTTTAACATTTAAATTATTAATTATTACCAATCATTAAAATCTTTTTTAATCTTTCCATTATTATTTAAAAAACACATTTTTAAGATGGAAGCCCTATATCACCTAATAATTTATCATAAAATCGAGAACTACGACCTCCACATAATAATATTATTCCCACTTTATTTTCCTTAATTTAATTATAATTATATACCTTTATCAAATCTAAATTTTACTCTTAACAATTAATACTTTAAATTACATTACATTAAAATGCATCTACTTTGTTTTATTTATAACAATGATGAAAAAGCTAATTTAATTTATTTAATTTCATTACAGAATCAATCAATTCAAAGTCAATGCGTTCTAATCTTGTTAAAAATTTTTGTTTTTTTTTAACATCAATATTTTCTAATAGATTTAAAATATGAGTTTATCGAGAAGCAATAATTCTTTATATTAATGATGAAAATATTGCATCTATTTTTTGTTCTAATTATATTCTAATGTTATGTTACATGCTGCAATTTTGTTTGCAATATCTTCCAACTTTTAATATGTTGAAATTCTGTTAAAATCAAGTTTTAGATAATCATCTTCTGTATTCTAATTCTTTGGAACATCCTAAGAAGTACAAACTCCCATTTTAATTAAGAATTTACAATTTAATATTAATATTTATAATCTTATATTTTATTATTCACAATTAGTATATATCAAATCCATTAACCTATTCGATACTAAATTTTTACTGATCCTCAAATTTCAAGTAATTTATATTAGGTCTTAACATTTATGTCTAATCTTAAGATATCGCTATTTTGTATTTGAAAAACTAAAACTCATTATAAATTAATAAGTAATTTTTCTTTAATTCAAAAGAAGCCCTATTTATCATGTACATTAAAGCTTAATCATTTTTCATTGCCTAAAATAATTTTATAAAATAATTCAATATTATAATCATAAAAAAAATTAGAGAATTCATTTGAGGATTATATCTAGTTCAATAAAATTGACAAAAACTAGTTATAGAATTTTCAGAAGACCTAGTTCTAGTAATTACAAGAGTATAATTAAAAGAAAATAACTTATAAATTCTCTCAAATTTATCAATGTAAGGTTAAATAAAAAATATATTTTTTTCCCTTGATTTAGATATCTAAAGAAACTTAATAATTTATATTTTGAAAGTATTCCAACATTTTCTATTTAAATCTTAAGAATAAAGAGAAAGTTTTCGTAGAAATATAAAAGGAAAATGAATTTAAAACTTATTAAATATATGATATATTAAAAAATATATGTATTAAGGATATATTATATAGTTAAACTAATTTTATTTGCTTTTGATATTAAGAAGAAGAGTGGATTGATGAACTATAGGAATAAAATAGAATATTGAAGTCAATATAAAAAGTAATTAATTTTATATAATTTTAAATATGAAAATTCCCATAAATACACTTGAACAGCCAAAAGAAATTGAACTACAAGTATTTAATATTTAGAAGTTTAGATATTGGAATTCTTACTTTAGAGTCCACAATTTTTAGATGATTTAATGAAAGTTGTAATTGATCAAAGTCATTAAATTCATAAATTGTCGCAAGGAGCATTAGGTTTAATAATAAATTAGCTTGATAATTTTTTAGAAATAGCAGCTGACTAAATTAAAAAAAACCCAAATTTTAAATGTCAAATGCTGCTTAGTCTTATTAGTTGTATGATGGATCTAGATTGCTATCGGTATTTAATTAAATTAGACTAGAAAATTGTTTAATTCGTTAGAACATTTATTTAATATATTAGAAAATTCAGATAATTTACTTGTATATGAATAAATAATGCCAATTTTGATAAAAATCTATAAAAATTCATCAAATTAGAGCAATTCATTATAAAATGATTTTCATAATAAACAGCTAATAGAATATCTTCCAAGAACTATTTACTTTACTAGAATTTTATTTGATCATTATAATAATTTATCTTCTACAAAGATAGAATTGATAGATTATTTTAATCATGATCCAAAGTATGAAAACCTTTGTGAAACTCCAATAGAATTTCCTAAATTGATATTAGAATATATGGAGCCAACCTTATTAAATGAAGCATATGAAGATTTGTGTTAGAATGGCATACACAAGAAAGAATTACATCANTATCTAGTTCAATAAAATTGACAAAAACTAGTTATAGAATTTTCAGAAGACCTAGTTCTAGTAATTACAAGAGTATAATTAAAAGAAAATAACTTATAAATTCTCTCAAATTTATCAATGTAAGGTTAAATAAAAAATATATTTTTTTCCCTTGATTTAGATATCTAAAGAAACTTAATAATTTATATTTTGAAAGTATTCCAACATTTTCTATTTAAATCTTAAGAATAAAGAGAAAGTTTTCGTAGAAATATAAAAGGAAAATGAATTTAAAACTTATTAAATATATGATATATTAAAAAATATATGTATTAAGGATATATTATATAGTTAAACTAATTTTATTTGCTTTTGATATTAAGAAGAAGAGTGGATTGATGAACTATAGGAATAAAATAGAATATTGAAGTCAATATAAAAAGTAATTAATTTTATATAATTTTAAATATGAAAATTCCCATAAATACACTTGAACAGCCAAAAGAAATTGAACTACAAGTATTTAATATTTAGAAGTTTAGATATTGGAATTCTTACTTTAGAGTCCACAATTTTTAGATGATTTAATGAAAGTTGTAATTGATCAAAGTCATTAAATTCATAAATTGTCGCAAGGAGCATTAGGTTTAATAATAAATTAGCTTGATAATTTTTTAGAAATAGCAGCTGACTAAATTAAAAAAAACCCAAATTTTAAATGTCAAATGCTGCTTAGTCTTATTAGTTGTATGATGGATCTAGATTGCTATCGGTATTTAATTAAATTAGACTAGAAAATTGTTTAATTCGTTAGAACATTTATTTAATATATTAGAAAATTCAGATAATTTACTTGTATATGAATAAATAATGCCAATTTTGATAAAAATCTATAAAAATTCATCAAATTAGAGCAATTCATTATAAAATGATTTTCATAATAAACAGCTAATAGAATATCTTCCAAGAACTATTTACTTTACTAGAATTTTATTTGATCATTATAATAATTTATCTTCTACAAAGATAGAATTGATAGATTATTTTAATCATGATCCAAAGTATGAAAACCTTTGTGAAACTCCAATAGAATTTCCTAAATTGATATTAGAATATATGGAGCCAACCTTATTAAATGAAGCATATGAAGATTTGTGTTAGAATGGCATACACAAGAAAGAATTACATCATCCAGTTTTAATTAGAGTAGTGTCAAACAATATAATTAGAATTTTGAAATTACTGAAGTGAATTCCATTAAGGCCCTAGATTTGTCCAAAACGTTTCTGAATGACCAAAATTAAAATTTCTGTCCTCTAGTTGATGCCATTAAATATAGAATCCTTATCTAACAAGGATTTTAATCCAATAAAATTTCAACAATAAATATTGTAATATAACTACATATTCAATCTATTTTAATGTATATGCTTTTAAATTAATTTTGTTAAACAAATAATCGTGGATAATTATTGGATTAAGTTTTTGAAGAATAAATATAATATGAATAACATTTTAGGATGTATATAAAATTATTTTAACTGAAAACAATAGACCCTACATTATTATCTAAAATACTTTTGACAATTGATGAAATTATAACAATTGAAAAATAGAATGAAAATGAAGTAACTTTTGTTATTGCCAAAAATTATGATGAAACATTTTTATAATTTATTTATGATGTTTTATCTATGCAACCTATTTCTATTGAAATGGAATAAGCATATCCATTATAATATTTCCCAACTTTTTTGAGTGAATTATGTGCTACTAATCAATAATTAGCATAAAATATTTTTGAATTTTTTTCAACTGAATCAGGAATACTTTTATTAAGCAGAAGTAATATTGCCTTTGCCTCTTCTTCAGCTTTAATTAAGGCACTTTAAATGTAAGATAACAAACTATAATTACCTCCTGATACTTTTAAAGCTGCCATTATTCTTTTAAGTAGATTATCTAGAAAGGACGATATTTAAAGAGATTTAAGAATTTTTAATGATCTTGTGAATATAGTAGAAAATTTAATTAAGTTTGGTACTGAAATTTTCAAACCTACTTAATTTGGTTACTATAAAATTACATCCGAAGAAACTGATTAAATTACTGCAACATCTATTTAATCTATAAATGAACATTTTAGAGATGATTTAGGCAGAAGATCAAATAGAGTTAATGCTCCAACTTTTGCAAGATAAGTTTCTGAATCAATAATTATTAAGAAACTATAAAATTTAATAGAATCTAGTAATAATTTCTTTGGAACAATCTAATAAACTTTAATCTTAGTCTCTCATTTAGCTAATGAAGTTCCTACTTTAATTGGTAGATTAATTGATTCTCATTTACCTTAAACAGTAAATTAAGTCATTTAAAATATGAGTTTTGATAAAATTAATTATAAAATGATGACTGCTATTTTTTAATTTTACTTTAACATTTGTTTAAAAGAAGAAGGCTATGATTAGTTTAATAAATATGGAATGCAATTCTTGAAAAATTTATTGAATTATTTATTAATTGATAATATTAATACTTAAAGAGAATAGTTAAGTGGTTTAGCATAGTGCATAACTAAATATACATAAAAAATTGATAAAGCTGGACCTTAGGTTTGTGAAATACTAAAATAAGTCATAGATTAATTATGGACGAACTTAAATGAAAAAAGAAAATAATTATCGATTTCAAATATTTATGCATAATATTACGAGATAATAAGTTAAATTTAGAATTTGTCGATATTAAGTTTTAAAATGTTCCATTATCCACATTATTCTTATCTAGCTGAAATGAACTAAAGAGGATTTTTTGAATCTTTATTAATGTTTTTAGAATTTCCTATGTTCGATTTTAAAAATGAACTTTTAAAAGTATTTCGATGGCTAACTTAAGTTGATGAATATGATAATCCTCATAAAATATTAAAAAGTGCTTTAATTGCAATAGAAAATTGGGAAATAAATTAAAGTGGCAATTTGGACAAAAGCACATCTTATATAAATGAATTATACTACAATTCACAAAAATTCTTTTCAAGTTGCAGTTAAGAATAGATTCAAGAAAAATTATCGATAGCATCGCATTATTCTTAAATAGAATATTTACTTGAAATTTTGAAAATATACTTAGTAAATTCCCCTTAGATAGATTGGAAAGTAAAGGATTTAATAAAATTACACGATAAATGCTGCTCTTTATTAAGAATAATTTTAGGTTGTGTATAATTAAATGAAGAGGATTGCCAAAATGATCAAATGTTAAAAAAATCGATATTTTATTCCTACATTTAAATTTTAAAACACATAATAGTTAATACTTTAATAATAAAAAAGAGGAATGATTTTTAACCTTTAATTAGTTTGTTAAATTATATGAGCTAAAGATTATAAAATGAGAATATATGGATAGTAATAATGCATTTATAATGTATTGATGAACTTTTTGTTAATGTTTTTGAAAATAAGAATGATCTTAGAAAAAAGTATCCAAATTTAGATTTAATAAATATTTTAAGTAAAACAGAATTTACTGAAAATTTTTAAGCAGCAATTCATTCATACACAAAAATGACTATATCAAATTAATATAAAAATGAACAGCTCAACATTTTATCTAAGCATTATTCATCTATTATTAAGAATTTATACATAAATAAATTTGAATACACGGATAAAGAGTTTGGATATTCAATTTTACCTTAAGAAATATCAAATATATAAGCTTTATTGTAAATAACTCAATATTCAAATTCAGATGATGTGTATAACATATAGTTTGTTCTTATAGAAAAGGTGATGATGATTTTAAGTCCTACATTTTTACAAGATATAATCATCAAAGAAAGAGATCGTTTAAATTTTTTCTCTTTTTCAAACTTAAGAGATGATATTGGGGATTTGATCTTTCAAACTAATTAAACCTAAGCAAGAAATCAATTAAGAAATATGGGATTTTAGGATGATGCAATATCTTTGGCATTTTAAAATATAAGAATACCTGAAGTAGGATTAGCTGCTGCATGGTTATCAGATAATTAAGACTAAGTTGAATAAAGAAGAAAAGATATTAAATAGAACTATGAAAAAAATGAATATTAAATTTTATTCTCATCAGAATTAATTCATCATAAATAAAGTGAATTAAAAAATTATATTAAATAGAATATACTATTTTTTAGTAAATTTGAAGAAACTTTATTTAAACTATTTGAAGGATAAATGATGCCTTCTTTATTAAAATGCCTAAAATAAGCTGTTTAAGAATAATTTAGATTATAATTAAGATTTAAAGATTGTGAAGTAGATATTAAAATACCTTACAATAATGATCTCAAATTAATCATCACAATTTTACATTACATATATAAATAATAGAATTTAGTATAAGAGTATGATTATATTGTTGTTGAGATGATGAGATTAATTTAAGAATTATTAAAATATGAGAATGATTAAACAATTAAAGCTGTTAATCATGTTTTGGCAATCTTAACATTATTTATAACAGATGATTATAAGTTGTAAAAGCATCATCAAGAAATTTTTAATGAAATATTTTAAGGAATCATTTAAATTTTCAAAGGAAAAGTATAAAATCATACAACATCAAAAATTTGCATAGAAATTTTGGTTAGAGCTTTCTAAGTAAATAAAGAAAATGTTTATAAATTTGTTTATTAAATGAGAGGTTTAGAGTATCTTTTAAAAGTAAAAGGAGATTCTAAGAATCAACTTTACAGTTTAACAAAGTTAGTATTATCTATTGTTCATGATTCCAGTATTGTGATTGCTTAAATAGAGGCAAGATTAAAGAAGATTTTATATGATTAATAATATAATTAAGAAATAGAAGGTACTACTCAATAAATATAATAACAATAGCAATAACAATTAATACATTCTCCAATCTTAAATCATTATCCTTTATGTTTCTAGCCTATTCATAACAATATACAACTTCCTTATGAAATTTAATTATCTAAAGATAATTAAGCATTACAAGCCATTTTAAATTAAAATTTTTATAATGAACAAATAAAATTCGTTATTAATTCATTATTTGAAAATCAAACTGATTTCTATGTTTTGAAAAAAAATATTCATCTTTATACTTTAGATTGTGTAGAATAAGCAAGTTTCTAAAAATATAAGGAACCAGAAAGTGCTAAAAGGAGTAATAAACCTTCAAGTAAAAAAAGAAAGAGTGAAGATAAACTGCAATTCTAATCGAACTTCTAACATACTTAAGAAGCTTAAATTTTAATAAAGCTATTAATTTAATAAATGATTATATCTTATTTTGAAAAATCCGAGTCATATTAATTTTAATGGAATACAATAAGTTAAGTTCTTTAAGTATTAATAAGACATTACCCAATTTTAATTCCTAAGCTTGTTAGAATAAATTGTAGCAAGTTCCTTAAACCATATCAAAAGCAATTAGGGTTTGATTTTTTGGAAACAGAATTTCCACGTAAGATATCATTTATATCTTTAATAACTAAGATTATGATTCCATAAAAGAATCTTCTTTTTGAATTATGTTTAGATAATTTAGTGTTGAATTAAATATAGAATAATTCTATTGCTCCTTTTTCGATTGAAATCAGAAAGAAAATTATTAATGAAATCTACGAAGGAATTGAAAAACGAATAAAGACTTTAGACTAAAATTTTTGTTATTTTTCAGATGCATTAGTATATTTAATTCAGATTAAATCAGTGGCTAAGATTTGTTTTAAAAATGTAAATGAGTTATAACACTCTTATAATTTTGTCAAACTTTATATTGAGGGTATGAAAAATTTTGATCTAAAGTCCTATTATATATATGAAAACGAATTACCTTTCATAAATGAAACCCTAGCAGTTTTATTTAATGTAGCAAGTTATTTACTGCTTTATAAACCATCTCAAATACCATTGTCAAAATAACAATAAGATTAATAAGGAGATCATTTTTAATTGTAAGGGATGATAGGATAATTATTACCAGAGGATATTAATTATCAACTTATCCCAAATAAAGGCATAATATATTAGGACCCTATAAAATATTTTCTCAAATGGCCTTTTTAACCATTATCATTTCATGGAGGAGTAAATTAAGATATAAGGCATGAAGAAATAGATTTATTACATTTATGGTCGCCATTCCGTAGAAGAAATAGATATCTAAATATGGAAGTTTTTGATAATATCGAAGAAGGAGAGTTTGAATTTGATCATGAAGATGATGATGATAATGAAATTTAAAGCGTTGAGAGTAGATATGATTCAAGTAATATTTACGAATCAGGAGAAGAAGATGATGAAGACGAAGAGGAAGATGAAGATTAAGAAGAAGTAGATTAAATAAATAGTTGGATTACAAGTTAAAGTGGAAATAATCAAAATGAGGTTGAAGATCCTTAAAATGAAAATTCTAGTTGGACTGATGAAGATGATAGTGAAGATGAATCAGATAGTTCAAATGAAGATGTCGAAGAAAGTTGTGATTCTGATGATGACAATCAATCTAATATATAATCAGAATTATCAAATTAATAAAATTTATATATTGAACAAGAGCTTTTTGTTTAAAATTTGAATGAACCACATGATATAACATAAATTGAGTAAAATAATCAAATTTCATAAAAAATCAAAGAAAATCCAAGTCATTTTCATCATTTTACAAATAAAGAAGATTTAACGTTTATGAAAATGACTAAATAGATAATCTAATTAATTGGAGTTTAATTTTCACAATAATTTGTTTAAATTTTAGATAAGTTTAAGTTTTTATTACCTTAAAATAAATCCCTAGATGATTAGTAACTTATAAATTGGTGGACAGAATTAACTTAATCCTCTACTTTATAGGCTGTTACAGAAGAAAAAGTCTATAATCAATAAGATTTAAGAATTTAACCTTTAAATATTTTTAGGGATAGGTTAAGTATGGATTTTTTAAGAATTGAATAAAATGATAGATTAATAACAAGAATAGAATAAGAAGCAATGGGTAGAACAGCTCGTATTCATTTGTAACGATAAATTCAATCAAGTGCTAGATCTGAATATTCAAGAATATTTTAAGAATAATAATCAGATTAATAAACCACTAATTTATAACATCAAAATATGTAAACAATGGAAACTTAAAATTTATAATAAATTTAAATTGAGTAATAATAATTATAAGGATTATAGCATACATAATCCTTACTTTTTTCTAGTAATTTCACTAATTAATTTTTATAATAAGAACCAATTTAATACCAATAATTGTAATAATAAAATCGAAATTAAATTAATGAAGAATTTGATTTTTAATAACAAATTTAGCCAAATTTCAGTTTATAAAATTAATATTATAATTATCAATTCCCTCTCAACTAATTAGAAAATGTCTAATAATAATAATAGTAATAATAACAATAATAATAATAACAATAATAATAATAGTAATAATAATAATAATAATAGTAATAATAATAATAATAATAATAATAGTAATAAAATTATTCCTAAATTTATCCAAAAAGTTACAATCTTTTAAAAAGATTAGGTAAGACGTTTGATGATCTCATTAAAAATAATATTGAACCTTCAGTTTTTGAAGATCTTAATGAAGATATGATGATGGAAATAATTTTAGCCATTCCTTAAGAAATTGAAGGAATAGATCCTTAATTTTTGGCCTCACTACCCTTAGAAATCAGAAATGAAATTGTTTAATAATACTCTGCCCCTATTAATTAATCCCCTTAATAATAAGTGAATTAAATAGATTTAGCATAAGATTTATTATAGAGAATTCAAAGAAATTAGGATAATATTCCTCCAATACATAACACCCAATAAAATGTCCAACCTTTATAATATGGTCCTAGAACTTAGATTGCTTCTAGTTTATATTAATTTGAATAAAGAAACCCAATTTAAGAAGAAATAATTTAATTCAAGAAACCTCATTCAAAATCTTAAAATCTTAAAAATCTGCTTCAAAATTAAAGACATTTTTTTTTTAAATTAGGAACTGTTGAAGATGAGTTTACAGATTCATTACTTAGCCTACTCTATGTAGAATCTCATAGTTTTTTCAATTTTCCTATCAATCTATTTATTTCTTTATGCAATAATTAAAATGTAGAACATAAACTTATTGACACTTTATTTTTGATTTTAAAAACAAATAAACCCAAAGAATAATCAAAATCCTTTCCACCTAAATTTTTGGTTAAGAGAAACGGACTTGTCAGAGATTTTGATAAAATCTATAATGTTGTGTCATTAAAAGTTTTGTATTTGTTTTCAAAATTATAAGGTTTGTCTCTAAACTATTTTTTTTAAAGCATAAAATAAAATTAGAATTCTATAGAAACTAGTTTAGGTTATCCATTATTATAATTGATTTAACTTTTGCCTTAATTTTAAGGAAAACATTAAGATATGCTTATTTAGGCAATTACAAATATTAGTACTAAATAAAATGATTTTAAACAAGAAAAAATAAAGCTTGATTAAAAATCGGTTGAATGCATTTGTAAAACTCTAATATCAAATATGAGTAAAAGTGTGAAAAATTTTTCAAATATTATTCAAAGTTTATGCAATAATTAAGAAAATTAAGTATTAATAGTATAATACATAAAAGAATATATAGAAAAAGTTATTTAAGAGATCAATTTGAAATTTAAAAGATAGTTTTAATATGATGAAATATTTAATGGTGATAAGGCTTTATTCAATGTATTTCAATTTTTAAAAGAAATTAATTTAAAAGGAGAAAATAACATTAATTATTAAGATGTTAAACTAAATTTTCAAGAATTATTGGAAAGCCCAAATTTAATAGATTTGTGGAAAAATATAGTTAAATTGCTATAATAAATTCCGTAATAATAAATCATAAAATTGACACCAAAAATATCTCCATACTTAGAATGTTTTTTTATTATTTATCAAATTGTAAATCCATTAAAAAAAAATAAATAAAATCAAAAGGAATCTAAAAAAATTGCTATAATGGAAGGATAACATAAAGAGGTTTAAGAACAATAATTGCATGATGATTTGTTTGAATAAATTTGTGAAAGTGGGAAAGGATTATTAAATATGATGATTAAAGAAAGACTTCAAGAATTTAAAGAGAAGGGAACTATAACAAATGATAGTTTAGGAATAATAATAAGTAAAAATCCAAGAATTGTAGATTTTGAAAATAAATAGAAGTATTTCAAAATGGAATTGAAATAATTAAAAATATAAAATAATAAGCATCATTATGGAAATATTACTGTTAGATGTAGAAGAAAAGACATCTTTATGGATTCTTATCATCGTTTTAGTAAGTTAAAACCAGAAGAATTAAAAGGTAAATTGATTGTAGAATTTGATGGAGAGGAAGGAGTAGATTAAGGTGGAGTTACAAGAGAATGGTTTTTAATGCTTTCTAAAGAGATATTTAATCCTAATTATGCTTTATTTACACCTTCTTTAAATGGGTAAATGTTTTAACCTAGTAATAAATCACATGTTAATCCTGATCATGTAAAGTATTTTAGATTTATTGGAAGAATAGTTGGAAAAGCACTTTATGATGGATAGTTGTTAGAAATGTATTTTACTAGATCTTTTTATAAACATATTTTAGGTTAGAAATTGACAATAAATGATATGGAAGATATAGATTTAAATGAATATAAAAGTATGAAAAAGATTTTAGATGAAAATGTTACAGATTGGGGCATTTATTGGACATATACGGTTGATAATTTTGGTAAATTAGAAGAGAGAGAACTTGTTGAGGGAGGCAAATAAAAATAAGTGACTGAAGATAATAAATATGAGTATGTTTAAACTTATTGTTATTAAAAAATGGCTAAGGAGATTAAAGATTAAATAGAAGCTTTTTTGAGTGGTTTTCATGAATTGATTCCATAAAATTTAATTAGTATGTTTGAATGGAAAGAAATGGAACTTATGTTATGTGGATTACCAGATATAGATCGTATATTATAATATTTAATATTTTAGTTGAAGATATGAAGGAACATATAGAATATCATGGATATAATAGAGAAGATTAAATAATTAAATGGCTTTGGGAATTATTAGACAGTTTTGATGAAAGTAAAAGGGCAGCCTTTTTATAATTTATAACAGGTATATTTGTTTATTATTATTTAAGGTACATCAAAAGTACCACTTGGAGGATTTAAAGATTTAAAAGGTATTTAAGGTTCTTAGAAGATCTAAATTCATAAAAAACATTATGTAAATTATGAATTACCTACATCACATACATGGTAAAATTTTTAAATAAATTTATTAGTTTTAATTAATTGGATTTACCATGTTATCCAACAAGGCAAGTTTTAAAAGAAAAATTAGAACTTGCAATATTAGAAGGAAAAGAAGGTTTTGGCTTTGCTTGATTTACCCTTGATATGCATATATAAAAACTAATATTTAATTTAAATTGCAAATATTATTTTTGAATATTATTCTAGAAAATTGATTATACTATAAGATTTAAAAAATATACTAGTTTATATTATTATTTTAGTATCTTAAAAGATTAATTATAAAATTTGTAATAATTATATTTAATAAAAGTTGAATTCATCAACCAGCTTAAGGATGTTGATTTCTAACTCCTTTATTTTGATATACTCCAGTAAATTCTTATTTTCTTTGAGGTAGAGCACGAATAGGTTATTATTATTAAGGAGGAACTCTACTTTATATTCCAGGTTATTGAACAGGTGATCTTGTGATTTATTATTACTATGGTAAAGCCAATCTAGTTGGATTATTATTATAACTATTTGTATTATTATTTCCTAACATTATTGGTTATATATCATCTAATTTTATTCTATTAAAATGAATTACTTTTTCTAGGATAATTAGGAGTCTCATAAGTGATTTATTCTCTGGGAAATGGATGATTATTAAGATCTCTCATATTTGGTTAACCTTATAATGATCTAAGACCTCCTGATTATCCACTTATTCCTAAATTTCTTCCCATTCCTAACCATTCATTTTCAAACTATTCAACTTAATTTTCATCCATATTTAAATAATGATTTGTTGTTGTAATTTAACCTGTTCTATCTCTCTCTCTTAAATGTTTTCTACCTTTATCATTCATCATTCTTTCATGTCCAAATCTATCTATTCCATCGCTATTTTTATATCCTTATTATCTTTCACTTATCTAAATTTAATCATAATAATTTACAGTATGACCATTTACTCCTCTAGCAACAGCATTATTATCAAAATATTTTTCTTATATAACTCGTCCATCTGGTCCCATTTTAGATGATTAGACATAACTAGATGAGTATACCTAAAATACACCATCCTTTGAATGTTAATTAACATCTCTTTAATTTAAACCTGCCATGTGTCTATGAATATTCGAGAATTCCATCATCTCATTTTCTAAGTCATCAAAACCTTTAAAAACAGATCCAAATCCTAAATTAGCTAATTAACGATCCATATGTTGCATCATTTTGTTCTACATTGAATCAAATTCTTAAAACATACTAAATGGAGTCACTTACTAATTGTTCTAGTGAGACTTCATAAATAAATCATATAATACATAATTCTAGATCTAATTTGATCTTGGAGGTTGACTACTTCCTCTATATTGTTGTAACATATATCGTTAAGCAAGAATAAATAAAAAATATAATAAAAAATTTCTAGAAATAACTTTATTTATGAAACCAGAGTAGATTGCTACTGTTGATCCATTTGATTTTATAATGATTCCTACTGATCAAAATTAATAGTTACAATTCAAATTTGGGAATCCTTTGCTTGAAGAATCAGCTTCTACCATTTCCAAGTATGACAAATTAAATACCTAAGAAAAATTGGAGATTTTGAAGGAAAATATTACTCATTCATTACCTCTTTATTTAGTAGCCAATATAGGCTTTATTTTGATGTTGATAATCAATATATACTACGTAAATTAACTTTATTGCATGCCCCAATTATATATAAAGGAGATTGGACATTAAGTATAAACATTTTTTAATTTTTATAGATGATGAATCATAGAAGTTTTCTTAAACCAAAAATATTCATAGTCTTGATTTATATTTGCCTTTAATGGGTTTAATTACTTTAGTATTACTTCGATGTTTAAATGCCGCAATTTCTAATGCCATTCAATACACCTCTATATATATGATCAATACATTTTGGAAATGTCTCTTAGTCTCAGCTATTGAGGTAGTAATTACACGAATTTTATTTTGTTTATTTGGTAATTTTAAAGTTACTATTATTGATTTGATCTCAACTTCAAATTACAAATATTGCAAGTATCATAATTGATAAATGTATAAGTTTATCCACTCTCTACATTTTTAACTTGATTACATTTCATATCTTTTCAGCAGTCGCAACTATTTATATTTTGTTTAGTTAAGCTATTTTTGTGTATAAATCTTCATAAATCTGTATAGAGAAACATGATTAAAACAATCAAGGTATAAGATTTTTATAATTAAGAACATGAGAATAGTTTTGAACCAACTTTAGCCTTTATAATTTCTATGCTTTAAATTACCTGTTCATGTGTTCTTTTATACGTTTTATGATAAAATAACATTCTGTTTTTATGTTCAAATTTTTTTAATCTATTTATTTATTCTTTTTTTATATTTGCATTATTGCAATATCGCAGCATATAATGATTGTATATAAAATCATATAAAACTAATTAAAAGTATTTTAGATACCAACATAATTGAAATTTTAAATAATTTTAAATAATTATTAAACTAAATGATTTTTTTAGTATATTTCATATGATTATTATTAAAAATAAAATCAAGAGGAATTGATATTATATAGATATTAATTATTCTTAAAATAGCAAAATTTAAAATTTGATAAAAATCGAAAATAAACATTCCGCCAAAAAGTTTTAATGTTTTTAGAGTTGATAAGATAAAGTAAATTTTATTTAAAAAACTACAAATTTATCAATGAATTATGAAAGTTAATTTCACAACTGTTGTTTTGAAGGTAAATTATCAATAATTTAAGTGAATAATAAGATGACAACTTTTTAGAGGAAATCATGAAAATAGAGAAATCAACTTGACTTTCTATTTTTATATTCATGGCAAACTAATCCAAAAAATGAAACGATGAATTAGATAAAAATTATTAAATAACATTTAGAATTTGAAGGAACTTTTTTATTTTTTTATTATGGAGTTATCCTGAATAAATCTAAATGGAATGATATTTTATACGAATACAGTAAGGATGGTAATAAGCCTAAATTATATAAATAATATTATTCTATATCAGAATAGATTAAAATTTTTATGCTAAATATCATTAATTGATTATAAAGATTTTAACACGTTATACGTTCATCCAAAAATAACTATTCCTATAGCTCCTAGTTATTGCTATTGATTTATATTTTACAATTAAGCTTTTATTCTAGAAGTCAACGATCACTTATTTTTTTAATAAATTTTATCAAAATTTAATTATTGTTTTTAATATGAAATTGATCAAGAAAATGAATCTTAAACTACACAGAAAGTATCAGAGTACTTTTTATGATTTATGAATTTAATAGTTTAATACTATATCTCTCTTTTAGTTAAACAACTTTATTTTTGATCATTGTTATATTTGATTTTGCACCTAATCATTTTTATGTAAAATGTCTATATTTTAATGATTAAAATAAAATTATTGTCTATATAAAGAAAATTCAAAATAAAAATTTGTTACTTATTAGAAAATCTAAACTTTCTTCCCCATTTTTTTGTATTCTTTATTTATTAGGATGGAATGTATAAAATTAGATTGAAGAAGTGTAGAGAATTTTCAATTAAAAAATTTAAGTGAAATAATGTTTAAAGAATAATTTTTTTGAATTCAAGTATTTTTATAATCATATTATTAATAAACTTTTAATTAGCTTAAAATTAATATATAAATTCAAAAAACTATTCTTTATATATGGCAAATTAACTCAAAGTATTTAATTATAAGTTTAGATTTAAAATTCAATTTATGTCTATAGGTCCTTTTTCCAAATACTTTAAATAATATCTTTTTGTCCACAAATATTTTTACTTCTAATTAACAAATATCTGATTGATTATCCGCTAAAATATAATTAATCCATTAATATTAATCTTTTTTAATAATATCTACATCTCAAGTTTACCCTCATTATTTGAAAAATGCTAAAAATATTTACAAAAATTTAATCATTTATAATAAATAAATTCTATTACTGCTTCAATTTATTGTACTTTGTTATCCTAAAAAGGAGCTTTTCATTATTAAATTTGTTTTACTTTTATCAATTTTTGTATTGAAATTTTATTTTTTAATTTAAATAACATAAATTTGGAAGAAAAGTTCAAAAACTTCATAAAAAGCTTATTTTAAATAATTGACAAATATGATATGATTGTTTATTGATTCACTTAATATTTTAAAAAAATTCTTAACGATTTTTAAACAAATTTTTTTGGAAATACTAATAAAACTTAATTAATAATATTTTAAACAACTTTTCCTCAACTCATAAGAAAATTGTTCAGATAATAAAATTTTTCAATAAATGGCATTTCATTTATTTTTTTCTATTATAATAGTTAAAAAAAGTTGTTGATTCTTTTTTCTATGATATTTTTATTATAAAAGGTTTAAAAAGTTTTATAAAATGGATTCCTTAAATTATGCTTTTTTAAAAAATCATATTATGATTCTTAATATTTGATGATTTTCTAATTAAACAATATAATATTTAAATAGAGTTTTTGATTAAATAATAATATTTATGGGTAATCAATGTTTGTCTTGCCTAAAAAAGTTAGCTTTAAAACAAAATATATTGAAAATGTCTGAATTACCTTAAACAGATATCCATTAACAAGATGAAAACTATACACAAGTGAATAATATAGATGAATCGGAAAATTATCATGAACACTCTGAAGAATAAATATTCACTATCTCAGATAATATATAAGAAACTATAGGTTAATCGATTGATATTTTTCTTTATAGACTAAAGACGACAAAAGAATTTGAAGAGCTTTACCATGATGATTAACTTACAATACTTTTTAAGAGTTTTAAACTTGCAGAGAGATTCACTGTAATACAAGTTAAATATGATTTCAAAATGTAAAAGACTTCTATGAAAGAATTTTTAAATTATACTTATCTTACTCAAATTGATTAATTTACTACTTTGCAGACAAACAGCGAATTCTCATTAATATATGCATGTTTCAAGAAAATTTAATTCGTTGACTCAAGAGAATATGTTTTTATAAAATATTAGAAACAGATCTCTGCAAATAAATATATTTAAGTACTGCGTTCTGTTAAAACTGATTAATCAGAATAAATTACAAGAGGAATTATTCATATAAGTGGGTTTCTGTTGGAAGAAACTTAAAATTAAGAAATAAGAGTTTAGGCTTATGCTGAAGTAGATTTTAAAATCAAATTACCTCCAGGTATGATAAAAAAGGCATTATCAATAGAGCTCAAAAAGGCTCTTTAGTAATTCATTTATTGATTTATATTTATTTTATTTCTGGATTTGTAATATGCAATATAATAAATCTATTATTTCCTTCTAAAACAACTTTAGCAATTTATAAAAACAACCCAAAAATGATTAGCAAACCAAAACAGATAATGACCTCATAAATTAATGAGACCAATTAAAAATAAAATTTCTAAAAAGCCTAAATAAATAGTAGAATAAAAATATTAGAACTTGTTAAAGCAAAAAAGAATTAGATCGATTAGAATTATCATATATTAAATAATTGAAAATAACTATAGGCAAATTGAAGCATTATTTATGATATATTTTATTAATATTAATAGAATCATTTTTTTAGGATAACTTCAATCATAATTATAATGCTATTGAAAATACAAATAAATAGCTGTGGAACTCATCTTCTTTAGACAAAAAGCTAATTTACTTAATTTATTAAAGATCGCTCATTTTCTCTTTTGAATGAATATATCATAATTCCTTATTTTTTCTATATCAGATATTTTTTTGAGTTTCTTATTAATGACTTGTTTTAAAATTGATTTTTTTGTAAGAACAAGAATGATTGAAAAATGGAGAGAGAATTGGAATCTATTCCATTTATGATGAAACCATTCGATTTTGAAATAAAGGTTTCTTTATTTTTTAAATGGAGAAAAATTCAGAAAAGTTTTTGAAACCTGTTTTTAGCCACATTTAATATGGACAAATTTTTACATGGATCTTATTCTAACCTGATTAAATTAATTGAGTGTTTTGGTTAAAATTGTAATTTGATTGTATCTTTAATAATGGAATTTTGAAGTTTAGAAATTATTATTATCAAAAATTTTAAATAAAAATTTCATAAAAATATAATATATAGGTGTGATATAATATTAATATAATGCAAAGATTTATTATTTGATATTATTATTATTAACAAAGAAACCATACTTTTGATATATCAATATATGTCAATTATAGTATAATGATTAATATAATAATAGAATTTAATAGTGCGTAATGTTATTATATATCATAAATATTAATATTCTAAATTTAATTAGCTGTCTACAGTGATTCCTATTAGTAATGAAGATTATAGAAGAAATAAAAAATCAAGTGGAGTAAGAAATGAAAAAAATGATAGGAAAATGCATTGAAAAAAGATACGCAAAGTTAACAGAGAAAATAAAAAAGGAATTTATAATAAAGGTTGTACGAGATGGATCAACTATTAGATAAGTATTATAAGAATTAAATTTAGGCTTCATAAGAATTGTGTATAAATTATTCTTCTGCAAAAGCAATCATGTCAAATTATAGAAAATAGATTGGTGATGGAAAAAAGAAATATAATTTGGAACCAAGATAGGTTAAAGTGAATGATAAATATGACTGGAAGAAATTTAAAATTCTGACATATTGTGAAGAAACATAAACTAATGAATACACTATGGAAACTTTTGCATAAAATATTAAGAAATCTAATTAGGATAAAGTTATAATATGATTGCTTTAAAAATATGCATGATGTTTAAAATACTATATAATAATATTTAAAATTCAATATAAATACAACATTATATTTTTATCAAACTTAATAAAGATTGTAGCATATCTTGTTATCATATCAGGCTTAAAATTTATGATAATTATTATTTTGCAATGTGATATTGTAAAAGTATTATGGATTATAGTTTTTATTCATATATCTCTTTTCATATTTTTATGTCAATTGTTAGATTTAATGTTTTAAGTCTAGCAATTTAACAATAAAATGTAAGATAAACATAATAATTTAATAATGGGCTGTAATAGCGAATTCTTAAATGTAAGTTTATCAAACTATTAAAGCAAATAATTTGTGTTATAAAATGATCAATATTAAATCTTGAGAGATTAATATTGATGAAAAATGAAGGAAGAAATTGGTTCACCAATATTAGATGTGGATTTTTAAATTTAGATCCACACATCAAAAAAAATTAAAAAATTTTTCATAAAAAAATTCTAATGATGCTAACATTATAGAATTAACATTTTTACCTAAACAAGCATAAGAATGTATTCAATTTGCAAATAAATTTATAAGTTAATAATGCGAATATAGTGTTTCAGCCTATTAAAATTTAGTTAAGTTTTGAATTTGAGAAGAATATATTTAATGACTCAAAATAAACTTGATGATTGATAGAAGGTTATTTAAATTGAATAGTGTGAAAATTTGACTAATATTATATTTATATTAATGCAACAAATAATAAGGTTTGAAGTATCGATATTTAAGGACATTCAAGAATAAATAAATAATCAACAGTTTTTGAAAAAGTCAAAATAAAGAATGTTGGATTGGATATAAAAGTCAATAAGGATAATTATAATTATTTTGATTTTTTATTTGTTTTTATGAATCATCGAATATATACTTTTTTAACATATTTATTCCCTTAAATACTCTATTTTCAATTATATATTGAAAGTATTTAAAGTTAAAATAACAAATAAATAATTACAAGCTGAATTAAATAAATAATTATTAGAGACAAAAGATGTTGTAGATCTATTAAAATTGGGATAATAGTATATTCAGATATAAAAAATAACGATAAACATATGATTAATATATGTTATAATAAACAAGCAATCATTTATTCATCTATTATTACTACTTTTATTTGATCCATTCATCATATTGTTCTTTGGCTTCTTTGATATTCTTAGTCATTTATTCTTATTCTTATTATGTCAATTATGAGAATAGACCAGAATACAATTAAGGATTGCTTTGTTATAAAGTCAATATAAGTTTCTCCATTAGTAAAATAGCATCATAATCTTCTAAAGGACTATCATATAATTCTGCATAATCATCTTCCTCTCCATCATAATCTTCATCATCATCATCTTCTTCATCTTATTCTAAATCTTAGATTTTATCTGCTAATTTTTTTTAATCATCTTCTTCTTCTGCTTAATCTTCTTATTCACATGATTCTTCTTCTTCTCTCAATTCTAAAATCTTCGTAGATAATCTCACAAACAATTTTCCTATTTCTGCAGAATTTGTCAATAAATAATTAGGAATTTATGGAAGTGAATATAATTAACATAAAGCAAAAATTAATCTGCTAATATCCCATTCATATTTATAATGTTTTTCCATTTAAAACAATGTCTATAATATTTAATCTGTAATTCCTTTACTATTTAAATAGTTTTAAGCAAGTTATGGATTATACCATATACACATATTCAGAACTCCAATATTAACCATTTTAAATTTATTAGTTTTCTTCTCTTTCTAAAATTATACTATAAAAATATATATACTTATAGATTTAATAATGTGAAATCAATAATCTATGGAATTAAATTATCAATTTAACCTGGGAAATTCTCAATTAAAGCAATCAAAATTGTGGTCACTTAATTTTAATCAGTTTCATCTGTACCATTTTCAGCTATTGTGTATATCTTCTAAATGAATCTGAAAATCAATTATATAAATGAATTTCCAAAGAAATCATTTTATGTTAAAAATGTGCTTCCTCCTTTTTAAATATAATTTCTAAATGATCCCAACATTTAAGTTACAAATTCACTTCCCCAATCTTTTTTACATCCTTCCAATAATACATATTATTCTTCAGTTAATCCTTATAATGCATAAACATTTGTTTCTTATGGTAATCCTATAATTATGTAACATAAAACTGGATAATAAAACCATAATCCTGGTGTTAATTGCTTTTTCTTATAAAGCATTAAATTTAATATTTCCAATGCTTCATTTATAAAATCACATCCTGCTTCTGTCAATGAAAAGTTAATAATTGGAAATATTACTGATTCCAATTATACATAAGATTCTTATTATAATGGAGCATTTAAAATTCTTTTAATTGCTTCTAAACATCCTGATGCTGCTAATTCAGCTTCTCCATCATCATCTGAATCACCATCACCTTAATTTTATTTATTACAATATTTCTAAAATATTGTAGCAATATGTGCAGCTAATTAATGTGCATATGGAGTTATTTCATTTGTAAAATTCTTTACTATTTCCTCCAAAGATCTTACTATTCTTTCATTATCTATTAAATCCATCAATTTAATATAAATTTCTAATACTTAACTTAATTATGGTCTAATCAAATCTTAAGCTTCTTTATGTTATAATATTGAACTAAATGATATTGCTGCTGCAACTCTAACTGGTAATTCCTTATCTAAAATACATTTAGATATTCCTTATACTGCTAATTAAATATTTTATTTATTTTTAAATTCAATAGTGCCATATTCATTAAATAAATGACAAGCACGAGCTCTTAAAAATCCTACAGGATTCTAAAATTCAGGTAAAATATGTTTCTCTAAAATTTATTCCAATCCATCTTTTATGGCATCAATTTTAGAAATTTAATGTACTAAACATTCAATTCCCCATAATAATGCTTCTTTTTTAAGTAAATTTAATGGTTAATTAGTAAGAGGATCAATATTTGAATTGAAAGCATTTTAACAATAGTTTAAGAATTAAATAAGCATTAAATTACCATTAGCATCTGTTTATTAACAAATTTCTTATAAAAGATCATTTGCTGGATTTTTGATATTGTATGTTGAAAGAGAAAAGTCATCTAATCTTTTGATATATTCTTCAGGATCATTTTTCCATAATTCATCATCTCTAGGTGTTAATTACATTTTAGGAATAGCAACATGATAAATCAATTTATCATAATGTGGTTTTAACAAATCTTTAGTATTATCTAATTTAAGAGAATAATATAAATATTTAAGGGCAAATAAACATGTTCTAGGACCTTAAAATTATGAATTATCTGTTAAAATATTATAAAATAATTCCATAAATCCAACAGCATATGTACTTTTAATATGATCTGCAAAATTAGCTGTATCAGCATCAACCATTTTTTTATTTGCAAATTTCTAAATAAATCTTAAAATGATTCTACTAGCCCATTTTTTATTTGTCCATATATATGTTTTTTCTCTTCTAGTTTCTTCTTCAGAATCTTAAGTAAATGAAGCTAATTCTGGTGGAGTAGGTGAAGATATAATTGTTCTAAAAAATAACATCCATTTAGCAACAATATTGAAATCTCTCATATATATTGGCATAATTAAATGAGTAGCATGATGAAATATTTTTAAAATAACTTTAACTAATTATCCACTTTATTCATTATAATTTTCTAAGAATTTCTAAAATAAAGTTTCTAAAAGTGGAAAAGTTGATGCCACTAAAGGTTCTAATGGTTTACGATCATTATCCAATAAAAATTAATGAACCTCACATGCTCTTCGTAAAGTCAATAAAGCACTCCATAAATCATCATATGATGTATAATTCTACAATTTTATAACCAATTATTGCACTAATTATGGCCAATCCTTAGGAAAGTCGATAGCTACTAATTTGTATATTAAGTCTTCATATTATGATCTTAATTTCTTAACTTATATGCATCTAAATAAATCATTAATATTATTACTAACCTTGCTAAAGCATCTATTATAGTTGCCCTAATCAAAGTCTTCTCATCTGGATTCACTACAAAATGTCCAGGCTCTTTCTTTTCTACCCAATGTTTCTCCAAAAAAGTCTTTAAATTCACTACTGCACTTTATCTTACAAGATCTTACTAAGTCTAATCATCTACTATCTTTAGTAAAGAAATTGCATATCTAATTATTTACAGGATATTTATTACAATGGTTGCATAGAAGCCTATTTTAGTAATGCTTCTCCACTGTTCACACTTTCTTATGATGTACCATATGTTAATTATAACGCATTTATTAACTATCCTAAGTCTTATGTTTGCATTCACGAACTAAAATTTAAAATTTATTTTTTTAAATTTTTCAAAACTAATTGCGCTAAAATTACTTCATTATTTTATGTTTCTACTATTGTTAATTTTATAATTGGCAAGCTCTTATTTCATTAATAAAGATGAACTAAAGGTATCATTATTTTTATATTAGATTATTGATCATCATCTATAACAAACTACAGATCATGATCTACTTAATGCAACATATAAAGAATATTTAGTTGGATAGATTGATGCTGCAGATCAAATTATTGCCATTTCATCATTATCATCAACTTTTAATCAAACTATTCAGGTAGCTATACTTGCACTTAATAAACAATAAACTTATACTGTTTATTCCCTTTTCTATGATAAATTGGTATATATCATATAACAATTAATAGCAATTATAACACTTCACTATAAATAGTTAAACACCAAAATTTATAAGCACTTGTACTGCTATAGCATTTGATCTATAATAATATGTATTAGCGTGTGGTTAGAATTATTATTTTCAAAATGGAACTTTAATTTAACTAAATTACATTGAAATGCAGAATACCATTTAGTTTTAATCTCATTAAAATGGATTTATTGTTATTACCAAAACTTCTATCTTTTATTTTGATTTCAATTTTAAACTTGAAAGGAAGTAGTAACATACAGCTTAAGCTTTTTTAATTACTCATTAGTACCTCTATATAGCATAACAATAAATTATTATTATCTAAAATATTAACGAATAAGATGACTTTGAAAATATCTCATTTGAATGTAATTAATCTATCAAAGCATTTGCAGTTTTCTAAGATCATTTGTATGTTTAATGTGAAAAATTTTAAGATATTCATTATTCAGGAAAAATAATTGAATATCCTGAAATACAAACTGTATCTCTGAGCTAAACTAGAAAATTTTTAATTATTGACAGTAGAATAGCTTAAAACATTAAATATAATACTTAAATCTATTCATCTAAATATAAGATATACCCTTTAAATTTTGAAGATCATCTTATTACATTCAAAGATAAAAATGTTTATATTGTTTAATTACTTGATTTGAGTTAAATTTCAGCAAAAAATGCATAAGATAATTTTTAAATTGGAGAACTATAATTTCTAGTAGTTGATTATGGTCTAAAAGCTCTAAAAGTTAATTAATCTACCAATAATTAACTTTAATAGCCTTAAACCCAAACCTATTATTATAGTGATTATATTATTGGAAACGACTTAATTGTGGGAGGGGATGGAGTAGATTCAGGATTTCTTGTAAAAAACTTAGATAATTAGTTATTAAGCACTGATAATTTATTATCTGTCATTAAGTATGAGTTAGAAAAGATTGCTTTCTTTTTCTTAGAAGATTAAATCATTTATGCCGATATTTGCTTATTTAATTAAATCAATATTGATTATAAATGTATAGATTCTTATATCTTTACACGAATTCAATCTCAGCTCACAGATTTTTAAGCAATTTACAGTTAAATAACTGATTAGCTTGTAATTGCATATACTACTGAAGATTCTAAAGGTTTATAGATTTTTATCAATGATATTTTATATAAAGAGGAAGAAAATTCTGTTAAATATTTTTTAGGGTAAGAATTTTTAGTTCTTATCAAAAAATAATCTAAATAATGGATAGAAATTTTTAGATTGTAATTTTAAATTTACGATTTAGAAGCTAAATTATATATAAATGAAAATATCATTCAAATAGTATTTGGATCTGGTGAAATTTATATCTTAGATAATAATAACTAAATTAGAGCTATATCAGATTCCATTTTTGGTTGGCAATAAGTTTTCATTTAAAAATTCAACCAAACTATTTTATCAATAAATTATTCTGAAGACTAACTATTGATTACATCTGAAAAGGAAATATTTATTTATTCCTAATATTAACTGAGAGGAATAGTATAATACAATCTATTCTAACCTAAAGCATTCTATACAACTGATAAATACTTCTACATTTAAAATTCAACTCATCTAATTTAATTAATTTTAACCTAAAAGTAAGCTTTATCCAATTCTCTTTTCAGAGTAATACAATAACCATTCAATTATAGTCTTTTCTTAATTAGTTATTCCTAATTTGAATTGTTGTTTATGAACAATAAAGTCTTAGGTCTTTATAATGAAAAGAAATTTTCGATTTCTTCTTAATGTGAAAGAACTGAGTATTTTAATTTACTGAAGAAAAAGTTGAAATTCTCAAATTCATTTAATGAATCATTAGAAATTGATATAAGCATAGTGGGAACACAATTAGCTTTGAGAGTAATTCCATATTCATTAGAAACTCTATTAAAGCCCTTAAATAGGATTAATATCAATGATATTTTTGATGGTCCAATATCCAATATTTATATAAAAGAATCGGATAAGGCATAATTAAAATAGATGATATCATAAAGTAAAATGATGGCCACCTATTTAACAGAAAATAAAATAACTGATCTTATATATTTCTAAAATGATAAGACCTTATTGTTTCATTCTTAATTACTTTAACTTTGTGTAATAAATTAAGAATGTTAAACATTATAAATAATTGAAGATTAAATGTGTAAATACTTAGATTAGGCTTAAGAATATGCATTTGTGATTTGTTAAAATTATTTATTGTATTTTAATAAGACATCACCTTAAAATATAAATAAACTAACAACAAATTTCAGTAAAATATAGAAATTAAGTGTTGATAAAAATTATATATCTATTTATGGACTTTGTGATTTAAAAAAATATATTGCTATTTATGAGAACTTTAACTTAATTTATTATAATCTGACTAATGAATTGTAAGATATTTTAATTGTTAATAATACACTCTTTTAATTAAGTTTAATTGAATTAACAATCATTGATGCTAAACTTAAAATTGTGTCTATAAATTTACTAGAAGAATTAAGTACATTCAATTATTCTAAATTTTTTGTTGATACTCAATTTAGATAGATTAAGTATCTTTCAAATAATAATTATCTAATTACAACAAACAATGGTCCAACAATTTAAATTGAAATTACTTAAGATTACAAAATTTAGTTTCTCAAGAGATATACATCAATACCTGGATATATTCCTATTGAATTAACCTAAATTACTAATGAAGTTTTTTCTGTAGTTTTCTTTGATTATCAATAAGTCGTAGCTGTATTTTATTAAATCCAGAGTTAAGAGTTGATCCCATATTTTTAATCTATAGAATTAGGTAGAATAATAGCATCAAGTTATATACGTAAAAGCTTAGAAAATCGTTTTGTAATAAGGGATATATCAAACAATAGTAAATTAATAGAATATGATGTGAACAATAATGTAAATATTTAAAATATTATAAAGGCATAAGTATTATCGAATTAAAAAACAGAAGAATCATTATTTTTAACTTTTGTGGCTGAAAATTTTCATTTTTAAACGATGAATGAGTCACTCAGATTATAAATAAAAATAATATCTGAATAAGAGTATTAAATAATAATTATTTTTCAGGTTTGATCATTAAGAATAGATAAATTTAATAGAAATCTTTTTGTATTCATTTTTTGGATTAATTTTATTATTGATAATATTATTGATAGCTCGTTAAATAAGACGATATTTGTTATTAAAAAGTTTTAATGATAGAGAGAAAAAGAAATTTGATGAAGAAAAATTAGAATATAATTGATTTATCAATCAATGAATTGTGTAAAATTAAATAAAATTATTAAAAAATTAAGTATTTTTATTTCTGTTAATGGTAAAATTAAAAGGAGTTTAATTTATTTCTATATCTATCACATAAGTAAATAATGAAAGTTGATTTTGATAAGATTTCTATTTAAGATGTATGATGTATGGTGATACGATTTGTTAGTAAAAGAAATAGAAAGAAGAACATTGAGAGAGAAAAAGATCTCTAAAGATGATAAAACAAAGAAAGGAAAAATGAAAGAAGAAAAGAGTTGAAGAAATAATAAAATGTAATAAGAATAAATGAATTATTTATTATGATTATTGGAGAGAGTGATCTTTATCAATTAATACAATCTATAAATAAGAGATCAATGTTTAAAACAAAGTTTGATCTTGAGTTTATAGATCTAAGCCTAAAGGATGTGCCATTTTTTCATGATTTACGAAAATAAGTAGGAGAAACACAATATTAATAAATATTGAGAGAACTTCAATATGAATGTCATATACCTTATGAACCTTAAGTTAATATAGGTGATATGAGTACAAAGTTTTACTTTATTTTGAGTGGGAAGTTTTTAGTGTTGACTAGAAGTTATATCACATATCAAGATATAGTGATGAATGCAGAACTGTAAGAAATAAAACTATAAGTGATAGATAAAAGGTATTAACTTAGAGATTCTCTGATTTGACACCTTAAGGTTATTTGTACCCAGGATAGCATTTTGGTGAATAAGTAATGATGTTTGATCAATCTCACACTCAAACAATATTACCATTAGAGAAATCTCATTTAATAGTGATAAAAAGAGATGTTTATAGAAGAATTAAAGGTAAATAGAATTATAAAAGGTAGATATTTAATCTCGAAAGTAAGATGCAGAGAAATTCGCATTGTTATCAACAGTTTCTTTGTTTAGCAAATGGTCAGCTAAAACTTTAAGATAGTTGTTAGGAGATATCAGTGAAATTAATTTCATTCCAAATTAATTAATATATTAGCAAGGAGATCCAGTTGATGCAGTCTATATAATTGTAGATGGAGAAGTCTAGTTGTTTAGATAGTACAACAAGAATATTCATCCAATCTCAATTTTAGGATGTAAAGAATGTTTTGGAGATGATGAAATCTTGAGTTAATTTAGAAGTCATAGTGCTAAATCTATAAATTGTGTGCGTCTTTATAAAATATTTAGAAATAAGTTTTTAGATCATATTCCTATACATTGTGAAGGAAATAATCTTGCAAATCTATAAAGTTTTGCAACTTAATCCTAAGTTATAAATCGTCCTTTCCTCTCTAACAATTCAACTCTAAACAAATTTTCTCACTATTAAGCTCAAAATGAAGAATTAAGAGTTTATAGATCAGAATCATTAAAATCATTTAATTCACCAGCAAAAATTTGGCAAAAAGTTATGAACAAAAAAAAAGAAAAAAGCAGAACCTATTAAACAATCTCATCTACTTAATAAGTTCATGATTTATTAAGAAGAAACTATAGACATTCTGATGAATCTTTACAAGCTTAAAAAGTTTATAATAGTCAATCTCCAAAAGTTAAGTTTGCAAATACTCCTACATATATTGAAGAAATTACCAATGATGCTAAATATAGAATACACGCAAATGGTAAATTTGATAAAACAAATTATTTGATGGGTTAAATTAAATTGAGATCGATTACGCAATCAGTTTGGAAAAAATAACTAGATAAAATTAAATGAACTTAATTATTAATAATCTATTTATGTATGATAATCCTATCTCCTCTAACTCCAATAACTTAAATTTTAGAATAAACATTGCTAAACTGTTGTAAGAGAACTTCTAAAGTTAATCTTCATTGGCTTATAGAAGAAATGACATTTTCGGTGATGATGAAAAAAATCATTCTAAGTTAAAACCTCTAATTATTTATGATGATATTACAGATGGATAATAGTCTATGTCTAGTTCAACATCAAGTTCATATTTCTAAAAGAAAATGAATAAAAAATTAACTTAATCAACAGAGGCTGATAATCAAATTGAAAACAATATTTCTTTTTATACAATAATCAACAAATACTATGATTACTATAATAATCAAACTAAATAAAGTCAAATAACTGAAATTTCTTAATAACCTATTCAAAAAATTGAAAGACTTTATACAGAATATAATGAATCGTTTTAGAATACTAAGTAATAATGTAAAAGCTAAATGAAGAATAAAAATAAAGTATCAGGAACTTAGAAACTTAATTCTTCTTGTAAATAAAAAAAAAAATAAAATTTGTGAATTTATTATATTAAATTAAAATTTGTGTTATTATAAAATCATAACAAATTAGTTACTAATGCTGCATAACTCACTGAGGAATCATTTTATTTTGTCACTTGACTTGATTGGTTATATTTTGCTAATTATGTTTTTAATTATAACTTGCTTTGGTTTATTATCTAAAATAAAAAAAAAAACTAATTACATTCAATAGAACGCAGATTGGATGTCTACCACATATAGTATTCTCTGTTTTTTCTAAATATTCATAAAATCCTTTAAGATTATGTGATTCAATTAATTTAATTGCTTATGCATCCAAATTTGCAATTGATTAATGAATTTCACCATGCTCTTTATTATAAGGAGTATATTGAAATCTAAATTAATAATATATTATATGAACCTTTTCCCCCAATGACAAAAATCAGAAGAAATAACAAAAATTGTATTTGGATCAAGAAAATATTTGACTAATACACTCGCCACTTAAGCATCTTATTCCTCTGAAGTTGCACCAACCATAATTGGAATTAGTTTACATTTTGGAAATGCTTTATAAATGAATGGTAAATGCATTTCTAAACTATGCTCTTGTTCTTCAATATCTTTATTAGTAAACACAAAATTTTTTTTCAATTCTTAACTTATTTACTTTATAGCTTAAAGATCATTTAATGTAAATACTTGGTTAATCTAATTCTATGTTGCCAAAAGGTGTTTCATACATTTCTAATTCAGACAATCCAATTCCTTTGATATAAGTATGATGACAAGGTCCAAGTAAAAATACTCTCATTCTAGAATGATTTAAATATAATAGTAGATTACTTTTCCTTTTATAGTGAGTGTTAATATGCAAAGGCTGCTGTAGGTCCTGAATATGAAAAGCCAGCATGTCTATTTATATATAAAATTTATACGGTCCAATAATAGCTTTGATGTTTGGTATTACTTCACTTTTAGCTTTCGATAAGAATTCATTTAATTATGCATCTAATTATTTACCTCAAGATTAATGTAATAAATGTACCATCTCCTATATACCAACTACCTGCATGAGAAGCTTCTCTAATTTTTGATGTTGCTGAATACATCTAATTATAAAATTAATTAGATAATTGATTGCGTAATTTTGTATTCATGTTGAAGTAGAAAAAGATTCCTTGATCTAATGGTAAGAAAATAATGTTTAGTTTTAAGAATATGCGAAATGACCATTGGTTAGGTGTTAAATTAATATGCGGAATAAAAAATAAAGATATTAATAATTATTAATGAACTTCTTTAGATCCCAAACAATGGGCTATTACAAATTGATTATTCCAAGAGAGAGTGCCTGGAATGTCATGAATGAATTGGCTGAATTAGATTGCATTCATTTTGTTGATTATGATCCTACATTGCCTATGATCAATAGACCATTTGCAAATTATATAAAGCGTTGCGATGACTTGCTTGTTAAAATATAACTCATTGAACATGAAATGAAGAAATACTAAAAGAAAATTACACATTGCAAAGATGTCAATTTATTAATAAAGAACTTTAAGTAATTAATCAAAGAAAGGTATGTTATACTATAAATACATTAGGTCTAAAGCTAGTCATACATATTTGGATGAAATTGAAAATGATATCGAAAAGAAACATCAATAACTTATTGAATAAAGCACAAATATGGAAAATCTTCACGAACGCCGAAATAAATTGATCGAACACAAATCAGTTTTATTAAAAGGAGAAGCATTGTTAGGATAATCATTTTTCTAACCGTAACATATTCAATAGTATATAAATAGAGCCAATTATGTAGCTGAAGGATATGTAAATCTGTAAGGAAAAGAATTGGATGACATTAAAGTTTTGCAAGGATCTGTTAAATTTAATTATTTAGTTGGCGTTATCAATAAAGAAGATTAAATTAGATTTAAAAGAATCATCTTTCGTATTACTAAAGGTAATGCTTGGATGAATACTATGGATATCGAAAGTGATTAAATCGTTGACACTAAAAATGTAATATTAAAAATAATTAAATAAGGATGACGCAAAAATTATTAAAAGCGTCTTTGTAGTAGTTTATCCTGGAGGAGGAGGTTCTAATATTATCACAAATAAACTCAATAAAATTTGTGAATCATTTTAGGTTGCTAAATATACTTTCCCCGAAAACAACATGATCTTTTAGGAAAAATTAAGATAAATTGAAACGGAATTAGTTGAAACAAGAAATGTAAATTCTAATAGTAATCATAATAGTTATTGGAAATGACAAAAAATCAAGTTGAAGCTTATTTAGATGATTTTTAAAGAATTTATTAAAATTCTAATTGTTCATAAATAGAAGAATTAAAATTATTTTTGGTTAAAGAGAAATATCTTTATACTTAATTAAATTACCTTAGAGTTTAAGGAAGTGTGCTTTATGGTTCAATATGGTTACCTCATGGTGCTGATATAAAAGTTGATTAGGCATTGAGGGAAGTTTAAACAAGTTATGAAGGTTTACCAACAGGATAATTATAAATATCACCACCAGAAGGTACAAGACCACCTCCTACTTTTTTTGAAACAAACTAGGTTACTTGGGGATTTTAGGAAATTGTTAATACTTATGGTATGCCAAGATATAAGGAAATAAATCCTGGATTATTTACAGTTATGACATTTCCATTTTTATTTGGTGTAATGTTTGCAGATATTGGACATGGGTATAAATTTATATAATTATATCTAGATTTTGTTTATTATTATTAGGGTTATATTTATGTGTATTCAATAAAGATATCAAAGAGTCAGATTCTATATTGAAACATGCTCTAATTGTTCGACATATGTTATTAATGATGGGAGTTTGGGCATTCTATAATGGATGGATTTATAATGATTTTATGTCAGTTCCAATAAATTTATTTGGGTCCTGCTATTATCAAGATGATGAAGGTGATGAAACGATATGGGCAAGAAAAGAAGATTGTGTGTATCCATTTGGTATAGATCCAGTTTGGTTATGTGTACCAAATGAATTAACATTTATGAATTCATATAAGATGAAATTGGCTGTTATAATAGGTGTCATTCATATGATGTTTGGTATTATCTTAAAAGGAGTTAATGCAATATACTTTAAAAATTGGGTAGATTTCATTTTTGAATTCATTCCTCAAATAATATTCTTTACTTGTACATTTGGTTATATGGACTTTTTGATTCTATATAAATGGTCTGAAAACTGGGATAATAGGACTTAAGATGCTCCAAGTATTATCACGTTAATGATTAATATGATTCTAAGTCCAGGAAATGTCGATTAACCATTATGGGGAACTAAAGAGGATTCTTCAGAAGGTTAAGTTTAAACAGCTATGTTATTAATTGCATTAATTTGTGTTCCAATTATTCTTTTACCAAAACCACTTATACTAAATTGTGAAAATAAAAAAAAACATGCTCATGAATAAAGTAATTTAACTGATAATATGAACAAAGATCTTTACTAAAAAATAAATGAAGTAAAATTTATTTAATATTTTTTTAAAGGAATCTGAAGGCACATAAGAAAATTCACAATTACAAGCAGAATCTTCTGGTGGTGGACATCACGAAGAATTTGGTGATATATTTGTACATCAAGTAATTGAAACTATTGAATTTGTGTTGGGATCTATTTCTAATACAGCTTCATATTTGAGATTATGGGCTTTATCATTAGCTCATGGTTAATTAGCTGAAGTCTTTTTCTAAATGTGTTTAAATGGAGGTATAAGTACAGGAGGTTTTGTTGGTGCAATAAGAGTATATTTTATTTATTAATTTTTAGCTCCTAATAGGATATGCCATCTTCTCTTTAGTAACTTTTGGAGTGTTGATGATGATGGATGTGATGGAATGCTTTCTTCATGCATTGCGTCTTCATTGGGTTGAGTTCTAGAATAAATTCTTCAAAGCCGATGGATACGCATTTGAAAAATGTTCATATGCTAAAGTAATGTAAGACAATGCAGCCCCAAAAGAAGAATGATATATAATAAATTTTTATATCATACAATATTGTTATTTTATAATATAAACTATTACTTTCAAAAATTGATATAAAATAATTTTAATGAGATGATTATTGATAAACAAATATATTAATAATTATTTTATGCATTATATGCTCATTTCCCTAGATGACTGAAAGGAATTATAATCTTTTTCCATCCTGGATGATTTTTTGCTAGTTTTCTTGAAATCATTTCTGCTAACCAAATAATGTTTCTAATTTCTTATTCTTTAAGTTTCAAATAAGAATAGAAGACCTAATATATTAAGTGTATATTACTCCATATGAACCTTAACCATCAAAAGCTAGAGCATATCTTCTGCATTCATCATCATACATAATATCGTCTAGTGTTCTATATATTAATAGATCTATGTTATTACTTTGTCTGGACATTGAATTCTTCTCTCTTTAAAGGATCAGGAGCATCTTTTAGTAAATCCCTATAATTATCACAACCTTTGACTGCTTCTCTTAAAGCATCCAAAGTCATGGCTTATAAATACAACTTTTCACAATCAGGATATAAATTTCCAATAGTTGGACATAATTACTTTCTGGTTGTAATTATTTTAGCTGCTGTATTTAAATCTCTGTTTCCTATTGAATTATATATGACCTAAACAGTTTTGAAATCTGCTTCAAATTTTAATAATTCTAAGAGTGCTTCTTATGAGGTTGGCATTAACTAAATTTATTTTAATTGCTTTACTTCTTATTCACAGAACAAATAGAAATCTTCTAACCACATCTTTTTAAGTGATGTTCTAATATATTCAGGCTTCATTTCTCTGAATAAATTTTATATGTCATTTAGAGTTCTATTTTCATGTAAATTCTCTATTGATTCCTCCAAAAATTTCATAAAATAGACACCTATAGGTGTGTCTATAAGAACATCTCTATATAAACTGCTATAATCATCTCCTTCAAGAACTTTAATATTTTTTATTTCAGGGAACCAACCAAGTGGATCAATATTACTCAAAAGTATTTCAATATCAATTTTATTCTTTAATCCTTCTATCATATTGACTACATTATCAATCATAAAACGACATCTTTAATAATCAATTAATAAAATCATACCTCAAATGAAATAAGTATTTTGTCAATGTTCCAGTTGATTGAGCTTCAATATACTCAAATTCATCAGCCAATTTCTTTTTGAGCCTTTATCTCAATATAGATGTAGGAATTTGAGGATTGTCTGCTTATAGGCAATTCTATATTAATTATTGTCACATTTACTTAATAATCTGTTTCTTCTAAGAAAGACTTTAATTCTGGAATTGAAGCACAATTCTTCATTTATTAATATTAAGCTTCAGTCAAAAAACTTGCTCTCAATCCTCTTATTATTGCTTCAGCATAACCATCGTCAACCCCAAAAACACAAAGATCCATAAAATTTAATTTATTAAATTTCTATGCAAACTTTGAATTAAAATATGAATATGGATGATGCATAACACATCCCAATCACTATCAATTAAAATGAAAAAAAACCTGGGAATTGTTGCAATCATAATCATTAACATAATCATTAACATCATCATCATAATCATAATCATAACCATCATCATTCTTTTAATCCTTTTGCAAATGTTCCTAAGGAAATGAAAGTTTTTATTTGGCATGCCATTCTTAATGGAGACTATGCAATGTCAATTTTTATGTAATTACCTATGATGGCTTAAGGTTATTATTTTTATATGATGATAAAGTAATAAAATGATTCTATATTTTAGTTAAGCTTTATTGACACCCGTTTATAGATTGAACGGATTCCTTAATTCATTTTTCTCAGACAACATATTAAGAAAACTATTTGGAGGGCTTGCTATATATTATTTTATTGTTCATGGTCTTTTACTTTATTTAAATTATGAGACCTATCCTGAATTGGTATCAATATACATCTAATTTTTTAGAATTACATTTTGTATATCATTTATGGAATATTTACAACTTACTTTATTGTTTTATTGTGTCCAGCAGGACAATTTAAATAAGCTGATTTTAAAGAACTACAAGCTGCTAAACCAGAATTGTTCACTCTCTCTAAAATGAATAGAAATATTTGTGTATTGTGTTCAATCCCTAAAGTTTTTAGATCACAACATTGTCTATATTGTCAAAAGTATCTAAATATATTAAGATAGATGTATTAAAAAATGGGAATTTCATTCTATGTAATTCAATACATGTATTGGACTGTACAATTATCTTTTCCTTGTTCTTTATTTGTTTTTTTGGACTTTATATTGTTTTGCGATACTTAGATAATTTACATTAGAAGAAAGAAAACAATAGAAATCATTTTTTGATTTGGTTGTAATAATAATCAATATCTAATAAATCTATTATTTTGGTCAATAGTACTTATTGTGTTTATTGAGAGTATTTTTATTAGTAATCATCTTAGATTTCTTATAACATCACCCCATCAGAATTAGGATAATGGAGAAGATATGCATATTTGTGGGCAAATGAAAGAGGGATGTTTGCAAATCCTTTTGATAAAGGAATTATAAATAACTGGATCTCATTCTTTAAACCATTTTTTACAAGCAAAGGACAAGAAAATTGGGCAAATAATAAGTACTTAAATGTAACTGATATTCCTAATCATCCTCTTGGGGCCAAAGCTTAACAAATTATAGATTAATAAATTCAATAGTTAAGGAAGATGGAAAAAGACTTATTGAAAAAATAAGTAGCTGATGATGAATCAGAAGGCCTTTTGAATTAGTGAGGGAGAATATTTTTGTTTATTTTATTTTTAAGATGTTTAAATATTATACAGACTTTATTGATTAATTTAAAAAATTTGAGTATTAATTTGTAATATGTTATTCAATTTATTGAAGTTCAATCGTCATGACATTAAATTTTACATCATAAATTAAAACTATATATGCGAGAGAAAAATTTTCTAAAATTTATTATTTTAATTTTAAGAACTCAGAATTTATTTAATGGGAGGATTATTTTTTAAAAAAGGAGTAGATAAACTTTAACCAACAACAAAATCATTCTTTGAATTTGAATTGAATAATATAGATGGATAGAGAACTTAACTCTCTTAATTCAAAGGCAAAAAAGCATACATTTGCGTAAATGTTGCATGCTCTTGTGGATTAACATCTTCAAATTATAGTGAGCTTGTCGAACTCTATAAAACTTATAGGTAAAAAATAATAAAATTTAAGTGCTTAAGGTCTGGAGATTTTAGGTTTTCCATGTAATCAATTTATGGGTTAAGAATCCAAACCTGAACCTGAAATTAAGGAATTTGTTCTTTCTAAGTATGGTGTCTCATTCCCATTGTTTTAGTATTTATTTAAAAATATTGTAGAAAAATTGAAGTTAATGGTTAAAACACTCATGAGGTTTATAGATATTTGAGATTAAACAGTTCACTTAAAGTAAGTTAAAATGAAGCAAAAGAAGTACCATGGAATTTTGGAAAATTCTTACTTAATTCATAGGGTCAAGTAGTGAATTTTTATAATCCTGATGTAAAACCAAAAGAGATGAAGTAAGAAATAGAAAAATTGTTAAATTAATGATTGTATTATTAACATAGACATATTAAAACATCAATAAAAAGTTTTTTACAATTTGATTCATCCATTTGTTAAATAATATTATAAGTATTCTTAAAAAATTCCTAGAATGAAATATAATAAATTTTATTAAAACTTAGATTCATCTTTTTATAATATGTATTTCTAATGAATATGCTGGTATTATATATTATTCTTTTATATTTACTAAAGAAAATTGAATAACAAAAAGATTTAAATTTTCATTAAAAAAAATCATTAAAACACTATAAAATTATTTCTTTTTCCATATTTTTGATAGAGTAATAGAAGCTATGTAATTTAAAATATATCTCTTATGTTAGTTCTGATATTCAAAGTTAAAATTTTTTAAATTATGTATATTATTAATTCTATTGAAAATAAAAAAAAGAAAGAGATTGTAAAAATCTTTTAATATGTTCTATTAATACGATTTTGATTTTACAAAAGAAATGTAGTAAGTTTTTTCAATCACTTTGTTTTTACGGTGTAATATAATAATTTATCATTAATAAAGCGAGGAGTTTTTTCATTTATATTGATCATAATTGTTATGAATTTTAATTAATTATGGGTATTAGCCCCATTTTCTATAGTGATATTGATCATTGTGTACTTGGAAATAATGTTGATATATGTAAACTAGAGTTCTTAAAATAGATTTTCATAAATCCAGAAGGGAAAGAAATCATCTAGGTGGTTTTACATCATTTACTATTGTTGGCTGTTATATTCTCATTTTACAAAACATCCACTACTAAACCAGGAACTCCAAAATAAACAGATACTGAAAATGACTCTTTGACTAATTAGAGGAAAACTTGTAAATTTTGTTACAATACTAAACCAATCAGATGCCATCATTGTAGATAATGTAATAAATGCATATTGAGAATGGATCATCATTGTCCTTGGGTGAATAACTGTATTGGGCAAGACAATTATAAATATTTTTTTTGCTTAGTTTTTTATGCTAGTAACTTAAAATGAATATTTAGAGCCCTAACATCAGTTGTTTACTTTACCATATATTTCAATAAAATTTTAAAAAACCCACCAACAGGTTCGGTTGATACTTATTTTATAATATTTGCTGCTACTCTAAGTTTTACATTGATGATTGTCTTATTTTTATTCTTAGCATTTCATACAAAGTAGAGATATATATTATTTTAAAAAGATTAATAAGCAATAATTAAACTACACTAGAATATTTTGAAAAATAACGAGAACATTACGATAAAGATTTAGTATCTAATTTTAATGAATTTTTGGGACCTGGATGTTGGTTAATACCTATTTGAAATATAAAATTTATTATTTTTATTCCAATTTATTATAAATTATTTCATAAATAATTAATTTATAAAGTATGAAAAAATTGGCTGAATTGACAAATAAGGAAATAATTAGTTTATTATCAAAATAAGCTCATATGGAATTATAATCAAGTTTTTTATATTTATAATATGCTTATTGGTTTGATAATAACAATTATGAAGGAATAGGAAAGTTTTTCAAAGCTGAAAGTGAAGAAGAGAGAAAACATAGTGTTTAGATATTTGACTATTTAAATGTTAGAGGTGTTTAAGTGACAATTGATCCATAATAAACAGCTTTTCAAAATTTGAAGACTTAGTTTGAGAAACCTGGAGATTATTTTGAAGCTTATTTAGCAAGAGAACATTTGAATTATTCTCTTTTAGATAAGATAGGAAAATAAGCATAATAAAGTGAAGAGATATTAACACATAAATTTATTGGCTCAATGTTAGAAGATCAAGCATCATCTGTAGATGAGGCTGAAAAATTATATGCCAAAGCTCAAGCTTATTCTGCATTTCCTGGATTGTTTTATCATTTAGATGTATAAATCAAAAAAGGAAGCCAATCATTTGATACATGGAAAACTAAGCATTCATGATTTGAATTTATATATTGGTTTATTAGAAATGATTATTTCTTAATTTCTGAATATAAAATATCATTTTAAAACTTTATGTGAACAACATATATATATATAAATATGATTTATTTTTTTAATAGTAAATATAATAATTTACATATAGTATAGTATTAATTTATATTAAGTGATTAAAATAAAAAGATCCGTATTATATATAAATATGACATACTTTTTATAAGAATTAATAAATATATTGAAAGATATTCAACATGTAGTGTTTAAGAGCATTGAGATACTTTTCTGTATGGTCTTAAGTACCTATGGGACCAGCTGATCCAATTTTGGGAGTGGCAGCTTAATTCAAAGCTGATCCAAGCACATAAAAAGTAAATCTAAGTATTGGAGCTTATCGTGATAATGAAGGAAAACCAGTAGTACTTGAATCAGTGAAAAGAGTATTAAATTATATATATAATAGGCTGAATAAATAATAAAAGAGAGAAAATTAGATAATGAATATCTTCCAGTTGAAGGACTTCAATCATTTATTGATGCTTCAATAAAATTAGGATATGGAGATGCTTATTATGCTTAAAATGGGAAAAGTATTGCAGGATGCTAAGTTTTGAGTGGAACAGGTGCAGTAAGACTAGGATTTGAATTTGCTAAAAAATTCTTACCATAAGGAACAAAAGTATATATGCCAAATCCAACATGGCCAAATCATCATAATATTGCTAGAATGGCAGGATTAGAAATTTTAGAATATCGTTATTTTGATCCAAAAACACGTGGTGTTGATTTCTCTGGATTAGTAGAAGATTTAAGCAAAGCATAAAATGGATCAGTTATATTATTCCATGCTTGTGCTCATAATCCAACTGGTTGCGATTTAACTACAGCTTAATGGACATAATTATTAGATTTATCTAAATAAAAGAATTTCCTTCCATTCTTTGATATGGCTTATTAAGGTTTTACTAGTGGAGATGTAAATAAAGATGCAGAAGCAGTTAGATTATTTACAAAATAAGGAGTACCAATTGTTTTAGGTTAATCATTTGCTAAAAATATGGGATTATATGGATAAAGAACAGGTTGTCTAAGTTTTGTATGTGCTAATTAATCTGAAAAAGATAAAGTTGTTTCATAATTGAAATTATTAGCCAGACCATTATGGTCAAGTCCACCATTACATGGGGCTAGAGTAGCTGATATCATACTGAATACACCAGAACTCAATTAATTATGGTTGTCAGAAGTGAAAATGATGGCAGATAGAATTCAATATATGAGAGTAAGTTTAGCAAATACATTAAAAAATCTTGGTTCTCCACATGATTGGTCTCACATTTCTAAATAAATTGGTATGTTTGCTTTTACTGTAATATTTATATATTTATATAGGGTGTTGGTCCAGATCATGTTAAGGAATTGATTGCCAAATATCACATTTATTTATTAAGCAGTGGAAGAATATCTATTGCTGGATTGAATGAAGGAAATGTTAAGTATGTTGCTGAAGCATTCCATGATGTCACCAAGAATACAAAATTATGAAGTATTAATGAATTATTAATATAACATTATTATTACATTTTTATCTGTCTCAGCTTGATTTACAATGAAATTAAGAAAGAACATTTTAATGCAATATTTTTTAAAAACAATTTATTCATTAAGATTATCAATAAGAGTGATTATAATATTGATAATTAATAATGCTCAATAAGTACACTCTTGAATTTCTATTTAAGGATTAAGCTGAACAATATGAAAACTACTCCAAATCATCTAAACTAAAGGAAGTAACTAACTTCACTATCTATTCAGTTGTAATTATTTCATTCTATTCTAGTCTTTTTCCATTCTAAACACCTTTAAATTTATTTTACGAGATTCTATTCCTTATTCAATACTCAGTGGAATATCTATTATAATTATTTTGATTATATGGAAAGTATTACAAAAAAAGCCTCACTTAATCAATTTAATTGTTACAATTTATCAATTGTTTTTACTCTGTGCTTTTAAAATGCCTCAATTATTTGAAGGTACATCTAATCCAACTTTAGATTAATCTTGGTATTATGGTTTTTAATGTGGATATTTACATTTTAGTGTTTATCTTTTAAGTGCTAATTTCATTTATTAAACCTTTTTACTTATTATTGTTATTGGAGTTCATTTATATCAAGATAATATAGATATCAAAGACGGAATCATTAATATATTTTTATTTGTTTTTTTGGCTATGAGTATGATTGCAATCAAGTACAATTATGAAAAAACTAAAAAAGAGTAATATTTTTAAAGTTGTCAACAAGAAAGGTGGGAATAACTATTATCTAAAGTATTGTCTAGTTCCATTTTACTTGTTTCTCATGATAAAAAATAGGATCAATTATAACTTGAAAAAGAAAATAAATTTTCATCAATTTTATTTAGATTAAAAGATAGTGAAAATTTGAGATAGTTACTTAGATAGGTAAATAAATTTTTAGTTTTTTTAGTTAATTGTATCTTCCAGTAGAGATCCAGAAGATAGTGTTTCAAATTTAGTTCATATTAGTATGGAAACTACTTTGAGAAGATTTTTAATTCACACATAAGAATTTGCTGATACTTTTAAAACTTACAAATATACTGTTCAACATTAATAAACTTAGAAATTATATAATGTCAAAATACTTAGATGTGTTTTTAATAATAAACTACAATGCCTACTTATAATAGATCCTAAGAAAAAATATTTTTATAATTAAACTTAAGTTTTATGGAGTATTCTTTAAAATATAACAGAAACGGCAAATGAATAGTCACGTTTTTTAATCAAAATGTTAAATAAATTTAATCAAATATCCATTAAGTCAAAATTGACGGATTAAAAATTCTATTTCAATCACAATTTCCTACAAAATATTTCAATCATTTTTTAATACAAATCAAATCGTCTAAAATTATAAAATATTACATAAATTTCATTATAAGCAGTACTCGATCCCTTAATTGGAATTGATTCTAAAAAAGTATAACTTACAAAATCCTTTATTCATGATATTTCAATAATTTAATAATTATTAATATCATGCTTTTACATAATTTAGCATATTTTTAAAGATATGAAAATTTTAGAAATACTAATAGAGAATCAAAATAAAGAGATTTTCTTTTCAATTAAAATAAAGGAGAGAGATAAAGTAATTTAAACAAAGATTTTAGAAATCTTGTAAACAAACTGGGTTAAATCTCCTAAAGGATTTTTCCATAAAAATACTAGACATCAATCCCTGTTAGAAAGAATGAGTTATTTAACATAACAGTTTTAGATACCGATAAATTTGCTACTAAATATTAGTATCACTTAATTAATTCTCTCTGAATTTGGAGTTTATAATCACTTAGATATCATATAAGCTAATAATGAATTTACTTTCCAATTTTCTTTAGTTGCCTAAATTTAATGATATATTATTTAAATTACTTGATTTTATATATTATAATTAAAAATAATATGTAATTAATTGCTGTATTAATTGCTGCATATAATCCCGTTGAAAAGAAAGTAATAATACTAACACGTTATTATGAATTAAATTCAGTTGGAATATTCTATAGAAATACTGTTAAGGATTCTATGAAGTTTGTTTGTAGAGAATCAGTTATAGGACTGGATAAAGGAACTAGGTAAAGAATATAACTAATCTAAAGACATTCAGTATTACATGAAGATAAATATTGTCATATATAAATGGGTTATGGAAGTGATAAATTAGGAGCATATGCATTTTGTGATTAAGACTATCCAAAAAGAATAGCATTTGCATTTTTAAATGCAGTTTTATAAGCCTTCTAGAAAAAGGTAGGAGATGATTGGAAAAAGTATAAGGAGGATGAAAGTATAGAAGTTCCAGAAATTAAGCAAGTATTAATATAAAGTTTTAGCAAAGTTATTCTTAGAATATTAAGATCCAAAGAATGTTGATAAAGTATTACTTGCATAAACGAAAGTTGATGAAACTAATATAATACTACATGAAAACATAAAAAAACTATTGGAAAGATAGGGTGATTTAGATTAGTTAGTTGCAAAAAGTAATGATTTATCAGCTGGTGCAAAAATGTTTTATAAATAATCTAAAGATATGAATAAAAAGAGTTGTTGCGAAATTTTTTGAATGTTACATGAATTAAAAAGAGATATAATTTATTAATTCAAACATTATTATGTATACTATATTTGGGTTTATTAAAAACCTTCCTAAATTCTTGCATGTAAACTGAATTACTTTTTCGAATATTTTATGAATCTTATCTTTGTGTTAACTTGGATGATATTAATGATTGTCTATGTGTAGATGAAATTCTAATTTTTGAATCATCATTTATTGTTTTACATATGTTCAAAAAACTTTGCTATTATTTTTACATCTACAGAATAAATAGAGTTAAATTACTTATTATTTCATAAGATTTGTAATAGATCCCTAATAAGGATTAGTAGTATTATGATAAGACTGAGTCTTATGTCTCAAATTGGATTGATAGGCATCATTTTCTAAATTGATTTTTAATCTCATTTATTGTTTGAGATATGATTCTATAATAATAAAGCTATTATTATACTTTAAGGAATTGAAGTATGATTATTTAATTCTTACTATTTGATACTACGATAACTCTTAGATTAATTATTTTGTGTTGATGTTTTATTTTGTTTTAAATAATAATCTAATTAATGCTTTTAAAATTTGTTATCTTCTTAATACTATGTATGATGATGTTAGGTAGTTCTTCTGTAATTTTATAAAATCAAAAGCTTACATACTTAGTTGGGTTACTACAGACAGCAAAAGTACGTTCTAAAGATTTACATACTGTTTAAGGTTTGTTAGATGTATTTACATTCTAGTTCACTACAAGAATGTTATCAAAGAAACTGTCATTCAAACTCATGTATTTTGAATTTAAATATTATTAAAATAAAATGAATTAAGAATAACAAAAAAAATTATATTGGCATCATTTTATTGCTGGTTTAATTGGAGGATTCATTAGTGTAACTGTTTGCCATCCTTTAGAAGTAGCACGTAGCAGATTAAACCTCTAAGTAATGAAATATCAATTTTAAGAATGCTACTAAATCTGTAAATAAATACAATGGTTTTATTAATACGCTATACGTTATATATAAAGAAGAGGGTTTTGCTGGTTATTATAAAGGTATATAAGGATTGTTATAATAAAGGTTATAGAGCAACAGCAATCGCTAATCCGATATTTCATTCTCTTTTCTTTCCCCTTTATAAATGGAACAAGGAAAAATTAGAAAGTTAGTATGAAATCAGAGGATTTAAAAATCATCTTTTGGCAACCATAATTACAGGTTTTGTTTGTGATTTAATCACAAATCCTTTATGGGTATATCAATCAAATTAACTCATATTTAAAGCTAATCAGAACTAGAATGTAAACATAATACTTGCATGATCATAATAATCCAAAATATACAAGTGTTTTTAAAGGATTGATTAGTTTATATAGAGAAGTAATCAATTTATTTAGTTTTTAGGAAGGCTTCTTAGCTTTATATAAAGGTCTTGGAGCTACTGTTTTAGGTTTATCTCATGTAGCAGTATAATTTCCAATATATGAGAAATTGAAATAGAATTATACTGATAAGAATGGATAACTTTCCCCAATCGATATTCTTAAAGCCTCAATATTATCAAAATGTAATCATTCTTATAATCTATATTATATAGCAATTGCTGTGTTAATAACCTATCCTCATGTGGTTATAAGAACTAGATTACATGATAATAAAACTATATACAAGAGTGGCCTCAGATCAAGAGTTAGAATTATTGATATTTGTAGAGTTATATATGAATAAGATGCTATAAGAGGATTCTACAAAGGTTTAATACCAGATTTAATAAGAGTATTACCTACTAATAGTATAACATTTCTTGTTTATGAACTCTTCAGTTAATACTTAGGTAAGCATTTTTGAATGGATTAAGTGCATTTAAATATGTATAGGAGAATGTATATAATGTATTAAATCAAAAGTAATTTTCAGTGTTCATTGTATCTATTCCTAATTCATCATTATCCTCCTCTGTTCTATCGAATGTAATAACTTATAAATTGAAATCTGTATTAGGATCTCCAACATTGGAAACAAAGCTGCTATCAATCAAATCTCTAATAATTATTGTGAAATTTTAAGTTCCTTCATGAAAAGCTTGTAATTAATCGAAAACCTTTTGTAATTTATTATCCCTATATGGATCATCACCATTATAAATAGGGGTTTTGTCTCTTAAATGATCTAAGATCTTTTAGATTAAACCTTAGATTGTAGTAAATAGAGATCCTAATGTGCCAGTACACATTTCTAATTCAATTTCTGGTATTTATAAACTGGCTGTTTCAGATTTAAATACATCTCTCTTTAAATCATTTTAACTGTTGACATTCAATCTAAACATTTTCCCTTAAGGAGTAATACCATTAGCTCCTTTAACTTCAGTATCCTTATATCCACACTCATCACATGAAAATGACATAATAATGAGATCTCTGACAAAAGGAATAGTAATTTTACACATTCTATTTAATCCTTCACCACCACATTAATTACATTAATTACAAAATTCTAATTCATCATTATCAAATTATTCTTAAACAGCTGATGTGAGATTTTAATTGTTCAAGTTAATTTGAGCTTAGTTTTAATTTTCATTTTTTTTTTAACTTTCTTAATCCATTTGATTGGTTTGTGTTGATTTGTTTTATTTATAAATGATATTTTTCATGAATTCAATTTACACTCTTTTAAATGAAAGAATAGTCATCAGGATTAATTAGTTGAATTTTAAATGTAAACTTTTATTTTTAAAATAGTCATTAAAAAAAAATATAAATTTATGATCAATTCTGATAATTTTCAGTTTTCATAGTATCTATACCTAATTCATCATTGTCTTCATCATTTCTGTCAAACAAAGTAATTTTTACTTAATTATCCTCATTTGGATAAAAAGGATTTTAAATGAAACTGTTTTCAACTAAATCTCTTATTTATAATGTAAATTATTTTTTTCCTGATTTAAATTCTTCCAATTATTGAAATATTTATTCCATCTTTTTTTTATAATCCTCATCAGCACTATCACCAACAAATGGATTCTAAAAAATATATGTTATTTATTATACATTATCTCTTAAACGAGTAAGAATTTATTCTAATAATCCTTCAACATTTGAATAAACTCCACCTAATGTTCCTGTTCCTAGTTCTAAATCAATTTCAGGAATTCTCAATTTTGCAGTGTCTGATTTAAATACATCTCTACATAGATCTTTTTCATTTTCAAACTTTAATTCTATCAGTTTGCCTTATTTACTTATTTCACCAGTTGCTTTTACTTCAGTATCTTTAAATCCACAAAATTCACAATTAAAGCTCATTATTAGAATTTCTTTAAAATGAGGAATAGTAACGGTACACATTTTATTTTCTCCCATTTCTTTACAAACATTACAAGGTGTTGGAATATTGATTGATTCATTTTTAACAGAATCTTCTATTGGTTAACCAAAATTTTATCCACCTGCTTAAATTTTTTCAGTTCCTTATCTAATTGGATCTGTTATAACTTATTGTTATTATTGAATTTCTTATTTTTAATTTTCAGCACTATATCCCATAGCTTCTAATTCTTCAATTGTTCTTATATAATGATTTATTTTTAGTTATGGATCATCTTAAAGTTCATTTGGATTTTAAATGAAACTATTTCCAGATGGATCCTCCATTATCCAATTAAATGGTAATCCTTAACCTTCTTTAAATTACTTTAATTTTTCAATTATGTATTCAATACGATCATAAGTTTCTACTTATGTATATTTTCTTATAGGTTAATCATGAGATAAATCATCAATAATATTTTAAAGAAATCCTTCTAAAGTATTGATACTACTTTTCTTATTTGATGGCATTTCAAATTCTAGTTCAGGAATCAAAACTTTACAAAACTCTGATCTAATTATTTGTCTTTAAAGATCCTAAAATTATATTTTATTATTACTTTTGGATCGCTAACTTTTAAATTTAATTTTATTCCTTTATCTTTAATTTCACCACCAAATTACACTTCATTATTTTTATATCCACAATGTTCACAATCAAAAGAAACAATAATAATATTTGAGAACATTGGAATTTTAGTTAAAAGTATTGTTGTTTTACCTTATTACTCACAATTTACACATAAGCTATCAGTAACAAAAGCTATTTCATAATGATAAAATTAGTACGTTCAGAATCACCTGTAAGGTTTGCATATATTACTTCTGGATTATTCATTAATTAAATTTTAACAAATATATAACACTTTGATTATTAATTAAAACTAATATAGTCTTTAAATAAATATTATTTAATGATGATTATACATTTAAACATTCTTAATTTCAATCATTATTATATCAATTATTATTATTACTAAACTTCCTCTTACATTGATACATCTTCTTAATGTTCTTCTTACATTTCACCTTCTTCATCCCATATATCTTCCCATTCTCCTTCATTACCTCTAAGTTCTCCAAGATCTTCAAATTCTTTAACTAACTTTCCCCAATCTTTAGGAAATGGATCATTAGTATTATCCCATCCATTTTATAAGAATGCAATCATTTCTTATTCACTTAATAAACAACTTTCAAAAGCGTCTAAGATTTCTTATTTGGGTAAATTTTATCCAATAAATACAATCTCTTATCTTCTATCACCAATAGGTTCAGGTAACCAATTATGTTTTAGTCCATCCCAAATAGCCTATTAATATTATATAAAATAATTTACATCAACTTCTTCTTTAGTATCAGCCCAGACTTTCTTAGGAATAGATATCCACCAAAAAGAACCAGGATGGTAAGTCAATTATGTTCCTGCTTTATGAATATGAATGTTTAATCTTTCCCAACTTGCAACCCACATATATCCTTTACATCTTATTATATGATTCCAAAAAGAAACCTCTTCAGTACTATTTCTTTCTATCAATTAAAATAATTTATCAGGATTAAATGCTCTCCTAGACTTAAAAGCACATGATTGTATTCCATATTCTTCAATTTCACTTTTATGAATAGGCTTTTAAAGTTCTGCTATCCATTTTCCAGTTGTAGATGCTTCTTCAAAATTAAATAATTTAGTATTAATAATTTCTTTTAAATCTATTTATCCCTATATAGATTCAATTATCTTAGCATTAGGATTTAATTTTTTTAATAAATTTAATATAAATTCTTTTCTTTCCTAATCCACTAAATCTGTCTTATTTAAGATAATCACATTAGCAAACTCTACTTAATCTAATAATAATTATGATAATGGAATCTAATCCATCTATTTATTATCTACATTCATTTCTTCTCCTTATTTATCTGATTACAATTAATCTAAGAAATTTAAAGCATCAATCTAAATATATAATATATTTTAAGATACCATTGTGACCATTGTATCAAGTCTAGCAAACTTCTTTAACATTTAACCCTTCTTTCTCATTTCCTCATTCTCAAAATAAAATGCTTAGGCTATTGGTAAAGGCTCAGCTATTCCTGTACTTTCTATCAACATATAATCAAACTTTCCTGATTTAGCTATCTTCGATATGTGTTTTATTAAATCCTCTCTAAACTTATTTAACTTTATTTTTACCTTAGTGTACAACATATACATCCATTTGACATCTCAACTAGTTTTTCTTTTGTCTTTTTTACACTAAACTTTCCTTCCTTTATTAAATTTGAATCCACATTTATCTCTCCCATGTCATTTACGATTACAGCTATTCTATAATCATGTCTCTATTTTAAAATATAATTCAATAAGGTTGTCTTTCCTGACCCTAAAAAACCACAAAGTACTGTAACAGGCAATTTCTTAATTTTAGTTGTGTGATTCATGTGCCAAGTTAGATATTATTTTTTAAATTAAAGTGTGATTCATGAATTACCACAATTTATATTACAAAATTTTCTTATATTCTCACCCCCCTTTTTTATTAATAATAAAAATTTTATTAAAATTATACATTGTTTTTTATGTGAAGAATTGTTTAAAATCCAGTCTATTTTTAAAAATCCTTAGCTATCTTTTTAATACTCATTTATAAACTTTGTGATAAAACAATCATATATATAATAAATCAAGGATACAATATTGCTTATTTATAAATTTCTCCCCTTGTTATTTTTTAAGAGAATGAAAACATTATTTTAAAGTCATATTGAACTTTTAATTTTGAATGTATCATTTTTTCCTTTTTAAAAATAATAATTTCTAATAACTAAATTCAATAACTAATTATGAAGATTTTTATTAATATCTATATAATTTTGTTTGATTTTTAGGCAAATAAATATCATATAAAAGATATATATAGTTCAAAATAGATTATAAAGATAACATTCTTGGATATTTATTTTTGCAAATAGTATTTTTTAATGTTTGAGTTCTTATTTATACTTAATTCTAAATAGGATGTATTAGTAAAAATAATAACTAATTTAGATATTTATTAATAATATAATATATTTCCCTGTTTTAACTTTCTTTTATTCAGATGAACAAAATTTCTTGTTATTATTTTAATTAGAACATGAACTCAAACTGGTTATACCTACTATAAAATTATATAATTAATTTAAAATATGTCGTTGTAATTTAACCCTTATGCTGCTTAGATATTAGAAGCTTTTTAAAGAGTTGGATTAAATAAAGGTTAAGCTTACTAACCTGATTAAATATTTTAAGCTTTAGATCAATTAGTATTATAAAATTAAAGAATAATCAATATAGACAGGTTCAGCATATGATAGAGATGTAGCCACTTAAATATATGAATAATGTACTCCAAATTAAAGAGGATAAGTTTAAATTGAAGAATTTTCACAGGTTTTGATATCTGCTGATGCTTTGTTGAAGAAAAAGATTTAGGATAGTGAAAGATAAATTTAGTAAATTGTTGATGATTCAAAAGATTGTCAAAGAAATATTTAGGAAATTTAATGTATTAATTTAATGTATTCGAGATACTCAATAATAAAATCAAAATGGTATAGACACTGATTCATAATTACATTTAATAATAAAATCGGCATCAGGAATAACTTAAGATTTTATATAGAGTTAAGTATCAATATCAGTTGATAATAATGAATAAATTGCATAATAAAGTGGAAGAGATAAATCTCAAGCAATATTTAATCATTAATTAGGATTGTAAAATTAAATTTTATTTGTATTATATTTTTAGTCAAATTAAAACAGGAAAGGAGAATGTTACTTTGAGTTTATTTATTTATGATCAAAACCAAAAGAAATCATTAGTTGGCTAAGCTAAAATAGATTTATCTTAATTATAAGATTAATAATAACATTCTCTCTAACTTTAGTTACAAAATGATAGGTAATAATTTACTACTCCAACTATTTAATTTGATGTACATTGGATTTATAATAAAGTAATTGGCAAATGGTTATTTAGTTAAAATATTACAAAGAAATGATTTAGAAATATGAAATGGATATTTATCAACATAATAATGACATAGAAGATTATAAAAGAGATTTGTTTATAGTTTAATAACCTTTTATGGATAACAATTAGAGATAGAATCTTTAATCATCATTAAAACCATAAACATCTTCAAAGCTTTAAACAAATTCAGCACTTTTTTATTAATAATAATAAAATTAGCCATCAATATATAAACCAACTCCACCATAATAATCATTTAGATAGAATTAAATTGATATTCCTCAATAAAATTAGGCAGAAGCTACAGAAGAACTTAGTGATGAAATATATTATGGATTCATTTTGTATCTTTTGATGATAGTTTTATCGTTATTTTAATGTTTTGCAAGACCAGCCTATGTGGATGTAACATTCAGAATATAAACTTATAGATTATATTAGGGATTTTGTATTTGTTAATAATCTTCAGAGATTGTTTCACTCCAGAGTATTTAAAATTTGTAGGTGCTATCACTGTTTTTACAATAGTTTTAGATATTTTTTGGATATCTATTTATAAAGTAATTATTAATAAATTATATTAGAATTGGTGGAATGGTACAGATAAAACACTTCCTACTTGGGGAGAAGCAGGAGATCCTATAGTTAGAATAACAATTGTATTTTGCATATTTAATATGATTGTCAAAGTAAAAGAAATTTTATATATAGACTGCTTTATGTTACATTATATTTCATTATTATAAAGCAGCTTAATCTAATTAGGTCTTAAAATTTAAAGCATGGGAGTTTGAATTCTAAATTGGAATTTTGAAATAAAATCTCTTTACTTCAGACAAGAGACTCTTATCTTGATTTATTAAATAATTCAATATTATAAATTATGTAAACTCTTGATTAAATTGTTGAGGATCTCTTCAATAAGTTTACTATCTAAAAGATTAATCCTTGTCCACCTACACCTATTAAACCTTTAAGAGCTTAATCAGCTTTCAGAAGAAAACCTTAAAATCCATAATAAATTTTATAATAAGCTACATAAATTGTTGAAAGAAAGTAGGTTTTACTTAATACAATTTAATCTATGAAAATTTAAAGAAGCTTTACTGTTTGCAAAACTGAAGAATCAAATAAACCTGTTAAATTTGAAAGATATTAAATTTTATCTAAATTGGCTGTTGGAGCTTTTGCAACTGTTTTTAAAGCATATGATAGAATGACTGATTCTTAAGTAAATATAATAAAAAAAATAGTTTAGGTAGCTATCAAAAAGTATAATTCTAATTTATTGCTATCAGAATAAAAAAAACTTTTGATTAAGGAAAGTGAGATTTTAAGAAAATTAGACCATGAAAATGTTGTTAAATTTCTAGGGACTTATAAAAATACAATAGTTTTAGAATTCATTGATGGACATACTTTAACTAATTATTTGAAAAGTAAGTTTAAAATTTACTATTTAGATTAACCTAATCGAAGATTATAAGAAAAAGAAGCTAAACAAATTTATAATTAAATTCGAGAAGGTGTTAAATATTTACACTAAAAAAATATATATCACAGAGATCTTAAAGCAGACAATATTATGATAATTAATTAATAAGTCAAACTTATAGATTTTGGACTTGCTTCAGAAAAATAACTTTGTTCAGATTATTGTGGAACTCCTGCATATATGGCACCAGAAATATTTTAAAAAAAGCCTTATGATGGGAAAAAAGCTGATATTTGGGCTTTAGGAGTATTACTTTATTAAATTCTTTGTGGAAAAGTTCCATTTCCAGGCAAAAATGATGAAGAGATTATGTTAGCTTAAATTCCTAAATTCATGCTGCCAAAATCTATCAGCAAAGAATTTTAATATTAGTTATTACATCTCTTAGATAAAGATCATACTAAAAGAAAATTATGAAACATACTCTATTTTTCTAATAAATTTCTTTATGTTCATTTTTATAATATTTATAAAATCATTATATATTTCAGTCTCAATGAAAATGCAATCTATAAAATATCTGTTTATATATCTTTTTTTATAAAAATAATTTTTTTTATCTTAGAAACCTCTAATTGTATGAGATTATATTAATGAGACTATTTAGATATTTCTATTATACTTATTTTTGAGCTAAAATATTTTTGAGAAAATATATAAAACACCTAAAAAGACATATTCATACATTTATTAATTATTACAATAATTACTTCTCTTAAATTTTGGCATAATTGTTCAAACTTTTTAAAAAAGATTGAAGTATTAAAGTGTTTAGAAAATTGTAATTTTTTTATTTCTAATTTATTGATGAGATCAACCAAAAGTGAAATAATCAAATAGAATAGTGGAATTGACTGATAAAAAATAAAAGCTATAGAATTATACTAATCAAAATGGTTTAATATGATTGATTGATCATAGAATTAGATTCTAATTTTTGTTTATTGGTAAATTAAAAAGAGAAATATTTATTTCCATTATATAATTGGATAATAATTTGATAAGGTTGAAACATTTTTATACAAAATTGAATTTAGAACTTAGATTTGAAAAGCAGTAAAGAGGACATGGTATTGTTACTCGATTATCCAAAATTAAAAGACAGAGCCAATCAAAATTTGAGTTTATCGATTCTTAAACTAAGTATATAATAGTTTTAAAGCTTAAAAATAAATTAGCAAACAAAATGGTAAAGTATGAATAAATTATGTTAGAGTGGCATTGCAAAGAGTGCAAAAGGCGGAAAAGGTGGAAAAGGTGGAAAAGGAGGAAAATTTGGATAAGGCAAGAATAAGAAGGCACCTTAATCTAGGTCTTTGAAAGCAGGACTTCAAGTAGAAAATTAATCTATAATAAGTTCCCTGTTGGTCGTATTCATAGATATTTGAAACAAAGAGTCTCAGCTAAAAACAGAGTAGGAACAACATCTGCTGTTTATACATCAGCAATTTTAGAATATTTAACAGCAGAAGTTCTTGAGTTGGCAGGAAATGCTTCAAAAGACTTTAAAGGTAATTGTAAATAATAATTTTCTTTTAAGTGAGAAGAATTACACCAAGACATCTTTAATTAGCCATTAGAGGAGATGAAGAACTAGACATTCTTATTAGAGCCACTATTGCAGGTGGTGGTGTCATCCCACATATTCACAAAGCTTTATTAGGCAAATAAACACCAGAAGGAGGACTTCCAAAGGAATGATATATATTATATTAATTCATTAGAATTGTTTATTTATTGTAAAGCATATCCTAAACAGCTTTCATATCGAATTTAAATTTAATAATAGACTAGTTCCTTTTTAAAAATAACAAAATTATGGAGATCTATGAATTTTTTATTCAAAGAATTCCTTCTAAAATTTTCGTTATTATTACTTATGATAAAATTATCAAGGATTCTTATCTTTAATTATTATTTTTTTGCTACTCTCATCTGTATCAATCAATAAACAATACCAAATATTTTGAAATCCATCACATTTCAAGCCTGTTAAATTATTTCAAATATATTTAATAAGCATTAGAGATTACTAAAAGTTTTAATGTATTCTGACTTTAAAATAATACTAGGAATCTTATAGAAAAGATCTGAATGAACCTTAATCTTATAAGGAAAAACTTCTTATTTTTGTAGATTTCTGATAACTTTTTTATTATTATCTATCATCTCAAAATGGCTTTATAATTATCCAGCATCTCAAAGTCAAACAATAATATTTAAAAGTAATCATTAAAAAATCCGATTTTGTAAATTTAGGGTTTTACATCGAAAGCTTTTAATCTATAAACAATGATAAATTAGTAAAAATAATTGAATGGAATACAGAATATCACTCTTTTTAATATAAATTTTCTATCAATATCATGAAGAATAATTTCAAATTTTCTAGATATTTAACGAAAATTTTATTAAATATTATTTAAAAAATATCGTAGTTGTTAAGAAATTCTGTTATTAGTATAGAAATATATAAAAAGCAAGAATTTGATTATTTAAATGCCTTTTAAATTAGATGAGTAATAAAGATTCCTTGTTACTTAATTTTAAAAGACTAAGATTTAAAAAAAATAATTTTTGATTTGTGGTATTAATAATTTCCAAATAAAATTCAATAAAAATATTTAGAGAGAGCTCTTCATTTCTAAAAAAGGTGTTAATATTTATTTAATATATTGTTTATAATAATATTTTATATTGATATCAATTTTTCCAGATAAAATTGACATCTCAATATCCAAAACATAAATTTGAAAATTCTTCTATAGTTTTTTCAAACTGGTTGTTGTTTGAAGAATTTATAAAGGAGTTTTCAAATTAGTAAATTATTTCTTGATTGGAATAAAAATAGTCATAGGTATTTTGAATTCTAGGATTTCTTTCTTAAAGATATTCATAGTTTTAGTCTTCAGAAAATTCTTGGCCATCATTGAAAGTTGGATTTGAATAATCCGAATTTTCAACCTCAATAGTGTCTTATGAAGTTGAAATAATGGGTTCCGATAGGTCAGTTAGAGTTCCTAATTTTGAATTATTTTAAATAATTTCGAAGATACTATCGACTATTTAGTCAATAATTCTTCTTTTATTAGAATCAGCCTTTTAAAGAGGGATTAAATGGGCAAACATAGTAGTATTTTTAGGAGGCATAACATTTTTGACAGTCTTTATAACAAGTTTTCTTAATTCCTTATCATTCATAGACTAAAATAAAATTTTTATTTACAAATATAGAGGTGTTTTAAAACAATTGGTCAATTCCATATTAAGTAACAGCCTCTTTTAGAGCCTTATATTCTGATTTCCTCTCGTAATTTTAAACCGATTGAATAGTCTTTAAATTTTTATTTAATTGTTTGGCAATCTCTTAACAACTTATACCTTTTTATTTTAATTCCATGATTAAGCTTCTATCTTCATCAGTCAGCTTATCATATTTCTTGCTTCTTTTTAGAGGATGCCTTCTGATACTCATTTGTTAATAATAATAATAATAATAAAATCTTTTTTTATAAACAGAATATATACCCCCTTTTAATTAATTGAGAGTTCCGTTATTAATAAATTAAATAAATATATAATTTTACAATTAAAATATTTAAAGTATTCCGGAAAGTAGATTATAATTAGAGAGTTTCTAAATATCAGAATTAATAAATTGATGTAAGATTTATAAAATCTAATATATTTGATATAAATTTATAAGGAGCCTCAACATTTACAATCATTGTCTCCGTCTTTATTACTATCTTTACCTTATTTATAAAAACTCCCTAATTTAATACCGCTATCCTAATAAATATATATTATATGAGATATACTTCATTTGCAAAATCTATTAATTGTTTATCAATTTTATCTAAGATCAATTATGCAGTGGTTTCAAATAGATTATCAATATTTAAATTAGTTTTTGCAGATGTTTCAATATATTGCATCTTGTATTAGTCTGCCAAAGCCTTAGCTTCAATTGTTGTAATTTCACGTCTAATTTTAAAGTATTGGATTACTATGATTCAAGATCTGTTTTATTGCCAACTAAAACAATAGTACAATTTGATGCTGCCTGATCATTCACATCATTATACCATTTTTAAACATTATGAAATGATTCTCTTTTGGTAATATCAAAGACTAAAAGCACTCCGATAGAACTTAATTATATATAATAATACAAACCCTTTATAATATGATCTTGTTATTGATTTAAATGATTCTTAACCAGCAGTATCCCAAATTTGTATCTTCAATGTTTTATCATTCTTTTTTAATACTTAGGATCCAAATTCCACTCCTATTGTAGTGTCGTGTTCTTCTCTAAATTGTTTTTCTGTATATCTTAGTAATATACAAGACTTTCCTACACTTACATCACCAACTATTATGAATTTGAATAAGTAGTGATATAAATCCATATTTATATATAAAATAAATTCAGAATATTATAAATTAAAGCAAATTATATATTTATATATTTATTTTACATTTATTAACTTATAATCTTGTGAGATTATGAATTTTTATTGTAACATAAATCCTAAATAAATTAAATTACTTCACCATTCATTCAAAAATTTTTAGTTAATTATTCATAAAAATCATTTTAAAAAGGCATACTTATTTTAGTTGGTAAAAACAAAGACATCAGATAATAATATGCCTTTGTTAAATCAAAATGCAAAGATTATCCCATTTAATTATTAAGAACTTCCTCCTTTTTCTCCTCAAACTCTTCTTTTGTAATTATTGTTGTTTATTAAGGACATTCATTATTATTTTGTCTTGAATTTTAAACTTTCTCTATTATTTTTATTATAATTTGCTATATTATTCTTCTCTTATTTGAGAACTTTTTTTATTCAGGTATAAGATTCCAAAAATTTGATGACTTCAATTCTAATTGTTCTTTAATAAGCTTACTCGCTCGCTTTCCTATGATTTTAGAATTTGTTTTCTAAAATTAATCTATGTAATATACATCTATAGACGGCATTTCCATTATTTTTTAAAATCCAAAATCAACCAAAGCTTTTTTCAAATCAGCATATTCTGATTTTTTCTCTATTGATTTTATAGATTATATCGTTTTTATGTTTTTCTTCATCACTTCACTAATCTCTCTACAAGTTGAACCCCTTTCCTTCATTTTTACGATTTAAATTCGTTCCTCTTATGTAATTTTATCATATTTTTTGCTTCTTGATCTAATCCTTTTTGATTATTTCATCATAAAAATAAATAATAATGATTTAAACATAATTTATAAAGATTTATATAAATTTCTAATTAAAATACAATTAATTGCACTAATCAAGAAATTAAATGATTTGTATTATGTAATATATATTAAATAATTTTGGGTAATTTATTAAATATATTCAAATAAGGGTTATATTCTTGCATAATAAAATAATCTAAATTTAGCCTTTATTCAAATCGAAAATTTATATAAAATTTAAAAGATTATTTTTCATCGATATAATGAAAGTAAATTTAATTACAAACGATATATTGTTAAATTCCCAAATCTCTATAAATTTACTTTCAATTCTTAAATTATTCTAGGCAGTAATAGTAAAGGTAGTTTATAAAACATCATTATAATATTTATAAAATTGCTCTTATAATCTTTTTATTTGAGTTATCAACACAAATTCGCTACAAAAATGTTTAAATTCTTACTGCAATCTGGTAAATTCATTATTATATCCTTTTAATCATGATTTATACATTCTCTACATTAGATTATTAGTACATAATTTAATGGAAAACATTATTTTAAATTTATATTAAAGCATATTATTCACATAAAAATAATTTATCTTAAATTAAATTTTTTACTAAATTTAGTACTAAGAAATAAATGCTTTGAAACATTTATAATTAGTAGAAATAAAAAAAATTTAAAACTAATGATTTATGTAAGGCTTCAGCCTAGTAGAAACAAAATAATCATAGAAAATTTGTAAAATAAAATTATAAAACAAAAAAATTTCTTTATTTCTTAATTAAAAAGTATTGATGATACTATTTTAAAATGTTCTACATCTAATTTTTTAAAGTCTTTGAGCAAAAAAATTAAGTTTTTATTTTGATTTATGTAGGGTAAATAAAAATTAGTGATAAAAAAGTTAAAAAATATTTCTAATATGGAAAAACGAGTATCTAATATGTGGTGTGTTTTTGTATTTGAACACCCCCTATTTATCTTCTCTTTTTAAGCAATTTTTTAATTTGAGATTCATCAAATAAAAGAAAAAGAAATTCAATAAGCTCCTCAAACCCCCTAAACACACTCCATCTTTGAACAAATATCATGAAGCCCAAAAGTTAAAAGAGCATTAAGAAAAAGATAAAAAAACTTATAATATACATGATCATATTAAATGAAAAAAATCTTAGTTCCCCTCATAATACAAATTAATACCTCCTAACAAAACACGCAAACTCTGAAATAAGGCCAAAAACAGAAGTAAAAGAACCAGGGAGTATGTTATCATTTTTATTAAATGAAGAAAGACCTTAAATACAATCTTCTTATTCTACAATCTCAAAATCAGAATAAACTATAACAAATTGACAAACAAACCTTTGTTTATGAATTGTGAACTGCTTAATCATAATACAGAATATTTATATTTATTTCATTGCATTTAGAGTATCTATAAATATAAGCATAATTTTATTTTATTTCTAATATGCAATTATAATTCATCAATCCTAATGTTTTAAATCATTATAATTATAAAATTCTTCTTTAAACATGGAAAATCAAGAGAAAGAAGAATTCTTTTAACATTATTCTTAATTTTATATAATCAAAAATCTAGAGAAAAATTTATCAGCAAATAGCTATTGCTGAAATATTTTTGAAAATTATTTGATTAAAATGCTTCTAAATTTTTAGCCAAAAATAAAAAAGAAACTATTTTAAAATTAATTATCTATATTTTTAGAATATATATTTTTCATTATTTTATTTGATTCACTCTGTTAGTGTCTTTATTATATCAAATTCATCAGAATGAAAAATTATCCAAACTATCACACTCAAACTAAAGAATACTAATGATAAATTTATTATTAAATATATCAATACAAATTTAGTTAGATTTCCACAAGGTTCTTAATAAAAATAAACAATCTATATTTAATTATTATTAATACTGTTAGTGCAGTTAAGAAAATAACTTATTAAGTAAATTAAACACTTACAATAACTCCAAACATATTAGTAGAAAACTATTTATTTATGCAAGGATAAACTGTACATGGACATAGAATAAATAAAAAAAAAAGCCCTATTAGTATTAAAACTAATCCATAATAATAAGAAAATCCTCCCAAATAAAAGCATACATCATTGAATTCTTAAATCAATATTCAGCACAATACCATTCCTTGATTTTTTATAAAAATAGTATCCCATAATAAAGTTGAATAGCATTATTAGTATACTTGTTATAAAAAATTTTGTCTTAGATTCTTTTGGTTATATTTCTTCTATGGGATTTTTATTTTATAATTCTTGCTCTTCTACTTCTGATTCTTTTTACATAATCGATTTAAAATAAATAAATAAATCAATCAATTTCTTTTAAAAATTCTTTATCTTACTCAATTTGATTAGATTCTAAAAATGTTTTTCATAATTTTCTAGACTTTAAAATAGTATCAAAAGTTTTTAATATAATTTTTGTTTCATTCCTACAAAACAAAAATTATGAATAAAATATAAAGTCTAAATTAAAGTATAATTGATTAATCTCTAGTATTAATATCAGTATAAAAAATCTAATTAACATAAGTTTTTTGTTTATAAATATATGGGCTGAAGCTCTATGAAAGTTTCTAGAGAGAGATTACTGTCTATTATTAAAATGGCTTATTATAAAAATCAAGTCGAAATTAATCATGTCAATAAAATCTTTTGTTATAAAAAAAAATACTTTGAGTTTTTAGATTTCATCAATAAATTCATTTGATTTATCTAAAATAACAGTACATATTAAATAAATCATCTCAGAATGATGAGCTTGGATTAAACTTTGAATATATTTTTTTTTTGTGTATGTAGTATGTAGTCAGAATGTATATCTAAAATATGTTAAATATATATAAGAATTTGTGCAAAGTTTAGAGAACATAATATATATATAGGTCTTAATTATTTTGATTCAAAATAAAAAATGCATACTTTTCAGAAAATTAAGTGAATACTTAAGCATAAATTCATATAATGTATCTAGAAATCTCATAATTTAGATTCTTTTTTAAAAAAGTGTATAAAACCCTAGGATTTAAATGTAAAGGGATGAGGGTTTGAATATTTTAAATTGATTAAGTTATGATTAAAATTGTTGAGAATGGATGAATATAAATGAATGGCATTTTGATATCGAAATTATATTAAATAAATTGAAAAATAGGAGTGATATAAATGAAAATATTAGCAGTAGTTTTTTTAATTTGAAAGGAAGCTCTAAAGAATTTCTAGTTTAACGATATTTAAATAAAATTTAATATAAAATTTTTACTTCATAAAATGAACTAGAAAGGTATTAATATAAATTGATCTTAGATCAATAATAAAAATTCTAAAATTCATGAGTTGGGGTGAACCCACAGAAGTGAATATCAAAGATCAAACTTCTTAAAGTAATATAGGTAATAGATAATTAGGATGGAGTAGTAATAATAATTAATAATAGGATTGCCTATAAGTATTGAATAAGATTAACAAAAAATTAGGGTGTAGATAATGAAGAGGAAAGAAAAGGGAAAGGAAAGAAAGGAAATAAAATAGAAGATTCTCCACCTCCTATAAAAAGGATTAGACCTAACCCAATAGTTATTGTAGTGGATGATGATGATGATTGTGAAACTTAAAGTATTATTATTAATGAATGTCCTTAATTGTAAAGTAAAGGTAAAGGATTGATTTAGAATACGAATTAATAAATTTGTTATTAAGGTAATATAAAAATTGAAGATTGTGTTTTGAATATAAGATTTATTAGTTTTGATATGAAATAAAATATAACAATTGGTTGTATTGATGAATACTCAATTGAAAATGCTAAAGATAGATTAAAGAAGCTGAATGATTAAGTGATAGTAGGTTTAGTTGAAGGTTTAGATGAAGAAAATTAGAAGGCAATTAATAAATTAGCAGATAGTTTATTAGATAAACAATAGACAATTAGGTTTAAAGATGTAAGTTTATTTAGTATAAAATAATTATACAAAATAGAAAATAAGACTAGATTGGTTTTTGTTAAATAAATGAATTAATGATTATTATATTAATAAGAATATTGGATAAAAATAATTAATATTTAAAATGCTTTAAATTTATCATGCATTTGATTCTTATTCTTAAATCTTACCATAGGTTTTCATGCTTTTTAAATTTTCTGCTTTTTATTTAATTGATTGAACAAATTTTCTCCATTTAGTGCATATCCAGACAATAAAAATAAGAACAATAGCCTTTAATAGATGAATAAAATACTGAGATAATACTAGAAACAGTAATAACAACAACAAGACTATCTGATTCTAATAGAGTACCATCTGATTCAACATTTAATTTTTAGATCATTTAACATTAAATATAAGAAGATGTTTATTAATTTTAATAGCAAGCAGATGCATTCAATTTAATAGTATATTTTTTTTCAACTCTTGAATCAAAATTACAACTTATAAAGGAGTTATAATTTCTGAATTTCCATGCATGAAGTGATTTCCTTGATAATCCAACATAATAATTGGTTTCAGAGTATCTTTATGATTATTCTATTACTTAAGTGAAATGTTATAATCTAATCAATTAATCTTCAAAGAAAGTTCTTACAAGTTCTTTGTTATTCTTAACAAAACCATTAAATATAGAATGTTTAATAATCATATGTGTATCTTCAGCTATAAAGATGGCAAATTCATTTGTCATTTATATATCTACAAAAGTGAAATCATCAACATAAACTCTATTAACATAATAAGTTTTAGCAGCGATATCCAAGAATATCTCCAAAATATATTAAATATGATTAACAGTTTCTGCAACTACCATTAAAGTATTTCCATAAAAGTCAAAAGCAATTGTTCTAGGAATAGGTATTTTCATTATCAAATTATAACTTGAAGTATTCCTTTTATCAAAAATAAACACACCTTAATCTTCATCTAATGCATATAATAAATTGTCTTAGATTTTGACTCCAATAATATATATTTATGAGTTTTGTGGAATTTCCATTTATGAATTACTTATTGTATAAAGATATTGAATTATCTTATTAAAAATACTCCTAATCTTATCGTCAAATTAGTAAATATCAATACCATCTTCACCAACTGCAATTGCCATAATATTTTCAAATGTAGAAATCTTTTTTATTTCTGTCCTTTTAATAATATTCTTATCTAATTGTGGTATAATCTCTGTATTTGGATCATCAAAATCTATAAATTTAGGAATCCAAATTCCTCCATATTCAGATATAACCAGACAATTTAAATAACCCTAATATTAATAATTATTCAAACTTTCGGACAACTAAACAAAGCATTCGTTCTTATTTTCTCATTTTTAACATCTAAATATCTTTTTAAATCTATTTAATTTCTTTATTAAGAAACAACCCAAAATCTTGTATTCAGTTTGAATTGAATAAGCATCAAATCCTAAGTTACGACGTACAAATTCATATAATCTGTTGTTGTAATTATATCTGAATAATATGTATCATCGCTTTAATTCCATATACGATAATCCATCAATTCTGTCAATTATGGGTGTCTTGGAAAACCGACACATTCTTTAAATTATATGTAATAATCTATACCATTTTCCACTTAAAAATGATCTAGATCAAGATTATCTAAGGATATATAAGGAGTCTCTGTAATTTTTCCATTTTCATCAATTAATTCTACATCATATGCTTAGGAGATGCTTAACATTTTAACCATATATTACTTTAATGTGAAAATATTTTATTTATTATGTATCACTTTAAAAGATGTATCTGGAAATATTGCCTATAAAGTTTGTGATTCTTAAGATCGGATTCTGGAAGTACTGACTGCTAATAAAAGTTCAATCTAAATTACAAGTAATATAATCATTTATAATTATATCAAATAAATATTCTTTCTGTTTTCCTAATTTATTCAGATAACTCTTATATAGTAAGTAAAATTTTATAAAATATCAATCATTCTTGTCATTTTGATATGGACTTAATTTATTTTGCTTTTTCATCTGAATTTATATCCTTTAATTAATTAAATTACTACTTTCAGAATTGATTAATAGAATATTGTATTCGTATTTTAATTTGTATTCACTTTTTACAATAATTGGATAAATTTCGTATTGTTATTAACTAATTTATAAATTATTTTTATTTGTACTCTAATCTGTAAGTTATAAAGATTTATGAAAAGGATTTTACATCAATTCTGTTAATAATTTAGATAATTTCTTTTAGAAAATAAATTCTCTCATTCTTTTTATGTATCCATAATCTTCATTCTATTTAGGAAATTGTTTATCTACACTAAAAATACGAAATACATTATTCTTAAATTTCATTGAGAGTGTTTTAAAAAGCTCTTAGTTTTTCATTATATTTATTGATTATTATTTTAAATGGAGCTATGTCCATTTAAGTTATAATATTCTCAACATTTTCTAAAATGTCTTTTTTGATATTCTAAAGATCATTAATCTATTGAGAAACTACAGATTTAAAACTTGTTAAATTAATCTATTAAGGAACATCTTTCATAAGTAAACCTTTTGATTAACTTTTTTATTTATCAAGAATGTCTATTATAATCTGTTTGCTCATTTGTTAAAGTTCTTCTAATATTTTATATGTCTGTTATTTAGGATTATCATATTAATTTTAATGTTATTGGATTTATTTTAGAAATTGCATATTCTAACTGATAACATCCCCAATTTTTACGACAAAATCTTTAAGTTCTTTTTTTTTTATTATACCATTAGCCTATGTCTAAATGTTCTAAATATATTGAAGTTCTTTTGATGTATTTGAAGTAAAAAGTTAAAATTCATCGTGATCCTCTTCCTAACCAAAAGTAAGCATTTTTTTATCTTAATCATAAAAGCGTATAGGTAAGCCAGATTAAATAGCATAATCAACTACACATTTACTACACATTTATTAATCATTAGCCTCATATTTAAATTTCTTTTAATGTGCAGAACAAATGTTTTTTCTGGATTCAACTACCTATTCTTCTTACTTTTATTTTAAAAATAAACTAATCACACTGCTTTTAGGTAATATTGGTGTATTGTTACGATCTTATTTAATTAAATGATTTGAAAGTGTTGCTTTTAGATAAGAGGCTTTAACAATATTCTCTTTATTTGCTTTTTTAGGAGATGGATCAGTGGTAATTCTATTGTCTTTGATTTAAGAAGTATTATTGAATTCAGTTTTTAAATATGTATTAGATGGCTTGCGAACATTTGCATTTTGAATTTGATTCTTGTTCATAAATGTTAAATTTTAATAATAGTTTTAATTCTTATAGAGAGAATATTATAATGAATAATAAGATATTAATAAAAAGAAAGAAGACTCTAAAGAAATATAGATAAAGAGTCTAAGGTAGTATATAAATTTGGATTTATATAATAATTGTAATGTTTTTGATGATTCTACATAATCAGTTGGTAATTTTGGCTTGAACATCTCTCTTGTAAGATGAACTTTGAGAACCAACTTAGGTGGAATAAATTCTGTAAACATCATCAAAGGTATTAAGCTCTTCTTATAGAGTTTCAGTTACAGATTTAAAGTGAGTTTCTGCAGCAGTTAAATCCTTAGATTAATTATTATAATAAATACTTCATTAGCAAGATCAATAGAATTTTATATTTTTTTTAATCTGTCTTTGCAAGCTGCAGTGGCTTATAAAATGGTAATCAATTGATTTTATAATTTTTCCTATTATATATAAAATTAAATGTAATACTAGATTAACATCTTCAGCTATCAAATGTCCTTTGAATGTTTCATTTTCTTTTTGAATTAATCCTTTAAAATCACTATAACCCATAGCTGAAGTAACTTAATTATCTTATTTCTGTCCAAAAGTATTTCTTACTTAATCTTCTAAGATATCTAAGAAATTAAGTAATTCTTATTAAGCAACAGTGAATTGAGAATAATCTTTGGTAGATCCTTATTAAGCAGGAGCCTTTTATCCTTTTTCAATAATTTTATTAAAGGCAGCAGCTTCTTTAGCTAATTATTCATTAGTAGCTTTTTCTTCTGCTTCAAAAGGATGTTCAGGAACTGGTGCTTCAGGTTATTCATCAGAATCAACCTAAAAATCTTATTCAACATCTTCTGTTTAAGTTTCTGATTCATCTGATTATGTATCAGATTATGTATCTGATTATGATTCTTATTCATCTTAATCGACAGATTGATCTTGTGAATCAGTTGTTTCAACAGGTTCAGGTTCATCATAAACATGAGGTGGTTCATTATCATCATTTGTCAATTCTGGTTCTTCACCATCATCAGCTAAAAATGATTTTAGTTAAATGAATTAAGCAGATTATAATAATGTTGGTAAGTCAGTCTAATTATTATTGCTTTCTATAATACTTCTTTTGCATTCTTTATTGCTCTTCTTAAGAAAGCAATTAAATTTAAAGTCTTCTTTGAATTCTTTATATCATTTATGAAATTAGCATTAGATTCACATCTATTAATATCTAATCTTTAAAGTCTTTCATTATTTTCTTTTATTCTTTTCTCAAGCCAATTAATATAACTTAGTGTTATTCTAATATCACGTTCTTTATTTGCCCACTCTTAATCTCTTCTATTACATTCACCTCTTTATGTTGATGCAGATCTCATTAAATCATTTACAATGTCTTGTTTTTGCTGTTTAATTTCATATATAATCAATTACATATCTACTTGCATCCCAATCGCTAGCCAATTATTATAATTGTTTGTTTGTCTCATTTTTTAAATCACCTAGCATCTTTAATACTACATCAATCTCATTTGATTGACTGTATGCTGCTACCAGCAATAATGCCATCATAGCAAAAACCTTCATTTATTTAATTAACACACAAAAACGGTATATATATTTACTTATAATTTATATAACCTTTAAAAACTCATCAATCCTATACTTCTCTATCGAATAACTTACAGTTTATTTCATCATCTCATCATTCTTCAATTAAATCTCATTTTATTATCATTTTCAACATCTTCTAAATTTCAATCTAATTTTAACATTATCATTCTTAAATTTCACTTCTATTCTTATTCAAAACACTACTTTAAAATTATATACACCTCTTTCTTAATAATATCAAATTTATATATAATATTTTAACATTCATCTTTATAAGTTTCATTTGCTTTATCAAATATATTATTAGTGTCAAGATTACAAAATTTTAGCATGTAAAAATTAGTTTAATTAAATATATAATAATAAATAGTTTAAAATAATTGAAAAATGTATGTATATGTAATCACTATAAATTAAAAGTTAACTAGAATGATAATTGAGAATTTATACTTCATATGGGTATTTTAATGGTTTTTGTTATGATTGATCGAATTGTTCATCAAAATGATCATAATTAGCAGTGGCAATATCAATAATTTTGGTTAATATATGTGTGAAATCCTCCTAAGTTTTATCAAGGGAGGATAGACCAAATTAAAACAAAAGTAACCACTCTTCAAATACTTTATATTTAGGCTTATAAAATTAGAGGAATGATGTTGGTTGTTCTTCCATAAATTTTAAAGAAATTTAAAGAGACGAGCAATTAATGATGTTAGGATCATTATTGATATTATCAATTAATTTCTTAATGTCCTTGTCAACTTAAGGTTCCCCACATCTTAACTAAAGATAACAATAAAAATACTTGAGTAATCTTGGGTAAGCGTTCACATCTCATATGATTCAATTTGACTGGACCAAGTGCTCTATGAAAAAATATTAAATTAAGAGATGTAGATATAACATCTTCTAAATAGATTTTATTTAATAGCTAAATAAGAAAAGAATAGTTTACAAATTCAGGCAATTTAAATTGTGGATAATCTAACATATATAAATATATTTTTATATAATTTTCAATGTCTGAATAACTTTATCAAGGAACATGGAAACATAATATCACTATCGAAATAGATTTGACCTAAATAAAAGGCATTGAAATAATAATTCATATGAGGTCTAAATCTAATCATTTGACACTCCCAAAGCACATAACACAGAATCATAAAATAAGCAAAGAACCAAGCAAATACTTCAATCCAAGTATATACAGCATAAACTAAATTTACTAGAATTTCTTAGATCATGAAAATCAACAGAGCTCTATAATTAATTAAGGAACTCATATAATTACCTCCACCAATAATCTTTAGCTAAAAAGCATTCTTATTTGCTTCTCTTATCAATTTAAAAACATAAGAAAACAATTATGAAATCAAATGATACCATAATATATACTATTTCTAAATGTATATAAGTAAATCTAAATATGACAAATATTGATAACAATGTTCTTGAAACTGCATGAGCCATCTAAAAACTTAAAATATTATTAATCATTACATATAATAAATAATTGAAGGGAGGAGTTCTCCAATCATGCTATTTGAATTATATTTGTATTAGACAATACAAATATATAAAAATAAATACCAGATCAACTGGGTATTTGATATAGTTAGCTATAACGTTTCCCAAATTCATCAAATATAGAAGCAATAAAATCCAAAGAGAGAAANTATATGTAATCACTATAAATTAAAAGTTAACTAGAATGATAATTGAGAATTTATACTTCATATGGGTATTTTAATGGTTTTTGTTATGATTGATCGAATTGTTCATCAAAATGATCATAATTAGCAGTGGCAATATCAATAATTTTGGTTAATATATGTGTGAAATCCTCCTAAGTTTTATCAAGGGAGGATAGACCAAATTAAAACAAAAGTAACCACTCTTCAAATACTTTATATTTAGGCTTATAAAATTAGAGGAATGATGTTGGTTGTTCTTCCATAAATTTTAAAGAAATTTAAAGAGACGAGCAATTAATGATGTTAGGATCATTATTGATATTATCAATTAATTTCTTAATGTCCTTGTCAACTTAAGGTTCCCCACATCTTAACTAAAGATAACAATAAAAATACTTGAGTAATCTTGGGTAAGCGTTCACATCTCATATGATTCAATTTGACTGGACCAAGTGCTCTATGAAAAAATATTAAATTAAGAGATGTAGATATAACATCTTCTAAATAGATTTTATTTAATAGCTAAATAAGAAAAGAATAGTTTACAAATTCAGGCAATTTAAATTGTGGATAATCTAACATATATAAATATATTTTTATATAATTTTCAATGTCTGAATAACTTTATCAAGGAACATGGAAACATAATATCACTATCGAAATAGATTTGACCTAAATAAAAGGCATTGAAATAATAATTCATATGAGGTCTAAATCTAATCATTTGACACTCCCAAAGCACATAACACAGAATCATAAAATAAGCAAAGAACCAAGCAAATACTTCAATCCAAGTATATACAGCATAAACTAAATTTACTAGAATTTCTTAGATCATGAAAATCAACAGAGCTCTATAATTAATTAAGGAACTCATATAATTACCTCCACCAATAATCTTTAGCTAAAAAGCATTCTTATTTGCTTCTCTTATCAATTTAAAAACATAAGAAAACAATTATGAAATCAAATGATACCATAATATATACTATTTCTAAATGTATATAAGTAAATCTAAATATGACAAATATTGATAACAATGTTCTTGAAACTGCATGAGCCATCTAAAAACTTAAAATATTATTAATCATTACATATAATAAATAATTGAAGGGAGGAGTTCTCCAATCATGCTATTTGAATTATATTTGTATTAGACAATACAAATATATAAAAATAAATACCAGATCAACTGGGTATTTGATATAGTTAGCTATAACGTTTCCCAAATTCATCAAATATAGAAGCAATAAAATCCAAAGAGAGAAAACATTTTATAAGGCTAACATGATAATGTACATTCCCTAGACGTTTTTGATCTTAATATTAAATGTAATTTATACTCTTTCCCAGTCTGGTTCTGTTTCTTCAAAGAGTTACTTAATTTATTTCATAGTTATGGTTTCTCTCTTATTGAAATTTAATTCTTCAATCATTTATGGAGATTAAGATGGCTTTTATTCAATTATCTCTTCTTCATAGTCATAACTCCTATTATTCATATAATTTTTATAATTTGAATTCAAAGTAATTAAATGGAGGTCAAGAAAAAACCAGCTGTAGATTTGCCAACTTCAGAAACATTGAGTGTGTTAGATCAAAATGAACCTTAAAATGGTATAGAAGTAATTTGTAGAATTCGTCCTAAATTTGTTTGTGAAAATTATGGTATGAATTATGAGTTCATTTTAGTAAATTATATGATTACCGATAAAAGACTAGATATTTATGAAACCAATTATGATAATGAGATATCTAATTAAAAAACTTTCACTTTCTCTTAAATCTATGATTAGAATTCAACATAGAGAAATTTACATCAAGAATATGTTATTCCTATGATTAAAGACATTTTCGAAAAATGTATAAATTATTTACTACATTTTAGAAAAGGGAGCACTTGTTTTTACTTATGGAGTTACAAATTCTGGTAAAACATATACTATTATTGGTACTTAAGAAGCTCCTGGAATTTTACCGCTAACATTATAAGCATTAGACAAAATAAAAACAGCATTTCTATTAAATAAAACAACAATTGAAATTGATGGGTAAGTAATAAAAATCGGAGAATCTCCTTATGATGATTATTTCTTAAAAGACATGAACTACACATTTTAATCTTTTGAAATCTATAATGAAGAAATATATGATTTGTTAGCTAATAATAAAACTAAATTGCAAATAAAAGAAATATATGATAAAAAATGTTATGTAAAAGATGCAGTGGAGAAAGAAATAAATAATAATCAACAATTTAAAGAATTTCTTCAAAAAGCCTTAACAAATAGATAAATGGGTGAAACAACATTAAATAATCAATCAAGTAGATCACATACAGTTTTTAAAATACAGATATCTTTTTTATATCAATAAGATCAATATACAATTTAAAAAAAATAAACAATATGTATAGTTGATTTAGCAGGGTCAGAAAGAGCAAAGAAAGCAGAAACTTAAGGTTCTTAACTTACAGAAGCTTGCAATATAAATAAATCTTTATTAGTTTTAGGAAAATGTTTAAAATAAATGAGATAAAATGAATCTGAATAAAATAGTCGCATTCCATTTAGAGAATGTAAATTAACTAGATTATTGTGTGAATATTTTACAGAAGAAAACAGAATATTAATGATTGTAAATGTTAGATTAACTGGAGATGATATTGAAGAAACATTAAAAGTATTGCATTATGGAGCCTTAAGTGTTAATGTTAATTTACTTAAATCTAAAATATATGATAGTACAATTTCTTACAATTAAAGACTATAAATTAGTTAGGCATAATTAATTACAAATGATTCCAAATCAAAAAAAATACCAAAAAGAAATGCTAAAGAAATTATTAGAAGAGCTAAAATGTTAGTTTAGAATACTACTTAACATATGCTTTTTTAATAAACTATTTAAGATTCATTTGTTAAAGATTTAATATCTACTGTTAAATAATAATAAGCTAGATTAAAGTAATTTAGTGGATTAGATGATGAATTATTTTATCCTCCTATTTTAGAAAGTGATTAAAGATTATAAAAATCCTTAGATAAAATATAATCTGATAAATCACGTTAAGCATCTTTAGATATTTTAGATAATAAAGGATGTGTTTAACAACCTCTTGTTAGCAATTTTTAAATTAATAATTCAAACCTTAATATTTAAGAAGAAATTCCACTTAGAAAATCTTATATTTAGGAAGAATAGTAAATTTTTAATCAATCTAATAAAGAGGCACTTATTGATGAAAATTCTTTCATAAATTAAAAGAAATTATCATAAATATAAGAGGAAAAATAAAATATTAATTCCATTATAGAATAACATTTCAATTCATATGATGAATAAGAAGATTTATTAAATGGATTTAAACATCTAGATCTAGAACAAATTGATGAATAAACTGATGATAGTAAATAATAATCTAAGTCTCATTTTATCAAATCAAAAGATAATTAAGAAAATGATATTAACTTTTTAAATCAATATTCTCATTAAAATATCTAAGAAGATCTTATTCATTCTTCTAATTAAAAATTAGACAAAAATCATTTTGATCAAGCAACTAACACAACACCGTATGATGAAATGAAAAAAAAGCTTTTTGGCTAACTTTTTGAATAAGAACTCTTAAAACAGTATTTATTTATTTTATTTATTTAGTTAAGAGGAAAAGGATAAATTTAAATAGGAAGTTATGAAAAAATTATTTAATGATGATGATTTACAAAATTTAATTGAAAAGGAAAATTAGGAAGAATTAATAAATTTAGAAGATTCAGCAAAAAAATAATAATAAAGAAACTTAGAAAAGTTGATATCAAGCAATCATAAAAGTGATTTAAAAGTTATTAATGAATCTGATTAAGAACATGATTCTTCAGGAGAAAAAAAACAACAACAGACTAAAAATCTTCGTAAAAAAAAAAAGTAAACTAAAAAAAAAGGAAAATCCAAAAAAAGATGAAAATTTTTTACATATTTAAAGTTTGTTCTGAACTTTATTTTATTTATCTAAGCTTTAAAAATTAGTTAATTCAATTTAAAAGACAAACTTAAAACTTTATTCATTAAAAAATTTGTTTAAAAATAATAAAATTTCAAATAAAATTGATTAACATTTATGGTCTAATATAAATCAATCACATTTTTGATTTATGTCTAGAAACCGAAAATTAATTTTTTTTTTTCAGCTCCCTTAATCTTATTAAAAGATTATTAAAGTTTATATAATTAGGGAATTAAAAGCTTATAATTTATATGCTTTTAATTTATAAAATAATTAATCCAATAAAATTACAATCGGCTCCTTAATTGATTTCTCTATTACTTTATTTATAGGATAAAAATAATAAGTGTAGTTAGATTTATTTTCAATTTAATTTGCCTTATTATTTTTTGGTGTGATATAAATCTTAATCTACTAAAATCAAATTTTTGAATTATGCATTTTTAAATATGCAATTTTCTTGAAATTTTTGAATTAAGTTTCAACATTTTTTTTTACTTTAACTTCTTTCAATAAAATTCTTTATTAAAGATACCTTATTAATTTTATAATTATTTATTTTATTATTCAAATTTATTATATAAATTCTTTAAAGATCAATTTTATTCTATAATAAATTATTAATCCAAATAGCTGAATCTAATTGATATAAGAATAGAAAAAGAGGATTACAATATCAAATTAAATTTCTAAAAATTAATTTATTGATAATATTTCATTAATTTTTCTAAAGTATTGGAGTATGAATTTTATTAAAAAATAAAACATTATTTAATATTTATTTATAGATAAAGTCTAGGTAATTTTAAAATATGAAGAAAATGTTAGAACACTTATTCAATTTAGGTTTAAAAAAGAATGTAAGTTAATTATGAGGCTTACGATTTTACATGATAATTGATTGAATTTATAAAAAAAACTATAAAATAAATCAAACTAATAGATGATCAAATTGTTTATTATTTTAAATAAAAGTTCTTACTTCATGTAATTCATGAAATTGTTATTTTTTTAATAATGATTTTGCTAACTCCATATAACTTTTATATAAGAAAAATGAAAATTCTTTATGCTTATTCTTAACTGATTTTTATGCCCATTTATCGAACTCATATAATGAGTCATCGATGTCATAATTCTAAAATTTAGTAACATAATTATTTCTAAGAGTTGGTTCTCCAGGAAATGCAAGGATTATATGCATTAACAATACACCTATAGCATATAAACATTATTATTTTTAATCAACATAATCTTTGAATTGTTACTTTTACAAATCTTGAGAAAATGATTATGAATGATTGAGATCTGCTAACATAACCTTTATTATATGAATTCATTACCTATATATCTCCAGTGATACTTTTAGTAACCATAATACTTTCAGGTTTTAAATCTCCATGTGAGATTTACTTTTATTGTAAATACTCTAAACCACTTATAATCTAACATAAAATTTCATTTATTAGTTTGCTTTTCTATTCTTGAGGCATTGGATTCATATAAAAATATGAATAACTCAAAAGATTTTTAGATTGTGAGATATATCCTGGATAAATACAATATTCTATCTAGGTAAATAGAAATAATTAATAGTTTTTTATTTCTAGCCACCATTCATATAGTCTAATTATGTTTGGATGTGAAACGCGTTAAAGAGTACGCGCTTCTTAAATTTTCAAGTAATCTTTAATTGAACTTTTAGTGTTAAATATATCTTGAAATGTGACATCTAAAGGAATATTTAACAATTAAATCTATAATTAGGTTGTTTTTTACTCTTTTAACAAAATAAAGTTAATCATCCATAGGCTTATAGACATGATATGTTGTGGTTTATTTCTATTAATCTATTTCCTCATTCAATACAATAAACTCATTTTTGAATTTATTAATTCGCAAAAATTAATTTTTAAAATCTTACTAAATTTATTGTTCTTTTTATATATTTATATCAAAAAAGTAAAGTGTCAATCTCACTTACTAATCTTTTTATTCAATTTACATTTTCTTATTCATAAATTCATTAAAAATATTTTTGTTTATGAAAATGAATGCTGTAGATTTTATTTATTAAGTAGATGTTATAAATCCTATGTTAATATCCTAATAATAGATTTTAAAGAGAGAAGATTATTAAATCTAAATTTAAGAAAATTGACATACTTTAAATTCCTATTTAGATTGATAGTAATTAGTCTCTTGTATAAGCCTTTTTTTAATTGCTTTCTTTATTGCCTTTACAACCATGGTAATATGTCTAAAAAATGGATCATCATTAGAAAAGTTGATTGTAATTAATGAAATAACAAGTAGTTGTTAAAAATTATAATAATCCTCCGAATTTAAAAAATCATTCTTCTATTTTAAATTTTCTTCCTTTTTATATATATAAAATACTATACAAGTGTATGCATGATTTTATTTTTATCTGCATTTGGAATGTCTAATTTTACATTTTATGTTTCATCGCAGACCTCTTCAATATAAAATTTACTATCCATCATTTCATTAAATTACTAAATAAGATTTTCTCTATAAATTTACTTCTTCATTATCATACTATTGCATTTTATGTTATAAATAATATTTAATAAAAAATGAACATAAATACTTATATTTTAAGTACTATTAATGATCTTTCATAAAATGATAAAAAAAGATAAGCAAATTTATTTCAGCAATTTACTTAATCTTCCTAAGAATCAATTTAGTCTAGTAATAAAATACAGAGTGATATTTTAAAAATTTAACTAATTTCATAGTTGAAACATTTTTATTTTTTTCAAAAGAATCTATAATTTAAAAATGTAAATATAGTAAATATTTGAATTAATGTTTAGATTTGGTAATTATTAAATATTATAATTTTCAAATATACACTCTTCATAAAATATAAGATTTATATAAAATCTTACTCTTTTTGAAATAGGGATGTTACTCTAAAACAAACTAAACTGTTTTTACAGTTATTTCTTTCAAAGTCAACAAGGGGTTATCGTTGTCCATATTATTTAATCTAATTATAAAATAGCATATTACCTTGTTTTTATGTAACTTTTTCCTGTTAACAACTATTTTTCAAAATTTCTTTGAAGCTCTTAGATTTTTTAGTCTAATTAATCATCTTCAATCATATCAACACATTATTATTACTAACCTTTATATTTATCTGATTCATCATCAGAATTCATCACATTTTCATTACTCTCCCTTTTACAAAGAAAGTCTTATACTTAATTCCATAATTCAGCTCCTCTTTTAATTCTTTTTTTTAGTACTTCTTCTAATTCAGGATGTTCTTCCCTCCATTTATTTTTTCTAATCTTATTTTTCAATTTATCCTCTTAAGGTGATTCTATTTCAATTAAATAATTCCTAAATTCTATTTACCTTTAACAAGGAGTGTAATCACATAATTCATAATATAATTAATTTTTATTCTAACTACTTGTTAACAATGATATATCAAGAAAAGAATTTTTTTAAGGTCCAAACTTTGTTTGTAATTCTTAATTTTGCTTATATTTATTCATTTAAGTATCATTTTATGAAATAGGTTTGTTTTAAAAAACCTTGAATTCATATCCTGGTTTCTATGTTAAAGCTGCTTAAAATACCTTTCCTAACAGTTGTTTCATATAAAGATTAAATTAATCTTAAATAAATGTTAAAACCTGTTAGTCTTCAACCTAAAATTCTCCTTATTTTAATTCCTATCGATATTGAGTTAATTTTTTTTAAATTGTTCCATTTATTAATATTGATTATTTTATTTTATTAGTTTAAAGATTTGATTTGCTAGAATTTTTTTCTAATTCTTCTTTATACTTTAGGTAATGTTTATTTATTAATTATTTTAAATAGGTATCTTATATTGATTGAGTATCTTTTTATAATTTTTCATTTAATAATTATAAAGTTGGAAGATTTATTAATGATTTAAAATATTCCTCTACTTTCTTTTTTTGGTTGCTATCAGTTATTTATTTGAATTCTTAATTTCCAATTGAAATCCAATAATTTTTTGAAGAAAAAAATAATTCTAGCTCATTTAAAGGTAATTTACATTATTTTTTACTTTCAATTATCTCTTACATAATAAATTATTTTGTTTAATACTTTTGAAATATTTCAATACATTTATTTATGTAATTGTAATCATTAAATTGCTAAGCTTCTTTGATTAAAAATGCTTTGTAGTTTTTTAATTCTTAAAATTAATTTGAAATTATGTCTGTTTAAGAAGAAGGTTCATATTATCCTTTCTCGCTCATTAAATTAGAAAATTTCTTTAAAAAGTCATTATTTCGAAAATTATCTTCACTTTTAATTACAACTTTATAGTCTTAACCAAAAAATTTGGAAGTAAAAACGCAAATTGCATTATATGTTGTAGAATTATAATCATTAATACTCTTCATTTAATTAAATTCTGGAAATTATTCATTAATAGGTTTGCACTGATCTCCACCAAATTATGGAAATTTAATATAAAAATTGTAAATCCTCTAAGCAATTTAAAATTACTCTGAAAAAGTAAATAAATCTTTCATATAAACCATAAATTCAATGAATTTATCTATTTCATTTTAATCTTTATCTTGAAATGCAACTGCAGCAAATCTAACTCTTTCTATTTTATCAAAAAAACTAAATTTTTGTGGTCTAAAGAAAAACAATCCTTTTATTATAGAAGGTAAGAATATTACAAATGGATTATTTTAAAAAAAAACATCAAAATAAATAGATAATTCTTTTTATACATCTCCTGGAAATTTTTCTGCTTCTTTTTATATATATTATTCACAAATTTTTCTGATTTTATCTTCTCTTTATAAAATTTCTTAATATTCAACTAATTTCTTTTTCTAAAAATCTTATTTTAATTTAACAATGTTATAGTAATAATCTTTATAAAATTATTGAATCATCTATTTATTCTATCTTTAATTGCATATGTATCTTAATCTTTGTTAAAAATTTAATGGATAAGATTTAAAGAATATTGCTTTAAAGTCTTTCTCATCCTTTTCTCCTTCTAATATAGAATCAGTTAATTTCTCAAATATTTTATTATAGTTTTTTAAATTTTAACTACAATCATATATTAATTGAAATTCAAATATTTTTAATTCTCTAATCATTCTAATAGGTTTTTAGTAGTTTTAGATTTGAACATCAAGTTAAAGCATAACATTTATTAATTTATTGTTTATAGAAGGAAGAAGATTTTCTAACACTTATAAAGATTAATAACCCAAATTAGATCCTTATTTATCAAAATAATCTGATATAATTAATTTTTTAGTTTATTGATTTAGTTAAGCTAAAATTTAATCAAAAGTTTTATCTAAATCTACTTTATTTGTATTTTACATCATATCATATGCCAATTCTAAAATTTAATCTAATTCTTCTAATTATAGATTTGTTTCTACAATTAATGCACAAAATAAGTATAAATAGTTCCATCTAAACCTTAAAAAAGAAAGAATTAATTATTAAACCTAAAAAATTATTTAAGATATAATTTTAGATTCCTCTATTTAGACTGCTTTTTCTAATTCTTAATATAAATGTAGATATATTTCTCTCCAATGATCTAATTAAGCAATACTCGATTTTTTAGGCAATTAAAAAGAATTTATTTCTAATTTGATCAAATCTGTCAATTTTTTTTTAAATGAAAAACATTATCTTTTAAAATTTCGAACCTTCCTTGATTTTAAACTTTTATAAAAATATTTTACATATGGTATATCAATAAAAGAATAATAATCTTTTTGGGAATCCATGATACCATTTTCAAGTTCAGGTAATAATTTTAATATATCTGATTTATTTTATTTAATTTTTTTAGCTGAATTTACAAAATAATAAGAATTTAAATAAAAATTTAGTTTGTCTACAAAAATATATCCTAAAATTTTTTCTAATCCTCTATTCTGTTTTTCTTATACAAGATAATCTCTAAAAGCATAAAAATCTGTCAAAGAAAGGCTTTTAAATTTATCTTACAAATCTGGAGGAAGATTTAATAAAAATCTTTCTTATAAATTATTTGTCTATTTAACAGCTTTACTTTAATCAACGGATACAATTTAACTTAGTAATTCTTATTCTTGTGAATTTAGACACTCAAAAACAGCCATTTCAAATTCTTAAGGAGTATTTCCTATAAAATTTTAATAAGTTGAATCAATTTTTTATAAAATACTTTATGTTATTGCTAAATTTTAACAATGAGGAGATTGCATATAATCTTTAACAATCTTTTGGTAATAAACAAAATTTATATGTTTAAATGCATCATCAGGACCTTTCAAAAATGCTTTTTCATAAAATTTTGCTATAAAATAATAAAGAGAATACCTAATACATCAGAGTATTTTTAGTTTATATAGTGACTTAAGTCTGAATTTTGAATAAGTCTATTCTTAAATTTTTATTTATTCAGAATATTGTTGAGTATTTCAAAAGCTTTTTAAATATATTCTTTTTACAAATAAGAGTTAAAGAGTATTTTTAATAACTCTTGTAAAAATATCAACAATCTAGGATCTTATATGCAAAAATATAATTACTTTAATTTTGCTATCCTATTTGTTTACAAATTTATTGTAAATATTAATCAGTAGATAAATCCTTTTCTATTGTTTATAGTAATATAATTTCTTCGTTGTTTTAAGGATCTTAATGCATTTTTTGACTAAATGTTGTAAAATTATTTATTAAAAATATATTATAATATTTTATTAAACAATTTATAATAAAAGTAATTACTTTTTTTCAGTCCATTTTTATTTAAAGAATGGATCTTAAAATTTTTTTTCTATTATAGCTTAAGTTAAAATAAATAATAAATTTTTTAATTTCCTCCACATCCACATGGTTATTGTAAAAATTTAGATTTATCTTTTATATATAGAAAGTTTTGGATTTATAAGTATAAAAATATTAGAATTATTTCTAGATAAATTGAAGATTGACACAAACAAACTTTAAAATCATTGATTTTGGTTTAGAATTTACATTATTGATTTATAGAGTTCTTGATTATCCTCTAAATATTCATCTTCAATAATATTTTAAATTTAGAATTTAGCTCTTCGTTCCTCATTATATGTTTCCATCTTAGCAATAATTAAAAATCTATATTCATGATAATTTGCTCTTTTTAGACATTTAGATTTTTCTTCATCACTCTTTAGTACAAATTTGTCACAAGAAAGATCTAAAATAAATTAATTAAAAACCTAAAATTCTTTCTCCAATATCATTAGGCACACTAACAGTGAGATTTCCAGTTGTGTCTGCAATTTTTGCATTAAAAATATATCTATAACAAGGTTTTTCAAAACTTTTATCACAATTTTAGCAGAAATATTATTTAGTTGATGGTATTTGACTAATTTTTCTTTTACAAATATTGCATCCTTCATAAAAAAGAAGTTTATTAAAGATTGTTGTTATATATCCTCTTATTTCATAAAATTTAGTAGGCTTATTGTCTCTTGTTCCATCAAAATCCTTTTTAATTTATTCAATATATGATAAATTAAATTTCTTTTTTGATTCTTTTGGTCTTTATTCAATAAAATCTTTATTTTAACTATAAAATTCAAAGAATTCTTAGAATCCTTTAATTTTTTCTAAATTAGATTAATTTTTTTCATAAGTTGTTTAATTTGTGACTGTTAAACTTTTAACTGTTTAATAATCAGTTACTTTTAATCCTCTAAAAGCAACAATTTCATCTTTATTAAATTACCAATTTTAAGCTTATTATCCCCAAAGTACTATATCAATTCCTCTTTCAGATTAATCATATAAGGTAATATTTCGCTTAGCCTTACTTTCTTTTGTCTTTGTTATAATCTATGTTATAGGTTTAATATCTAGAATAACTCCAAGCACATCACATTTTTCATCTACTAATAAAGAATCAATTTCATCTATTTTTTTTATTTAATAAGGAAAAACATCAATTTCCCTATCCTCATTAGCTTCAATTATTTTTGAGAATTCTTCAAAATGTATTTAATAATCACTTTGAGTTTAATTTTTACTTTAATACCTATTTGCTTTTAATTAACCATTTTCAAAAAAATAAACCTTTCCTAATTATACTTAAGCAAAAAACTTATCACACACTTAATTAAAAAATACTCCTTAGATTGTTGATTTATCTGAATCTATAATTTCTATTGAAAATAATTTTCCCTTATTATTTTTAAATTAAGTAATATCAGATTTAGAAGTAATTCTCCCTTTTATTTTAAATCCCCTCATACCAGGATATAATTCTGATATTTTTAATAAATCTTATTCCAAAGTATGATTTTCAATTTTTTGAATAGAAATAGCAGGTTTAAATTATTTTTATTATTATTATTATTATTATTATTATTATTATTATTATTATTATTATTATTGTTATTTTAAGTGATTTGATAATTTAATTCCAGATTTAGTAGATTACTATTCGGAATTGATATTTTCATTAGTTTATTTTTATGATTATTCTTAAAAATCCTCTGATTCTTATTTTATTAATGATTATTTTTTATTTATATTTGAATTAATTTAGAGTTTATAGGGTGCTTTTGCAAACTTTATTTAAGTATCTCCATTTGCATTTATATAATTCTACATATTATGATTAAATTAATACCTAATCTTTATATTCTTCATAATTTAAAGGTTATCCTACCTGACCCTTATCTAAATACAATACTTCATGTTTACTAACCACAAAAAATGATTTATTTCTTTTTAAATCTAAGATTCTAATAATTGGTTTATATTTTGAGAGATCAGATGTAATTGATGGACTTAAATTAAGGATATGTAAAGTCATTTTTGCAAATCCATCACTACAAACACATGATGACAAACAACCAATTTTTGCACTTATATTAGAATTATTATCGATTGATAAAATTTAAACATCGTATGGTATTGTAATTTCATTGCTTTCGACCATGCTTTTTAATGCCTCATGAGTTAATTAGGTAACTTTTTCAGTCATCATTATATTTATTTATTACTTTTTTTTCTAATTTTGATTCCAAAAAAAACCCGCTAAATTTCTAACAAATGTATGTTTAAAAATGTATTAATTAAACAGATTTTAATATATAATAATCGAAAAATAGAATTAAATAAATTTTTTATTAATGAGATTATTAAGTTATGGTTAATAATTACCTCTTTTCATTTTTGCTATGGAAATAATTCAAAATATAGTTGTTTTCAAAAATATAGAAAACTATTGAATAAACAAAAATATCTGATCATTATGGTAAAAAGATGCTAGTCAATAAAAATTATTAAGTTGACATTAAAAAATTAAAATAAAAAAAAATTTAACTTAATATTTGTCATATTTACAATTTTAGCTAAAAATTCAATATTTCTTCATTGAACTTTTACTTAAATTTATATTTCATAATAATTTAAATTCTTTTTAAATAAGTGTTAACAATAATTTTTATTTTACATCCTTTTAAAATTCAATCGTATTTCTTTTGCTTCATTAAAGAATATAATTATTGAACAAAAGATTTAAGTTATCTTTACAAATAGATTGATATATGTGACTTCATTTCTTAATTCAATATATTTTTTTTAGTTTTTATTATAGTTTGATAAAGTGAATTCAACATCTAAGTTTTGACTTATTTACAAAATCTATATCATTCAAAATCATTAAAATATAAGTAATTAATTTCTTCTTAAATGATTAATAGTGATTGATGAAATTTTATATTTCAAGAATAATTATAGTTTTTGTTATAATTATTTTGAAAATGTTCTTAATAGTTTAATTCAAACTATTTCCTGATATAATTATACCATACACAATCTTAAAATAACAAAATTTTTCCTTTAATAATATTTATGATTAAAAAGCCTCAAATTTAAAAGCTATCGATTCAAACAACAAATAATCATGAAGATTTTTCTGAAAATATAATATTACATAAAAGAGTAATAGAAGATTAAAATGATAATACTTAAAGTACATAGAAATAGATTTATATTGAATTTAGAGTTTCTATATGCATTCGAGAAACCAATAATCAATCTAAAAATTAACACAAATAGTCGTTAACACTCTGGAAGACTTTCAGCTTTTGATTTTTTTAGTGTAAATAGCAATAAAGCTAATTAAAAAAAAGCATTCTCAATTGCACTTAACTATTTTAAAAATGAAGAGAGGAAGCCTATAATAATGAGAAAACCTGAGAATCTATATGGATTTTCAAAGGTCTCATCAAGATTAAAATGATTCCTTTATTATTATTGTTTTTCTAAGAAATCAAATAAATTAATAAATTTTTTAATATCGTTCTTATTCTACGAATTACCATAAATAAAGATGGTTATATAATCTTATTTCGAATTGATTCTTTCAAAAAATTATCGTCATCAATCTAAACAAGAATATTTTTTTCAGACCTCTAAATTAATAAATTCAAGATGTATAAAAAATGATTTTAAATACGATTCTAAAAACAAATTTGTAAACTGAACTATATATGGAATCAAATTATCCTTTAGATTAATAAATTTAGTCTTAAAGTACCTTTCATAGCATTTTTAAGCAGAGGTATTTATTTTCTTTATCCATTCCTCTTAAAAAATAATTTACCTACTCATAAATCTAATTTTTGAATTTAGATTCAAAATATTTTTCTTTAATAATACTAGAATTTGTTTTGGAATTAATCTGAACTTATAATAAATAGAATAAAAAATTATTTTATGATCATTGTGACATTAAAAGCTTGAACTTTAAATTAATACATTCCACTAAATCAATTTATAAAGAATTTATCCTTTTAAGATAGTATCCATATATATTGATTTGAAAGGTAATCGGTATGTTTTTTTGTGCAAAATGGATAAAATTACAATTAAGTCTCTATTCGAAATGCAACTTTATTATTGATTTCTTCTTAATTAATTATATTCTTCTTATTATTTTACAATAACATTACAAAGTTTATCTATAAGGAAATATTTAAAAGAAATGTACTAATATTATTGCACTAATTTTTGAAAATAGAGATATATAATGTAGAATAATAATATTAAGTTAGATTTAGTTAATAAATTAATTAAATAAAAATGATCATCTTGTACTTTTTGAATGATTATTTTTTACTTTAGAATAATCAAATAGATGATTGATTTAAATCTTAGACTAATATAGAATTGTATAAATATTTTTAAAAGAATTGGTTTGATTTTTTATAATATATTAAATTCAATATTTTATTGCTGCAAGTATTGAAATGATCTTTTAAGAAATACTTAATGAATTTATATTAATTGAATAAGAACTATTCACATTTAATTAATTAAGGAAATCTTTTTATTTAAAAATATAATTATTATTATGGCAAATTAGGCAACAGCAGTAGCATACGCAGCTCTTTTATTGGCAGGATCAAAAACTCCATTAACAGTTGAAAATGTTGAAAAACTCACAAAAAAAGTATTGATTAATTGAAATATTTAAAAAGGCTGGTGTGAATGTCTCATCATAATTAGCAAGCTAATTTGTTAGAGCATTTGAAGGAAAAGACATTGTAAGCCTTCTTTCAGTAGGAGGAGGTTCAAGTTCAGCAGCACCAACTGCTTAATCAACTTAAGCTGCTGCTAAACCAGCTGAAGCACCAAAAGCAGCTGAAAAACCAAAAGACCCAGAACCTGAAGAAGATGTTGATATGGGAGGTTTGTTTGATTGAGATAAAATACAATAGTACATTAAAATATATTAAACTTGCAATTTATTAGGGCATTCTCTTTATTTATTCAAATTAAAGAATTTTTCTATTTATTTTTCATGTTCATTAAAGAATTATTACAATTTAGTTATATAAGTCTAATTTCTCAATAAATTAACATGAATTTAAGTTTATAGATAAAATTCTTAATAAATCATTTAAGTTTGGAAAGTAATCATAAATAGAAATTGTATTAACCATTAATAGGAATAGTATTAAAAATTAATAAATTACATTTCATTCACAAATTTTTGTATTTTTAAATCTTTTAGATTAATTTAGTCTCAATATTTTATTTATTGATATTTATTATTGATATTTTAATCTTGATCTACATTTTAGAAAAATTATTAAACTATTTTATTATTTATTTTAAAGGATCATTTAGAAGTTTTTATTTATTATTATTCTTTATGATTTCTTTACAATTAAAATATCAATAAACTCAGATTTTCTATTAGATAACATTATATTTAGATAAAAATAGTTTGAATCTTCTAAAAAATTGTTTAAAATCTTTTGAATAAATATGAACAAATGGAAATTCTTATAATGAGTAAGTGGATTAAAAAAATTTTTTAATTTTGAATTATATCAAAAAGAATAATGTAAGATATGAACTTCTAAATTATATAGCTTGATTATAATATATGTTTTGTTATTTAATAAAAATTATTAAATTTTACTATAAAACTAGAACAATTACATAATTCAAATTTAATTTTTAAGTAATTTTAAAATCAGATGTTGAAATCAATAAACTAAACCTTGAGAGAATATGATAACTTTGGTGTTCCTTTGAGCCTAAATATTAATAAACAATCTGAATACAAAAGTGTTTGTGGTGGAGTCTTGTCAGTTATGATGACAGTTGTACTAATCTACATTCTTATTTCTGGTTTGATTGGTGTTTTTAACAGAGATGCTTACACAGTAACAATAACAAAAACTATATTAGATCGAGGTGTAATAGCTATAGGATATGGATCCTGACTTAAAAGAGATGAATAGCAACAACTTTATGTTTGCAATTAAAATTGATAATCCGTTTACAGAATATTTTCCAAACTTAAACAAATCAGCCTTTAATATCTCTATGAATTAAGTTTACATAGAAAACACATAAGGTGGAAAAAGAACTAAAAAAATTACAAAGTCTTATATGTTAGAAAGCTGTACAACTGATCATTTTCCTTCAATAAATTTTGATGAATTTCGTTAAGTAGAAAATTAGTTGAGCAGCTATTTATGTTTACCTAGAGATTATTAATTGTGGTTATAAGGAACTTACAGTTCATATATCATGTAATATCCTAAATTATCAGTTTCCTTATGCAAATCAGATAATTGTTATTCTGATTCTGAAATTATGGAATTAGCCAAGAATGCATCTGTTATGGTTTCACTTTCAACAATAATTTAATCTGCAATTTTTATGGCAAATTAAACGGATTATCCTTTATATCAATATTTGAACTCTGATTTCTTTTTAGCTACAAATTTTGATGCAGAATCAACTGCAGATATTTTCTTTGAATCAAACAGAATTGTTAATTAAAATAGCATTTTTAGTTTTTATGTAGATGATGAGATAATAGATTATTGGGTTTTTCCAATATATAGTTATAGAGAAATTAAAGTATTTATTCAATTTATTATTATAGACATTTAATAATATACCAAGTTCTTTATTTTCTGTTAATTTTAGATTAAGTTAAGAATTTTAGTAGACTACTAAGAGGGTTAATACAATTGATTAATTCTTATCATATTTTGGAGGTATGCTTAAAATAATATCATCTGTTTTTGGTATTGTAGCTATTCAATATAATTAAATGGGATTAAGATTATCTTTAGCAAATTCTCTTTATTAATTTAATATACCATAAAAATAAAATGGTTAAATAGAATTTACATATGATAAATTGCTAAGTTATATTTAAAAATAACTTAATAGAGTAGATGAGACAATGAATAAACTTAAAAATCATACTATAAATTTAGTTAAAATGAATAAAATAACAAGAGCTATAACATTAAAACATTAATCTAATCCAACTTAATTAAGTGAAAAGAAGAATTCTATTTTAATTGATTAACCGTTACATTAAGATGATATTGAAAGATAAGCTAGTAATTTATTGGAAGTTAAAGAATCTTTCTTAAGAGATTTATTTCATGAAATTTTTGAATAAAGACATAAGTTAAAGTTAGGAATTAACTTTTTCTTTTATTAACTACTTTGTTGTACTTGTATAGAAAAAATTAGATTTACTCGAAAAATATTGTAACAATGTGAAAATGTCATACTTTAGGATTTGGATATTGTGAACATTCTCTAGAAATTATAATAAATTGAAAAATTGAAATAAGCACTTTTAGAAAAGGATCAAATTAAAGTATTTAATTATACACCTAAACCAATTGTTAATGTAGAAGCAAATTATAAATTCAATCATAATTTAGAAGGAGATGCAAATTTTCTCTTTTAATAAGCTAATAAATAAAAACACCATAGATTGATTAGAAGTAAAAATTATAATAATCCTAAAAAAATGATTAAAATATATCATTCTTATTCAAAATTGAAAGAAAATTCTGATGTTTTAAATTAAAGAATTATATATTTAATGGGTCCTGCTATGGAATAGATATTTAATAAATATTATGAAATCTAAACTTATTATGAACATCATAAAATAAATAATCATGAATAATTAAATTAAAATGATTAGTTTCCATAAATGACAGAAAAACTTATAAGTGATAACCCATCACCATTACCTTAAACTGAAGATAATGAAAAAAGAAATAATTCATCTAAAGCAAGAATACATCTTTAAATTAAACCTAAAGAATTGGATTAAAATGAAAATCAATTTTTAGATAAATGAATATTTTATAACAAATTATCATTCATATTATTATAGAATAAACTGCAATTTCATTATTTCATGGTTAGCACAAATTAATTATTAAATAACTTATTTTTTAAATGCCTTTCATTCTTTATGTACTATTAATTGCTCCCTTGTTCTTATTAATAGGAATCTACAAATTATGTTTTCAAAATAAATTTCGTAATAGAAGAGATTAATTTGGATCTTTGCATGAGAGAATGAAAAAGAAATTATTCTTTGGATATGCTGAATTAATTCATACTATGTCAAATGAAGACCTTAAAATATTATAATAAACTTTTGAAAACACAATTAAAAATGCTTAAACTATTAAAATAAAAAGTTTCAAAAAAGTTAAAAATCTATCAAAAAATCTAAAAAAGGTTTTATTTATAGATGACTTAGATCAAAACACCACTGAACAGTTTACTTTAATTTGAATTTAATTTGTAATTCTATATGCTTGAAATTTAATGATATCTTAATTATTTTTTTTACATTCCTTAAAATTCATATTATAATACAATTAGAAATAATTCCTTTAGAAAAATAATGTAATATAAATGATATACGATTAAATTATGTGATTAATATATTAATAAATAAATTAATATTATTACTAAAGTATTTCAATGTTAAAGATATAAGGATTATAAATCATAAATTAAGTATAAGATTGATTTAAATTATGTTACTATTTCTGGGATAACTTTCATATGTGAATTATTTTTTTGTTATTAAATTTATCGTTAATATTTTAAAATATTATTTATTAACTATGTAACAAACTCGATCACCTTTGTCATAAATTGATTGTAATCAGAATACTTATAGATCTCAAGCTTCAAAGACATAAGATATAAATTATTAGATTTAATTTTAAATACCAAAATAGAAACTTTCAACTGTTCCTGATTCTCTATAAGAAAATAATGCTGTTTACATGAGTCCAAGAAATACCAAGCTAAAAACTTAAACTTTTCTATCTCCCAATTGTAGATCTCCTTTAACAAATAGGAAATAAATAAAAACAATTTAATCTCCTTATAACTTATCTATACATTCAGCCTAATCACCTATCAAAATTGGAAATAATACTGCTCAAAATTTTAAATAAGAACTTGATTATTTTAAATTAAAAAATAGTAATCTTTAGAAATAAATCCTTAATTTAACATCTTAAATATAACGTGGCTAATCAAATACTCTAATTAAAGAATTACAATAAAAAATATAATTATTAACTTAAATGAATGAAAAATTAACATTAGAGAACAAACAATTGCAATAAAAAGGAGATTTAGACTAACTTAAAAAGAATATTGAATAATAATTGTAATTAATAAAGGATGATGAAAGAAAATTAAGGGAAATTAAAGAAAATTAAGAAAAATATGAAACATCTAAACTTGATCTAATAAAGAACTCTACAACAGACTATATTACTTAATTAATACTTGACCTTGAAGAGCGAGTCCATATTTTAATAGTTGAAAACGCTAATTTAAATAAAGTGTTCAATTAAAGAATAAAATTAAATGAAAGATTCAACACTTTAGAATTGTAGTTGAAATAAACTTAAGTTTAATTTTAGAAGGTTAAGGTTGAGGAAAAATTAATAAAAACAAAATATAATTAAATAAAGAAAAAATGAAATTTTAGTATCTGTTTTTATAATTTTATATAAAGTAATATAAAAAATGAATAATATTGAAGCAAATGCCAAAACTTAATAAGCTAAAGCAAGATTAAAGGCTGCTAGATCTATTTTTGAATTAGCAGACACTAATAAAGATGGATACATTACCTATGATGAAGTAATATTAAATAATATTATATAGGTACCGAAATTGTTAATTGAAACAAATAAATTGATTTCAGATGAGAAATATGAGCCAACAAAAGAAGAAATAGAAAGTTGGATTAGTATGACAGATCTAAATAAGGATAAATAAGTTAGTCTTAATGAATTTTAAGTTTTAATATTAAAAACTCTTTAAATATAAGGTATTGATTTAGAAGGATAATGATTAATTTAGAAATAAATAAAATATAATAATTAGTTATGATATTTATACATTAATTATTTAAATTAAACAGAGAATAAGTTTTAAGATTAGTTATATGGAAATGAGCAATTAGTTCATTCAAGATGTAAATAATTAATGAAAAAGAGAGGATTATAAATTTTTAAATGAATTTTGTGAATTGATTAGAGCTTAAATAGTATGTGATTTAATTAAATATTAAGGTTTATTTTTTCTTTTATTTTCAAAAAATATATTAAAAGATTTTCATTAACAAATGGTAAATTTGATTGTGATAATTCTTTTAGCCAAAAGCTCCAAAGACATCTAAAGCAAAGAAGATTTAAAAGAAAGTAGCAGATAGAAAGAAGAATCCACTGTTTGTAAAAGAGGCTAAAAACTTCAGAATTGGAAATGATGTTTAACCAAAGAGAGATTTATCAAGATATGTTAGATGGCCTCGTTATATTCTTTTACATAGATAAAAAAAGATTTTATTGCAAAGAATCAAAGTGCCAGCAGCCATTCATTAATTCAGCAAAACACTCGACAAAAATCAAAGTAAATAGTAAATATTAATAAATAAGGTTCAAAGGTCTATGGTCTTTTGAAGAAATATGCACCAGAAACTAAAACTGAGAAGAAATAAAGATTAGTAAAGGCTGCTGAATCAAAGGCATAAAATTAAAAGACAGATAGCAAGAAAGTGACTGTTCTTAAATTTGGATTGAATCATGTTACTACTTTGGTTGAAACAAAGAAAGCCAAATTAGTTTTGATTGCTTATGATGTAGATCCAATTGAATTAGTTGTTTGGCTTCCATAATTATGTAGACGTTAAGAAGTTCCATTTGCTTTTGTAAAAAGTATATAAATATGAAATTATTAAAGATAAGGCTAGATTAGGAGCATTAGTTCATTAAAAGACAGCAACTTGTGTAGCTTTGACTGAAGTAAGAAAAGAAGATTAAGCTGAATTCGATAATTTAGTAATAATTTCTTATTATATTAAAAGGCTCGTGATTTGAGATAACATTACAATGAAAATCATGAATTATTAAGAACTATTGGAGGTGGTTAAGTAGGAATTAAATCTAGACATCAATAAGAAGCTTTAAAGAAAGCTTTAGAATTAGAAGAACTTAAAAAGACAAGTTAATGATCAAACATATCAAAATATAATATAAAATAAGACAATTGTACATTACACATTTTCTTTATTTCTTTTCTTTTATTTCATTCTATTATTTTATTTTTAAACATTTTGATAATTTTTATAAGGATTAATTTTTAATAATAAATAAAATGCATATAATAAATACTATGATGATGAGATTGTATTATAAAATAGTAAACAATAGATAAAGATAATTATGTTTAAGGATAATATATATATATATATGGTTAGAATATACTTTATTATATCAATAAATTTTATGTAAAATGATAATTAGATGATATAAATCAAGCTGATGAAGAATCTGAATCAGTCATTACTTTTTTATATCTTCTTTTTTATTCTACTTCTTCATCAAAAGTCTCTTCAATTTCTCCATTCTCAATTTTTTTCAACTTTCTTAAAATATCCTTTTTTAAAGCACATAAATTATTAATCTTTTCTACAGTTGTAAAATTGCCTTCCATAATTTCATCATGTGAAAGAAAGGAAGTTTAAGAATTTACATGATATCTTGGTAATTTAATTAAAGCAATATCTGCAGGACTTATTCCAAACTAGAAATTATTATGTATAAATACATTTTTTTTATTTTCAGCTATTCTTTTCTTTCTTTCTTCTTGTGTCATATTATCACCTGTATTTATAATTGAATTATTTTTTCTAAATACATTCTTTTTTTGCATATTATGTAAATACACTTTTTTAAGATCAACCTACAAGCCCATAAATTCACCCAAACTTTATTGTCCTAATAATCTTTAAGTTTGCATATATATCTATCCTATACTCTTTCCAGGTAAACATTCAGAGTTTATAATTTTGCGCCATTTTCCTATACCAAACTTCATGAGCGCCAAGTTTAAAATCTCAACTTCTTTCATAGTCCAACCTTGTATAGTTATAATTTAACTTTACCTGGTGATAATGTATAATTCCATAGACTTTATGATTAATGATGTACAATTTATTTAGACATTAAATTTAATATGTAACGATAGCCAACTAAAAAAAGTTTTTCATCTAATAAACGTAGTGATTCTGGAAATGAAAGAAAAAGAAGTGTTCATAATGATTCATCTTTTAATCATAAAACTGATGAAGAATTACGTGATGTTGTTAGCAAACTATAATTCAAAATTTTGAAAAAAAATGATCATTTGGCAAAAATGAAAGAAGAAATCATTGAATTATAAGTTTAATGGTAAGAAGAAAAAAGAAATTGGCAAAATGAAAAATCTGCACTTGAAAGATAAACAGAATTTTATAAAGAAAATGTGTATGAATTTTTTAATTATCTTAGACATACTGAAAGACTTAATAATCAAAAATTATAAATTTAAATTGATAAACTCACATAAATGTTAACTGATTAATCTAAAGTTAAATAACATTTTGATACTAATACTACTTTAGAAAAAGTTAGTGGATAATTAAATTAAGAAATTGATTTTTTATAAAAAGAAATTGGAACTCTAAGAACATAAATTACATTATTAGAAAATAAATTATTAACTAAAGAAGAAACTATATCAGAATAATAAATTAGAATTTAAAAATTAAAAAAAAAAATGGATTAATAATTATAGGTATAATTAGAAGAAAAAATGTAAGATGTTGATAAATAAAAAAAAAGAAGTGGAGAAATTAAAGAAAGAGTTTCAGAATTAGAATTAAAACTCAAAAATTTAAGTTTGGAAAGTGAAAGAATTAAAAAAGATAATAAATTTCTTCAATAAGAAAATGATTAATTAAGAATTCAATATGAAAAATCCACTAGATTAATTCCATAATTAGAAGATTAAAAGTATAATATTTATTTGATTTTATTAGTAAAAGATTAGAAATAGAAATAAATGATTATGAATAATAATTTGAAAAAATGAGCAAATAGATAAGAGATCTTAATAATTAATTTGTAAATGAAAAATAAAATGGATAATCTCATAATGAAGAACTTAAAAAAAAAAATGCTTAAATTGATAATTTAGAGCAATAAATTAATGAATAAATAAGATTATTACATGCTGAATAAAGATAAAATACTTTTTTGAAAGAAGAAATGGAAAAATATAAAGAGTAATTAGAAAGATTATAACGACAATCTCAATAATTAACAGATGCTTAACATAAAGATATGGATATATTAGAGGCTAAAATTGAAAAAATTAGTAAGGAAATGATTAAATTAAGAGAAGAAAATAGTATTTTAAAATCATAATTATCTAATTAAAAAAAAGAATAAGGTTAATATATTGACACTATTGATCAATTATAAAAATAGGTAAGGGATTTAAAAGGAAAAAACAAAATCTTAGTTTAATAACATGATGATTTGGATGCAAGAATCAATTAATTAGCTTAAATAAAACAATAAAAAACAACTAAAGTTAGAATACAAGATTCAGATTTTAGGAAAAAAATAGCTAAACTAGAACGATCAGATAGTAGTAGTTCTTTTTCTGACTGAATTAATTAATAATAAAATATAATAAATATATATAAAATTATTAAAATATAATAAAATCAATAATAATTAAACATTGAGCGATCTTTATTTATTATTTAAAGATAATTCTTAACAAAAATCTTGTTGCATATTCTACTAAAGACAATTTTATGAAATTATGGAATATTAAAGATTAAATTTTATTAAAGAGTCTATAAAAAAGATAATGATTGAATCACAAAGATACTATATTCATTTTTTTATATTAAAAGAAATTAGAGCAAAAACTGGAAATTCAATTAATTTGATAAAATGTAAAACTGAAGAATCTTTTATTATATTTGATTTCTGCACTTATTGATATAAGAAAAATATATACTAGCTTTTCAGCTTCATTAGATGAGTGTTTTATTTGTTTTCAAAGCATTTCAATTAAATTTGATATTAAAGAACTAAGTCCAAACTGATGAAAAAAATTATGAGCTGAATATTATTAGTTAAAATGGATCAATTATTGCTCTTGCAAACTTAAGTCAAATTAAATTAGAAACAGATCCGAAAATTGATACTTTTCAAGATTTTTAATGAAATTTAAAATAAAAAAATAGAAGTTATGGCATTCTCTTTTGAAAAGAAAAATCTTAATGCTCCATTAATCGAATTTTAAAATAGAAAATAATTTACATATTCAGCTATTGAAATACTTTGCTCTAATAAATTTTGAGACATTAAAACACACTTTTTCAAAATAAATAGTTTAGGATGTTTATGGAATAATATTCATTAAAGAGAAGCACAAAAAAATTTGATGTTGATTGAAAATTAAAGTATTGATAAATTTGCTTTAAATAAAAACCAAAATTTCAAGATGGTTATACTAAATCAATTCAATTTATATATATAGAACTAGTATCTATTTAAATATATATAAGAATACCAGAAGTATTAGATTTTTTTTTGCCCTTTAAAATTTTTATTTTTCAACAAAAAACACATCCAACCCCTTGATTAAAATATCTCTCTTTATGTGACTGTTGATGCAACTCCTTCTAATAGGGCCAACCCCAGAGCAAGATTAACACAAGAAATTTGGCATTCATACCCCAATTAAGCGGAGCAAGATTAACCAGTGCAACAATTTGCAAATGGTGCTTTATTTTTTATAATAAAATTGAAATATTGACAAATTATTAATAATAATTAATTCAATAGAATAAAATTCTAATAGAATATATTAGATATTTAAATTCAATCCAATATTATTGAATTTGTATTATTGATTTACTTAAAATGTCAGATCGTGTAAGCAATAAAGCATCAGAATCTAACACTTGGTCTTAGTATAAATCTTGTTCAAGACTTTTATAAGCAATAGCCTAGGTTCTTTTTGTAGCAGAAAATATTCTTGAGGAGACTGATCTGAAAGTGTTTTAACAAAATTTACTAATTGAAATTCAAAAGAGGTGGAATAACTGATTGATTTTTAAATTTAGATTTATTAAATTAAGAACTGTATTAATTATTATTTTGTAAAAGAGTTGTTATTCTTATTCAGCAAGCATGTTGTTATTAGGTGGTGTTAATTTAATGTTAACTAAAATATTTTTACATTTTCATCAATGCTTAAGGCTTTTCTATTTTAATGTACTTATTTTTAATGTTATTATCTGACTTTTTATATTGTTAATTAAGTTAATTATTATTAAACAAATAGCTATTTTTAAAAAAATAAATATTACTATCTTTCTAACATTCTAAACCCTCAATTTTAAAAAATTGAGAAGTAAATATTAAGTAGAGAAAAAAATAAAATCTAGAATTTGAAAATCTCATTATAGGTGGTTATTATTATCGGATTATTATTATTGTTAAATAATAAATTATAAAGAAGATAAATAAAGAATTTAAATTTATTTACTTATAAATTCTTAATATTGATCAATAAATTCAATTAATATAACACAAATCACAAATTTAACAAAGGTTTCCTTTTTAAGAATGTATTGCTTTATCAAAAAGACATTAATTGTAATTTGATCCTTTTTATATTGTCAAAGTATCAGCAAATATAATTTTACAACCTTGTTATAAATAGTCTTCCTCAAAATCAATTTAATGCTCATTCCTGGATAATTGCTCACAATTTTTGAGGATCTAGAATATAAATATTTGAATACTTTCTTAACATTCTCAATAACTTCAAGTTTAGCATAAGCTGATCCTTATGGAGCCTTTTCTAAAAGTTTTAATAAATATTTTGCTACTTGAGCTCCAGTCAAATGATTTTTATATTTATAAGCTAAACTCATAGCTGCTCTTAATGTAAGTGAACGATGTATTGGCTACAAATCACACATAGCCATATAACAAGCTAATTCAATTTGTCTAGATACACTTTAGTCTTTTTTTTTTAATTCACAATTCATAGCCATAATATAATTTAAACAGATTGGAATAATATCAGTGCTTTTATCATGAAATAAGGCTTATTTCAAAATATTCTTAAAAGTATATAAGGCATCTTGAAATTTACCATCAGTAGTTTACTTATATCCTTATTTTAATAAATTCTAAGATGTCCTATTAAAATGTTATTTATCTTAAAGAGATTGTATCAATTATGGGGCAGATTATAAAAAAGGTATTTAAGATATTTACATGATTGAACTTAAACACAATTATTTCATATAATCTTTACATTAGTTAAGATCTGTCACATTTTTTGACTATTTCAAAGATTATTAACATTATTAAAATTAACCAGTTACTAATTATTCTGCAGGTGATAAAACTATTTAATTATTAGTTATATTTTACCTTTTTTATAATCAGGGTATCCAAATTACAAATTTTTATAATCTAAAGTTGTTTAATTTAATTGCATTTCTAAGAGTTCTTATTCATTAATTTCCCATTAACAATCTTCGAAATTTTCATCATTATCTTATTTTTATTAATTTTATTGTTTTTAATCATTATTAATGATCTTAAAATTATTATCATTTTTTTTTTCTAAATTACTTGTCTATTTCTATTATTATTGTTGATTATTTTATTTGTTATCTTGATCTTCTTCAATTATTAAATTATATGATGAATCTTAATCAACAAAATTATGAGGCCAATTAATAGAAAATAAAGGATGTTGATTAGATCTAATAATTGAAATAGGAGGTTATAATGTTTCTGGCTACAAAGATTATAACCATTCTAAATCTTCAGATATAACAAACTTTTAATCATATTTTAATCCATGCACAAATTTACTAAGATTTGCAATATGTTCTAATTTGCAATCTTATAAAAATTGAATTCTTTAATTAATATTTCCTAAATGTAATAAAGTTTAGAATCTAGTATTATGTTCATTTTATTCTTTAGCAATTGTACTTAAGACATTCAACTTTTCAGTTTAACCAGTAATAGTATAAAGAAATGCTAATTATTAAGAGGATCTCAATTTTTATTAACAAACTTCAACTATATTGTGATTGCCTTGTCTCATAGCTTCTTCAGATAATTATTAATAACAGATAGGAACCTTTAAATCATCACAAGTTCTATAAGAAAGTTCTAAATTATTTGAAGCCAAAGCTAATTGAAATTTAGCTCTTTTGTCATCAACTAATTAATATGCTAACATTGAGTATCCTTTTTATTACAGATATGATGTTATTAAATCACCCATTTTTTTACGTGTTTTTAAGAAATTCTGAATAAACATTATGTTTTTATCTATTAAAGCTTATTTAAAAAGCATTTCAGAACAATCAATATTCATTGTTAATAATTTACCTACATTATTCATGTAGAATAATTTATATTTTTCACTTTATTTATCTATTGGTTATTGTAATTAAATAATATAAGGTACACTTTCCATAGTTCCAAAAATACCTGAATCTCCATTTATTAATAAATATTTAATATGAACTTTGGTTGAATATATTATTATATTTTATGTTCGACTTAAAAATAGTACTGATTTTATATTTATTGATTCTGATATTTAAGTAACTCTTTAAAATTATTTTGTAAAAAGATAAATAGTTTTTTTAGTTTAAATCATAACATATGTATCATTAGATAATACCTTTTTCATATTATTGAATTCATTTGAACAAGGAATTTGATGAATAATTTTATTAGCAACTGGATCTAATACATTTATAAATTAATCAGAGTAAAAGATTGCTTTACCTCCTAAATAAGAAAATATTTTATCGGCTTTATATCCAAGAGCTGTATGAGAATCAACTTCAAAGTTATATATTTCTAGTTCAGAACTTTCTTTAGACTTTAGAATCTTTGATTTCCCAATAAAAATTGCAGTCTTACCAAGAAACATTTGACTTATATTGGTTTAACATTCAAAAATTACATATTTACATATTCCTCTCTATTTATTATGAGTGTTCTATTTCAATCTGACTAAAAGTTAATTTTTGTTTGTTTCATATATATTTAATTAGATAAATTCAATATTATCTTGTAATAAATTATCAGAAATCGAGTTTTCTGAAAAGTTCTTAATAACTTTTTCTTAATTATTTTATAAATCTATTAATTTGATTTATTTTTTGCTTCCAACAAATAAGTTCTTATTATCCATTAAATCAATAGCAGGTCTATTTTTAAATAATGTAAATATGTATAAGGCAGAATCACTTCCTGCAGCAAAATAATTATTATTCTAATGAACAGCACTAACCCAAAATCTATCTTATTCATAGTTTGTAAAACAATCTATTTCAATTTTCTTTTTCATATCCCAAAATCTTATGGTATTGTCTTCAGAATCAGATATAAAGTATTCACCAAATGGATGAAACATAGCACTACTTACATTGTTCTTTAATATTATTAATATTCAATTACATTATGTCCCAAATAAGAATCAGTCTCATATCCTCTACTTTCAGTAAATTTCCACACTTTTACTTTTTTATCATCAGAAGCAGATAAAATCAAATTTTCTGTTGGACTGAAAGAACACCAATTCACACCTTGATTATGTCCTTCTAAAATTTATATTAATTCTAATTCATTTTATTATTCATTTTAAACCTTAAAATTAAATTTACTTATATTACATTCTTTTATGTAAATCTTTTCTTCAATTATGCAATAGACCATAATCTAATAGTTTAATCTAAAGAACAAGTAATTAATAAATCTTTAGATGGATGAAATTCACAATGCATTACATAATGACTATGTCCTGTTATTATGGCTATCATCTATCTAGATTAATAATTCCATATTCTAGATGTTTAATCATCTGAAGCTGATACACACCATGGTAATTCTGGATGAAAATGTACACATCTTACAAAATCTAGATGGCCACGCAATACAAATTAACATTTTTTAGTTTTGTAATTCCAAATTCTTACAGTAAAATCATCAGAGCCAGATAAAAATAAACATAAAGATTGATGGAATTGAACTGATCTCACTGGACCTTCATGCTCAATAAATTCTTCTATTGTCTATTTATATATTAATTATATTTATACTCTTCCTAATCTGTAATCAATCATTTATATTGATCCAGAATGTAATCCAACAAGTAGCCATGGTTGTTTTGGATGAAATGATAATCCTTTTATTCTTTCTGTTTTCTTATGAAATTTTACAATCATTTATTTTTAATTATTTATCAATATTCTGTAAAATTTCAATATTAAGTCATAATACTATTTCCTAAATTTATCATCTTAAAAATACTATACATTCATATACTCTTAAGTACAAAATCAATAAAAGCATTTCAAATCTCTTTTTGATACAATATTAAGGGTTAACAATTATATAAATGAATGTTATTTTAAAAGCTAAACTTAGTTTTTCTTAATTTTAAAAACATATATATTAGTTAATTATTGAATCTTAAATATTTTATAATATCTTTCTTTGCTATTACAGATCAGAATATTTAATTATTTTAAAAATTATAACATAAAAGATCATTTATTTAAAATTAACAAGATAAATTTTATTAATTCTAAAATAAAGCCATTTATGAACTTTAACAAAGAATTGGTAAGTAATGGTAATAATAAAAGAGAAAAAGACTCTATTATATTTTATATTTATATTATTTAATGAAATAATTTATTTTTATTTTTGTTAAGAGGGTCTATTTAATTCTTAAAAGTTGAATCTAGATAATAAAAAATAGTAATTGAATAAATTTAAAGAAAATAAGTATATTTTCTTTAAATTATGTATGTAAAATATTTAAGTTAAAGAAACAAATGATTTTTTTATATGACTCTTAATTTAAGTAAAAAGAGTAAGTGAAGAAAATAGTATTCTAATAGTAATTGAATCACTTTATAAAAATGTTATCTTAAAAATGTATCATTTATCTTAATTTCCTGTTGATTAATTATTCTTGGATTAAAGATCTTCTATGGCTTTTTTGATGGCATCTTCTGCTAGCATACTGCAATGTAATTTAACAGGTGGTAATTTTAAATAACTTGCAATATCAGAATTCTTTATATTATATGCTTCTTCTAATGTCATTCCTTTAAGAATTTCTGTAGCATAAGAACTAGAGGCTATGGCTGAACCACATCCAAATGTCTAGGAATTTAGATAATTATATATTATTACTTTAAAAACAGCTTATTCAATAGTTTTACCATCTTCCCCAACTTAGATCTATAATTTCATAACATCTCCACATGCTGGTGCACCAACTAATCCTGTTCCAACCTTTGGATTACTTTTATCAAGAGATCCTACATTTCTTGGATTTTCATAGTGATCTATTACATTTGGATGATAGGTAAAGCGAGGAATATATTATATTGATCGCTTTAGAAGAGTTAACATAAATATAAAAATAATTTAAATTTTTTATTATGGCTTAGAACCAAATAGTAGGAGCAATTAAAATAAAAGACGGATTATTTATTGGAGATGAATTTGCATCATAGGTTTAGTATTGAATTTATAAAAGGATCGAGAATTTATAATTACAAATAAAGTAACACATATAATAAATTGTGCTGGTACAGAAATTCAAAATAAATGGACATTAATGGGTACAAAGTATTTAACTTTTAATTGGTTGGAATAAGATAACGAAGTATCTATTTATATTTTTATTTTTAGGTCTTGTTTGATGAACGAGGTGAAAATGTAAATAAAATATTTACATTCATTGAAGAATGTTTTCAATAAGGTGAGAGTTGTTTGGTACATTCAGTTAGAGGATAGAGTAGAGCATGCTGTGTACTTGCTGCTTATTTTATGAAAAAGTTCGTTAAATTATTTAAATTTATTAGATATTCATGGACATTGTATAAAACACTTGAATATTTAAATTCTAGACGTCCTGATCTTGAAATTAGAGCATCTTTTTTTTATTAACTAAATGCATTAGAAAATAAAATGAATAAATTAGGACCAAAAAGAACTGCATCATGGAATGAACTTACTTCGGACGAATCAAATCCTTAAAATGTTTAAGAAGAATTAATCATTAGAAATACTTTTTTGAATTCACATAATGGACCTGTTGATGAAATTTATACTAATTTATAAGCTAAATAAGTATTAAATATAAATCATTTTTAGGGAGTTCTTGGTAAACTTACAAATTAAAAGTTAAAATGGAAAGATTAAATAAATAAAGAAAATATTTAATTAGCTACTCTTGTTTATACAGGTTCTCCTGATTTTGTACCTGTTTCTGAAATCAATCTAAAACGTGATTCAGATACTTCTATACTAAAAGTAATAATCAAATTTAATTAGGGAGCATAAAAAAATCAATCCTCAATCTAATTACCTAAATAACCTTAAATCTAATCAAGTTTTCCTAAAAGTAATTAAAATACAACACAAGTAAGAACTGAAAGTAGCAAATCATAACAATAAGATTAAACTGATATTACAATCAATTCTAATTTAATTTCTGCTAATTTAACTAGTATACCTTCCTTTTAAAATTTATTATTGCACTGTGCAGCTAAAAGTAAAACACCATTATAATAATAATAATAACCACAATAGCTATAATAATAACCGCAACAATAATAATAATTATTATCCTAACAATCTAATATACCATAATTCTAATAATAATAATAAATCATAATTGAACAAAATAACAAAAAGCCTTAATTATTGAATAATTTTATTAAAACTACTGAGAATCAAACAGAATAATAATAACAGCATTTATTAGGAAATATATTAAATACTAATAATTAAATTCTGTAGAACACTTGTAATCAAATTAGAAGCAATTCTTTACAATAAAATGAAGAAAAAAAGTTATGTACAGATAATCAAAATAGACCAAGCTCATTGAAATAAAAAGATAACTAGAATTCTATTTTAACAAATTTTTAAGAATTCAAAAATTAAGTTTAATAATCACTTAATTATTTTAATAAATAAACTGAGGCACTTTTAAATTTTGATAAATAATCCTAATAATCCTAAACAACATAAATTTCAAATCAATAAAATAATACAATTTAATAAAAAAATAAATTAGATTAATTAATAAGTCCAACATTAGTATAAACAATGAATTCTACTAAGCATTCAGAAATATAAAAAACTCTCACCTAATCCATTTCTTAATTATAATCTAGTTATTAAAAATTTCAACAACTTTAATAAAAAACTTAAATAAAACAGTCATAATCTCAATCTTGCATTTAAAAATAAAACATTTAAAATTCTGAATTATCTTAAATTAATTAGCCATCTATGTTAAAATAAGTAACTTTAATAGATAGAAGTTCTTCTTTAAATAAAAATTAAGAAATAATAGATTCAAAGCTCAGGCCTAATAGTACTGAAATTAAAGATTAGCAAAAATCTATTGGAATATAAAAAAAAGAAAACTTATCTCCTTTTTCAAAAGATCAACCAAAAAAAGTATCACAACAAGGACCTCCTTTACCATAATCTAGTTCATAAATATACTTAAGAAATGTATAATGTAGAAGATAAGCTGCATCTACTTTGAGAAATTAATAAAAACCAAATAATTCCTTTTAAGATAAGTACCTAAATTAAAGTGCTAATTAAGCATAAAACAATAGTTTTAATAATAATAGCAATTCTGCTATTGAAGCTGATTAAAAATAACAAACAAAAGGAATAGTTTCAGATCTTAATTAATTTAAAAAATTGATATCCCCTTAAAATCCGACTAAAAGTTAAGCTTAATTTGTTAAAAATTAGCCAATAAAAGTCTTGCAAGAATTAACAGAAAAAACTCAATCATAAAAATAAGTGTAAAATTTTTAAAATATTTTATAGAAAAGCCAAAGATAATATTTCTTCAACTAGCTTTACATTAGTTTAAAAACCGTCTTCAGTAAATACGAGAACTTTTTCGCCTGCTATTAAAAGTATTTAATTTACATCAATTCTAGATGAGCCGAAAAGTAAGACTACAAATGATTCTACTTTAAGACATAAAATTAGAAATTCTTCTCCAGGTAAAAATATTAAATTTTCTAATCTTAGGAATAGCAAAGGATTAGGATTAATCTAATTCATTTTAAAATATATCATAAACTTTACAAGGAAAAAATAGTTGGAAAATGTTTTGATACAAGTACTTTTATTTTATATTTTTTTAATATATTATAATTAAGTAATTTTTGGTTATAAAATAATTTTAAAATAAATGATCAATCAGTTTAAGTATTATGGGAATTTAATTCATTATCTAAATTTCTAAAAGTATCTTCCATTATAAATTTCGAACCTTATTGCTGTTAAAAGGTAATATGATGAATTCCTAAATTATCGCTAAAATCTTTTCTTTCATTTTCTTTGTCTTATAAATGATATCTATTGATATAAAAATGCTGTTTACATGCCTGCAGATTAAAGTGAAAATTTATCTGGATCACTAGAATCAAATGTCTTTTTATTGAATTAAATGTCTTATTCAGTAGTACAATACAATAAAGTCTACAAATTTTAGATTTCATAGTGTTAATTCATAATAGTTTTTTATTAAGATTCAATTTGCCTTTTTTAAATTTAAATTATTTATTTCATTTTATTAAATTCTTTCTGTTAGACAAGTGAATTGTTTGATGGTTAGTTAACTTTTTTTTCTTTTAATAAGAATTAATTTATAACTGTTTACATTTCTACTAATTTTTATTCACATATGTCTTTCTCCTTTTGTAATTATTCCAATTAGGCTTGATAAAATAAGACTTCATTTTGTACTGATGATCTTCTTGATAAGGATTCAAATTAGTTACTTTTTTTTTGATTTAGAATATTCAATTATTACTATTATTTTAAAGTTGACAATTCTTCTTATTTTGATTCCAACTTATTCATAATTTCATACTATTATAATTCTAAATTTTCAAATTATTATTACAAATGTTAAATAGACTAATCCTTAGCTAATAAAAGTTATCTAAGCTCATTTAATTCATTTTATAATTAAGAGATTTCTTTATTTTTTTAATTTAAAAGTTACTCATTGTTATTTTGATTAATAACTTTATTTCTTTCGCTTTTTAATTATTTCATATCTTCTAATAATGATAAATTTTGTTATTTTAAGTTATTAAAATCTTTATTTTACTATTCAAAATTAGTTCTAATAAATTCAAGATCTTTTAACATTTCTTCATTTTAAGAATATAATTTTTGATTATCTGAATTTAAACGTATATTAGCTTCTTACAATTTTTGATTTTCTTATTCTTTTTATGATATTTATTATTTTGATTCTCTCAATAATATATTTAGTTATTCAATTTTTTCGCATTATTCTTTAAGAATGTTGGATTTTTACTAAGAGACATTTTTAACATTTAATTAATCTTCTGATTATCTTAGTTATGGTTTTAAGCAAGCATGAGTATGAGGACTATATGATTAATTATTTTGTGAATTATCAGGAGTTTTATCATAATGAAAACTAGCAGTAGTTTTAGTTGGAGTTTTTCTTAATATTTGTTCTTTGGATTTATTTATTGATGTATCAAGTCTCAGATTCCCTGTGCTACTTTAATTAATTTATTTCATGATATCTAAAGTTTTGGTTGATTATTGAGTTTCTAATTTATTTTTTTGATTTAAAAGCATCTCAATTCTTAAAGGTTGAATGGGCATTGAAAGTATGTCTGGTTAAGGAATTTTGATAGTTTTATCCTATGGAACAGAATTTTTTGATTTTGAGATATTCATTAACGACTAAAATATTATATATTAACAATTAATTTAATATTCAATTTAGCATTTAATTCTAATTAATTTTTTTGAGAAATCCAACTATTTCTATTTAAAATTTTTTAGCCATATCTGAGATATCTTCTTTATTTCTATCAATTATTTTTTGTAGTTTTGGTGTTTAAACTATAATTTTAAATTGTTCAATAACTCTATCATATTTCTAAATTCTTTCTTCTCTTGCAATATCTGTTTTAGATAATTAATTAAATAGCTTAATATTTAGAATTTCCTTAGATAAATAATAATCTATTACATCTCGAAATTAATTAAGAGTAGTTTAAGCAAATTAAAGGCCTCCCCTAATATATGAAGTATATTTAGATTCAATTAGAATTCTAGCTTTTTCTAATAACATAGGAATAGATTCTATCGGTACTTATCCAAACTTAGGAGATTGGGAATAAAGAGATAAAGCATCTTATAAAATGGATGGTTCTATTACTCTAATATAAAATAAAAATTCTACTAAGCAATAGCATTCATAGCAGATTTAAGATTGTTAATACTCCACCAATGAAGTATAGGTCTCATATAATTCATTCTTTAAGTCAAAACAGATTATACTTTATTATGATCTTTTGCAATCTCATGGATAAGATCTACTTATTTAAACTTTTCCTTATTTTAATCTCCCATCATAAATTATGATAGAGTTAAATCACTTGAAGCCATAATCTCAGATTCATCTGGAGGATATTCATCCTCTTCTATGTTAGGAACAATTACTTTAGGAACAATTACTTAAGGAACATTAATATCTTACTATTTTTATTAATTATGTTAAGGTGTATGTACTTAATATGAAAAGTATTAATTTGTATCATTATTTTAAAATTGCTATGGCTATTATGACAATAAATTTTGTTATAAAAATAAATGATTTTATTATTGTTATTGCTGATAAAGTTGATTTCCTTATTATTATTATGACAAAGGGTTTTATTAATATTAATATTACATTTGCTATTAAGTAAATTGTTGTTATTGCTAAAATCCAGTATTATTTGGAAACGGGGATACAATTATTTATTATTATTAATAGTAAGGTTGCTGCTACTATTACTATTACTAAATATCTTTCATTTATTCATTAGATTTTTATCTATCATACTAATAATCTTAATTTAATATGTTTTAAGCTTGCATTTATAATGATGGTTTGCTTTTAACTTTACTTTCTGAATCTGATGGTTTTGGATTTGCTGTTTAGATATCTTATCTTTTATCTGGTGTTCTTCCTCTTTTTACAGAAGGACCTCCTCCACTTGATCTAACATCTATATTTTTAGTATCTTGACAAATAGTTTTGAGATTAACACCATGAAGACTAAAACCACTTTATAAATTTGAAGCAAGTCCTAATAGTTGATCTCTTTCTTAAACAACTATTAAATCTTATACTCCTCTCCAACTGCTTTCGACATTATCTAAAAGTTAACAATCATGTTCAACATCCCAAACTTTTAAAGAGTCATATGCAGCAGAATATAATACTTTTCCATTTTATTCAAATAAGATGCATTAAATTGGGGTTGTATCAGTTCTGGTAGATGAAATCTAATACTTATAGACTTAAATTACTTAGGTTAATCTATCTAAATCCCAATATCTAACACATCTATCTCCTCCACCTGAAGCTAATGCTTTATCAACTGGATTAAAACTTAGACATGTAATTTAACTATCATGTTAAGAAAAAGATGAGATTTATTTAGCTGAGGCAATATCCCAAATTTTAACTTATCCATCATTTGAACCAGATGCCAATAATTTACAATTTGGAGAAACAGCTAAAGCGTTGATTTGCATACTATGACCTTTAAATTGATTTACTGCAGTTTTAGATCTTAAATCCCATAATTTAATTGAAGTATCATAAGCTCCACTTAAGAGAAGATGTTTATTATCTTCAGTTGGATAAATACAAAGAGAATTTACACAAGTAGTATGTCCTTTGAGTGTTTAAATTTCTATTCATGATATATAAAAATGGTTTTACATTTTTAATTTTCAATATCCCAAATATTGATAATACCTCTATTGGAACCAGAAAATAATTCAGTCTCACAAAAATTAAAATTGACACTAGCAACTTCAACTTATGCATTTGAATTATTTTATTAACTTAAAGTCTAACTATGTATTATTGAAATACAGAAATGGGTTTTGGATTTCCAATTTACCAAATTTGAACACAATTCTTTTCATCTCCACTAGCTATAAATTTCTTAGAATATGTTCCAAATCGAGCACAGAGTACTTTTGAGGTGACTTATAAATCAACTTAATTAATAATTTGATTTACATACATAATTTCTAGTTTCTCTTCTTCATTTTTTTTAAATATATATATAATAATTACTTATATAATTACTAATATTTCATTTTTCACTTTTAATCCATTACTCTAATTTTGCCAATCTTTCATGATCAACTTTTTGAGCCTAAAAATAAATAAGAGAAAATAATAAACTTTTTAAGATAATTACAAAATTTATATTTCTCCAAAAGAATCTCCAATAGCAATTTTTGTACCATCTTTAGACCATTATGATTTATTGATTGAATTATTACCTGATTTATATCTTGTAATTGGAGCCTCTAAATCATATGATAAATCCCATAAATCAACATAACCTTCTCCATCAGTGGTTGAAAATAATGATGGATGTTAACCATTCCATTATACATCATAAACATAATCTTCTGAACATTCAAAAGTAGCTAAACATTTATTATCTGATTATGTTCTAGTATTCCATAATTTACAAGTCCAATCAAAAGAACTACTTAAAAGTAAATTAGAAATAATAGGTGATGCTTATGGAGAAGAATTCAATGAAATTCCACTAACAGGAGCTAAATGTTCTTCAAAAGGAATGACTATATTTTCATTAGTATTTTAATGTAATTTAGATTTATAAATACATCCATCTTCAGCACCAACATAAAAATTATTAGCATCTCCTTATGGAAAAACCATACAAGTTGAGTTAACTTCAACTTAAGGATTAGTTGTTTATTATTTATTTTTTGTTTTTAAATCAATAATTTTTTATGGTTAATTTAATTATGCTAAATTCCATATACATATTCTTCCATCATTTGATGAAGATATTAAATTATTTGCATTCTATGATCCTACAATACTTAATCCATAAATAGGATAACTATGTCCACCACTATTTAATGTTGATCTCTTCTCTGGTGTATGTTTTGCTCTTAAATCCCATACAACTACTTAACCATTATATAATCCTCCAAGTACTACATTTGGACTAAAAGGATGAAAACAAGCAGATGTTATTGGACTATTTGCAAAACAATAGAACTCAGGTCTAGATTTCAATTATAATGACCATAAAAGAACTACTCCTACTTAATCTGTTATCGATCCTTCTTCATTTTATGAATAAGCAGCTAAAAATGTATTTGGCAATGTAGGTGACCATTATATTGATGTTACTACTCTATTTTCTGTATAGACTTTATCACTAAATGACAATAATTTTGTTAAATTATCCTTTCCTATTTCTTAAGCCACTTATTAAGTATTCATTAAATCTTCAAGAACATCTACTTCTCCTCCATGAATGGCTTTCTCTATTGTTTTTGAACTTCTTGAAAAAAATCTCTAAAAAGATTAGGATTAAACTATAGAATTGATTTCTTCCATGGATATATTCTTTTCTACTTTTTCTACTACCTTTTCAGCACTTTATAAAACTTCTTTTTTCTTTCTAGAATCTCTTCTGACATTCTCCATTATTGGAATCACTTAGTCATCATTTTCCTGCTTTTATTATGGCATCTCAAATTCACATTATACACCAAATTCTATTGTTATTACTTCTGCCTATGGAGGAGCAGGATTGTTTGAATACATTTCTATTGTCTAAAAACCCAATTTTTTTCGCTTTGTTTATAAATATAAACTTATAAAGTCTGATTATTATGGAGGGGCTATTACACCTTAATTTTAAGTAGGTTAAACTTATTGAGAAGATTACTTACTTTCTCCATTCTCTTCTGCTTAAGTCACTTATTAAGGTTATTTTACAGATGCAATCTAAAGCTATTATTTCATTTACTCTTCTTTGAGACTTAAATCATTTCAGAAATTATTACCGTGCAATTTTTTCCTTTTTTTCTTACAATAATTTTTATTTATCTTGGTAATTGCTGCTCATTTAATCTAATTATTTGAATTTATATTTTATTTAATTTTCGCAATAGATGTATATTTAAATAAATCAACTCAAATTTATTATTATTACTTAGAGTTATCAATAATTTAAAGTAGCTGTTTTATTTAAATATCATTAAGCATATACAATTTACAATATTTCTAAGTTAATGCTTTCACATTCTATTTTTATGGATTAAAACTTAACATATTTTCAATTAATGATCCTAAAAATCCAAATGTTGTATTTTTTTCCCTTTTTATCTATTATTTATTAATACCTATCAATTGAATCATTAAGATTCTCATAAATTTTCATCTGTTATTGTTTTTTCATTTCCTCGTATAAACATTCGAAGAATATAGCATCCCATAAATCAAATTTTTCAAATATTGTATGATTTTGAATCCCATCAAATAAATATATTTTCTCAGTCTTATCTATCCTATAAAATGTGAAAGTCATCAACATAAGTTTCCTCACTGTAAAAGCATCAAATTCTTCTAAACACTATCTTATAAAATCTAAACAATACCAGATCAAGTATTTAATTCAATAAATTTACTATATTATTATATGAAATCTAGCAAATTTCAAATTTCTTATCCAATCTGAATTATTAAAATTCAAATACCCAAATTTATCTCCCAATCAAGTTATGATTTAATAGATTTATTAGTGATTATAAATTCACTTATTAAGATGTCCATAATTCTTGCATCTGATTATGAATTTTATCTTAACTTAATGAAATATTATTTATAAAATCCTAGTTTTATTGTTAAATCATTAAGTTAATTGATAATTGGTCATATTTCAGAATGTCCATATTTAGATTTATCTTTTCTCTATTGCATTAAATATTTTGACATTTTGTATTAATAAAATGAGTTATACGATCGACCCAATTATCTTCTACTTTTTAGATTGAACATTATACAAAACCTTTCTATTCTTATAATTTGATTTCTAAGGATTTTAAATACTATTCTTTATATCGGTAAAGACTGAATTCAGCTGTAATTTCTTACAAATTCTATTTTAATTATTTACAGTTTACTTCAAAAACTCTTTCATTTAAGAAAAATTAATTAATTGCCTTTTTCATCATCTCAATTCTTTCTTGATCTTATATTTAAAATTCTTCTATTATCTTTGAAATTCTTAATTCATATCCTTGTAGATATTAATCATATGATGCTTATTAATAATTTAGTTTTTCTCTTTGTTCTTTAAGATTTCTAAACAATTTATCTGATTTCAATGTATTCTCATTTTTCTTCTATGGTGGCAATTGACTTAGATACTCTTGTGAAAACTTTTATATTTAATGCTGAAAATAGTCATTATTTTTTTAGTTTAATTAGCTCATAAGCTAATTATTCTATATAATTTTTATACCTTTTCATATTCTATTCTTTCTTGTTTAAGTTATCCAGAAAGTTTTCGACCATCAGAAATCAAACTTCTAACCTTATTTGTTTAATCTTTTACTAATAAGTTCAATTAACTAATGATTTATTCTTTAATAAATTATGCATATGCTCTTGACTCTTTAATCTTTTGTCTTATTTCACTACAATATAAATTTATTATTTTTTCTAAGTTGATCGCACACTCATTTGAATTATTATTCATTGTCAATTCTGATATTCCATCTTCCAAATTCTTAGAATATTNTAAATTCACTTATTAAGATGTCCATAATTCTTGCATCTGATTATGAATTTTATCTTAACTTAATGAAATATTATTTATAAAATCCTAGTTTTATTGTTAAATCATTAAGTTAATTGATAATTGGTCATATTTCAGAATGTCCATATTTAGATTTATCTTTTCTCTATTGCATTAAATATTTTGACATTTTGTATTAATAAAATGAGTTATACGATCGACCCAATTATCTTCTACTTTTTAGATTGAACATTATACAAAACCTTTCTATTCTTATAATTTGATTTCTAAGGATTTTAAATACTATTCTTTATATCGGTAAAGACTGAATTCAGCTGTAATTTCTTACAAATTCTATTTTAATTATTTACAGTTTACTTCAAAAACTCTTTCATTTAAGAAAAATTAATTAATTGCCTTTTTCATCATCTCAATTCTTTCTTGATCTTATATTTAAAATTCTTCTATTATCTTTGAAATTCTTAATTCATATCCTTGTAGATATTAATCATATGATGCTTATTAATAATTTAGTTTTTCTCTTTGTTCTTTAAGATTTCTAAACAATTTATCTGATTTCAATGTATTCTCATTTTTCTTCTATGGTGGCAATTGACTTAGATACTCTTGTGAAAACTTTTATATTTAATGCTGAAAATAGTCATTATTTTTTTAGTTTAATTAGCTCATAAGCTAATTATTCTATATAATTTTTATACCTTTTCATATTCTATTCTTTCTTGTTTAAGTTATCCAGAAAGTTTTCGACCATCAGAAATCAAACTTCTAACCTTATTTGTTTAATCTTTTACTAATAAGTTCAATTAACTAATGATTTATTCTTTAATAAATTATGCATATGCTCTTGACTCTTTAATCTTTTGTCTTATTTCACTACAATATAAATTTATTATTTTTTCTAAGTTGATCGCACACTCATTTGAATTATTATTCATTGTCAATTCTGATATTCCATCTTCCAAATTCTTAGAATATTCATATTCAGCAATCACACGATTTTACAATGAATCAATCATTTTTGTAATATCATTTCTACCTTTTGTTGATTCTCTTACTACATTTTCAAAATATTCTTATTCTTATCCTCCCATATATTTTTATATAGTTAAAGTCAAACTCATATAAAAATTATAGCATTTCAATTTTCATTATAAATATCTATTAATACTTACAATTTCAAACTGCTATTATCAAAGTCTGATTTATATTGAGATTTTACGATTAGATTTTTGAAAAGGAATTCTTTCAAATAAGTTAGATCAAGTTAATAATTTAAAACTCCTCTAACTAACAAAGTATATAATTATTAAACACAATAAATGAAACCATAGGCAATTTCTAAAATTAAGAAAGCTATTAAATAATTCGATCTCTTTGGAGTAGAATTGAACTTGAATATTCGTTAATAAGATAAATATCGAAGTGCCTGTGGTGGTATTGCATCATTAATTATGATTTTCTTATTAAGCTATATATTCACTAATCGATTCATCAATATTATTAATAAAGAAGATTATACAGTAATTTATGTTTTTCATTTATAGATCAAAGTTCAATCTTTGAAGAGTGCCAATCCAATATATAATATTATGAATAGCTAAAATTTTATGCTAGCAATAAAATTAAGTGATCCAATATAAAAGTTTTATCAAAATGCAACTAAAACTTCTTACAAAATTTCAATCTAATAATATATTTAAAAAAGCAATTAAAATGGAACTAAAACTAAAGAACTATTAAAAATTTATAAATTAGAAGAATGTACAATTAATCATTTTGATTCAGTCAATTTTATTGATTATTCATACATTTTTAACCAGTTAAATTCATATTTATGTTTACCTTTAAACTATGAACTTTATCTTTAGGGCAGTTATAATTCTGAAATTTTTTTTTATCCTAAATTAATGGTTGAAATTTGTAAGGAAGAATCAGAATTCTGTTATTCTTAAGAAGAAATTTAAGCTTTTAAACATAATCAATTATCTACAATTACACTTTCTACTTTAATTAAATCAAGTTTATTTTTATTTAATGAAACATAAAATTCATTATATCATTATATTGACTCTGACTTTTATTTAGAAACGGATTTATCACATTATTCTACTGCAGATTTATTCTTTTAATTCAATAAAATAAATATAGATGATAGATTATTGAGTATGATGGCTACCTCTACAGAAGAATTAGATTATTGGTCATTTTCATTGCCAAATTATCGTTAATTTTAAGTAATCTTAAAAAATTAAATAATAGAGATAAGTAACAACAGTTGATGTGTTATTTGAAATTAATCTTAGAATTAGCCCTGAATAATAAGTTACAACTAAAACAGTTTAAAGATTTGATTAATATTTATCATATTTAGGAGGTATGTTAAAGTTTTTTTCAGCATTATTTGGATTTGTAGCTATTTAATATAATCTTTTGGCCATGAGAATTTCTTTGGCTAATGTTTTATATGAATTTAATCTTCCTACATAGGATTAAGGAAGAGTCAAATTTTCTTATGATAAGTTATTAAATTTCATTTAATTAAAAATAAATAGAGTTGATGACTTAATTGGAAAACTTAAAAGTTATGCTCATTAGGTTGTAAAATTAAGCAATATAACAAGAGCATGGACATCGTTTTCATCTAGTGCTCGATTCTAAAAATAAGAATAACGTGAAGTAGGAGAACATCAATATTCTAAATAAGAAATTAATGAGTATACTGAAAAATTAAAGGAAATGAAAGAAAGTTTTCTATATAGTCTAATATAAAAGATTTTAGATACTAAAAAATAGTTAAAGTTAGGAATTAATTTTTTTACTCTTGCTTTTTATTGTTGTTCATGTTTTTAGAAGGTTTAGGTTACAAGAAAATTGTTAAAATAATGTGATTTAATGATTAAAAGAGATTTAGATATTGTAACAATATTAAGCAAAATCTAATAGATAGAAAAATTAAAGGCAATTTTATTGGATTAAAATTAAATTTCTGTGTTTGATTATATTCCAAAACCTGTTATATTTGTTGATTAACATTATTAAATAACAACAGATGAAAAATTATAATAAAATTAACTAATTTAAAAAATAAATTAATAAAAGAGAGCAAGAATATTTAAAAGGAGAATAAAATATAATTCTTAAAAAAAATTTGCAAAAATTTACTTTTCTTATTTAAAATTGAAAGATTAAAAAAATGATATTAATAATAGAATAATTTCTTTACTTGGTCCTACAATGGAGATGATTTTTGAAAAATATCATGAAATATAAGAGATAGCGAAATAAAGAGAAGATTTAAATTAAACAATATAAATAGTTCCTATATAATCAGAACATTTTGAATTACAGACTTGTAATAATTAAAAATCAGAGACTAAAATAAATTTTAAAATAAAATAAATTAATATAAATGATGATGGTAATATAGATTTTTAAGGAGAATGAAAACTTTCACATTATTTAAATTTAGATATGAATTATTATACTAAATATTTTTTTCTAATTTATCAAATCGATTTTAGAAATTCTTTTAATTTATGTAATTTAAGAACTGCTTAATCCATATAATTTTTAAATTCGATCCATGTTAACTATATTAATTAATAATAAATACAGTTCTGTCATTAGATTATTTGTCATCTTCAGAATTTAAGTCATCAACTACTTCTTGTGCAAGTTGAGCAACCATTTCTTCAAAATTATCACTTTATCCTTTTAACTATGAAATTAATAAAAATATTCAAACTTTAAATTTAGTTTGCATATCTTTCATATTATCTGTCAATAATTATTTAATTTCTAAGATACTTAATGCTCCACTATTATCTTTATCATATTTATTAAAGAGTTATTTAAGATTTCCTCTAAATTAGAATTTTCCTTTATCTTCAACACATAAGTATTGAATCCATTCTTCTCTTGAAACATATCCTGAATTATCTTTATCTAAAATTTTCATTTCTTCTTTAATTCTAAATAAGTCTGGTTTATCTCCTTCATAAGCATATAATAGGAACTTCAATTCTTAGATTGAGGTTTAATTATCAGAATTAATATCAGATGCATCAAAAGCACTCCATGCTGCCATAATATCTTCATAAGCTTCCTTTAAAATTCCATTAGGATATTATTAATTCTATTCATCATGTTATTAATGTATTTTAGTTGATTAAATTAATATTTCAATTAATAACTCTATTGTCTCTTTCTTTTATTCTTTAAGTTCAGTTAGAAATAATGTTTTTATGGAATCAGCATCACAATATTATTAATTTACTCCTCCTGAGGCCGATTCATAAAGCTTTTAAAAGAATATACGTCTTTCTTTAGCTCTTCTATCAGCATTTTCAAATGTTTATATTAATGCATATTATAACATAAAATCTTATAGTTCCCATGAATTTAATAACCAAATACTAAATTCATGAAATGATATTGATGAACTTCTATCTGAATCTAATTATACAAACATTTTTTCTGCAAAATATTCTAAATCTTTTAGTTCTGGAGTTTACAGTTTTGCAATTTTACATAATGCTCTAATACTTGTTTATAAAGTCATAATGAGTTCTTTTTTTTCAATTTCACCAGATTGATCAAAATCAAACATTTTATATATGAATTACAATTTAGTGTTGAATTCTTCTCCACAAAAGACAATCTATTAAATAAATTCATATTATTACAATAACAGCTAAACTTTCATAAATATCCACTTATCCAGCAGCTGAATTATTGTTTTCCAACAATATAAAAACTTATTCAGTCCATTCCTCTAGAATTCCACCAAATACATCTAAATATTCATCTAATATTAAAGTGCTTTTGGTTGGATATGAATCATTTATCATTTCTATACACTAAAAATTCTATATATTTTTACATCATTTATATGTTAAAGTTTTCTTGTTTTAAGAAAATTAATCAAAGTCTCTTCTAATGGACCTTTTGGCACAGTTCTAAAATAATTACCCATTATTAATTATATTTTATATTAAAATATTAAATTAAATAGTTTTATCTATTATCTATTACCTATAACTATAAGATATAATTAAGTTCTCACTTAAAATGAAGTTAATCAAAATAATAACTATTATTTTTTATATAAATAATATGAATTAGTCTTTCTCAATTATACTAATTAATAATTATTTAAAATGTATTAAAAAGTTGTAAATTTAATGCAAACTGCTGACATGTTTGGAGCTGATATAACATTGAATATTTAAAATAGAGGAAAATTTACTTCTTTTTTTGGAGGTTTAATGAGTTTGATTGTATGGATAGCAATGCTTTATGTGATTATTTCAGAAGCAATAAGTTTAATCAATAGAGAAGATTAATAAGTAAAAATTTATTTAAGAATAAGGCTATCACTAGAACAATTAATGATATCAGTCCAAATGCTAGAGTTCTCAATATTTCCAATTTTATGATAGGAGTTAAATTAGAAGATCCTTTATAAGCAATATTTAATACCACAAATTAGACCATGTTTAACATTACTATATATTAGAATCATATTATTACATTTTCTAATAAAACAAGAATTAAAAAAGTTAATACTAGTATAACTCTTGAACAATGTACTAGTAAACATTTTTCATCATTAAATTTGATATCTGAATCAGATGAAATAGATAGCTATACTTCATATTTTTGCTTACCTCTTAATTATTCATTTATTTTGGAAGGTACTTACAATTCATAGAGTTTTTAATATACTTCAATCAAAGTTTCTGCTTGCAAAGATTCATCATTATGTTTTACTAAAGATTAATTAAGTTTATTACCTGAACGACAGGCATTTAAATTATCTACCTTAATGTATACAACAATAATAAATCCTTTTTCTAATGAAGAAATTGTTACTTAATAACTTTTTTAGGATTTTTATCAATAAACAAAAAAACTCTAAGAACAGGTTTCAGATATATTTTTGGAGCCAAATACTCTTTAAATAGATAATTCAGTTTTACCTTTTGAAGAGGATACTTTCTTTGGAGAGTATTGGTCATTCCGTTTAGGAAATATAAGAAGTTATACTGTAAAATTAATATAACATTAATTAGAATGATTATGCTGAACCAACTAGTTATTATTCAATTAATCTTAGAATCTCTTCAGAATATTATTCATCATTTATATCATACAAAAAATTTGGTGATTTCATTTCTTTTATAGGAGGCACCTTAAAAGTGATTTCTAGTTTAATTGGTATTATTGTTATTAAATATAATACGATTGGATTTAAATTAATGTTAGCTAATACTCTTTATTAGTGTAAAATAGATGATTCTTCTAAATCTAAAAAAAGAGCAGAGTCAAATGATATTTTTAAATTTCTTTAAAAAGAGAAAGAATAAGCAGCAGTTTTGTAACAAAAATTTAGAGGATCAACAAAGAAATTGCTTTAATTTAATAAAGTTACAGGCATTTTTAAATCTTAAAGATTTACTTAAGTATATAAATCAGATACAGATCTCCTAAAAGATGCTTAGTAATAATCCAATCTAAAAGAAATAGATTCAGTAAAATTAGAACCAACGAGCCATGAACATGGATCTATAGATCATCTCAAAGATGCCTTTATTTAAAATATGTTAGAACATTTGCTTATGGCCAATGAAAAAATTAAATTAGGATTAAATTTTATTATTTATTATCTTTCCTGTTTCAGGCATTTTGAAAGATATAAAAGAATTTATATAGTCCTTCAAAAATCAACAATTCATGTTAATAATGATCTAGATATTGTTCTAATATTGCAGAAGCTCTAAGAAATTAATAAAATAAAACATTTATTACTTGACTAAAACCAATTACAACTTTTTAATTACATACCATAGCCAATAATAACTTGGCATGGACTACAAGTAAAAGACCCATAATTATTAAAGGATTCTATTGCAAAACTTAATGTAATTGGTAAAGTATCCAGATATGATAATCGAAGCAAATTGTTAAAATTATTTAAAGCATACTAAGAAGTTAAAATGGATGAAAATTAAAAAGAAATTAATTCAAGACTTATAGAATAATTGGGACCAATTGTTTAAAAAGTTTTCCAATAATCTGATTAAATAGCTGAAGATTATAATAAGATGAAATCTGAGGAAGATAATCATATTAAAATCAATAAACCAGCTCCATTAAATACTATGAATGTTTCTTCGCATAATTTAGTCAAGAATTTTGCAAAAAACTATTTGTAGTCAAAATCAGATGCAATCGAAATTGAAGATATTGTTTTTGAATGATGAAAACATTTTTCTTATATAAATTATATAATTATCGAAAAGCATATATATAATAAGTAGAACTTATTATTATTTGTAAATATAAAATTACAATTCTCAATTTTGCTCTTATTAGGCTGCTTATAACTAATAACTTATAAAATAAATTATTAACTTCTTTTTTTAATTCTGCAACTTCTCTCTTTAATTTGATATTTTCATCTTTTAGTTTTTCATATTCTAATTTTAGTTTATCTACATCAATATCTACTGGTGATCCTAAATACTTTTTAACATAACTAAGTAAAAAATTTAATTTACTCAATTGCATTGTTTGGTTTTTCAGGCTCTTCATATAATCCAACCAATACTCTTGTAAGTTGATCAATGACTCCAGCCTTCTCTAAATATTTTCTAAATTCTTCTTTTTTTGAATCCGTTGTCTATATCATAGCATATTTTATTTTACCTAAAAACTCATAAATTATTTAATATATTTAATAATAATTGTTTTTTGATCAAAAATAACGATAAAAGTTGTAGTTGCTTAGTTTGTGTAATTGAGCTTCTAATTATTTTATTTTTTGTTAATTTTTTGAAAGAACCTTACAAACCATTATAAAGTTTTTTATCATTTGATGTTATAAATAATATATTTATTTGATGGATAAATTCTAAAAAGAAATTTTACTAGTTAACAAAGACATATATAATTAACTATATGATACAAAATCATTAACTAAGTTAGAATAATTAAAAAAATTGGACCTTTAACCATCTCCAATTCATGTAGCAAAAGATTTATTAAGTGCTAGAGAAATTCCAAAAGATTATGTTAAATAACATAAATTAGAATTTAAGCTTAGATAAACATAATTTTGGTAGCCATCAATTAAGGACATTGCATCATAATAATAAACTATTTAACAATAATAATAATAATTATAGCAATAAGATTAATAATAATTGGCTGATACTACAAATGCCATATCATTTATAGAATCTTCAAAGAATGAAGAATCTTAAATGTAATAATCTTCATAGTCAACAAGAAGAAAAATATTAGTTAAATCAAGAATTTCAAAATAACCTAGTGATTCATCTATATGGAAGAAACCTCTTAAATAAATTAATAAAATAGTTTTATAATTAAAGCAAGATAGCAAAGCTGAATACTTAGCAATAATAAAATATGAAGATGCAAGTAATTAGCTTGAATAAAAATCTATGGATGTAAATAAGAAAATTTAATGGGATTGTTAAGTAAAATTTGAAATTACTGATGATTAAAATTTATACATCATTATTGTGTAATAATAACAAGGAAAAAATGGATAACAGAATGTATTATAATAATCGATAAATATATAAAATGTTGAAAAATAGTTTTAATAAGAAGTGTAATTAAAGTATTTAAAAAATACAATTAATGCTACTTTATTAGTTGATTTTAATTGATATATTTGAGATTCAAAATCTGATCATTTTCAATTATTTACCACACTATTATAAATTTATTTTTGTTAATAACAATTTTAAAATTATATTGAAATGATATTCCTTTTTTCTTTTTAGGGTATGTCAAGTAAAACGTATATTTGAATTTTTTGATTTGGACAAGTATTTAAATAATATCAAAATTTGATTATATAAATTTTTAAAATTTCTTGTTGAATGTTAATAAAGTATTAGTATTTTTATTGAAATGTATTAAAAATAATGAATTATCGTTTAAATTAAATTTAATTGAAAAGTTATTATAACAAATAATGAGATAACAAATTTCTGCACCTGCTTATGGAGTAGGATATAAGGCTCCATTTTCTCTAAATTGCTAAGGAGCTGTGAAATTAATCTCTTAAGCCTCGTTTTAAAATTAAGTTCAACCAATAGGTTAACAGTAATAACAAAATTTCCCATAGCAAATAAATAGATAAGTTTATCCAATTAATGGGAATGTAAATTAAATTAGGAATACATGGGATTAATAAGGGGGAGTTTAAAGAATATAAACAACTCATGGGAATGCACCTGTATAAAACTAATTATAGGTTGTTGATCTGCAGTAAGTAGAGGAACCTTGGAGAATAAAGGTTAAAGAATTAGAAAATAGAATATATGAATTGGAGGCTCAACAATAAATTAAATTGGATGATGAGGATGAGGAAAGTGAATTATCTCAAGCATATAGTTAAATTTAATAGTTAGTTAATACAATAAAAATATTACAAGACGAAATTCAGTAATTATAAGAGAAACTTGAGTAGAAATAAAATTTGATAGATGGTTATGATAGACATATATTAGAAAAGGATAAAGAAATTGAAGAAGCTAATTAATATATTTAAGAATTACATGGGTAATTGGAAGAATAAACTACAAATGTAGAAGAAAAACACAAATACTTGTTCGATGAGGTAAATACATGGAAAAAGAAGTTCATAGAATAAAATAAGTAAATTTTTAAATAAATTTTAGAGAATTTCATTAAAAGTAGGAAGAACTGATGATTTTGTAAGCTGAATTAGACAATCTTAAGAATGCTCAAATAATTATTGGGAAATCAAGTGATTATAAGCAGAACAAATGACACCAAAGTTATGAGTGAGAAATTATTATTATTAATAATTTAATTATTTATTATACAAAAATGTTGTAAAAATGCATTCAATTAGCTAAATCAGCTCAATTTTCATAAATGGTTAAATCTTACACAAGTTTATCTCAACATAAATGGTTAGACTATGATTAAACTCATAAAGTACTTAAATAAATTTAAATATAAGAAATCTCTCTAAACTCATAAAAGCAGAGCAGAAGAATTTATACATAAGATACCTGTAATCGAGGTGGATTCTGATATTGTTAGATGTTTGGTAATTATAAAAAAATTATAAATGATAAGGGAGGAACTCATATTAATGCAGGACATCCTTAAGTGTATATAAAATTAGATACAAGAACAGAAGGTACTCCTCAGACATGCAAATATTGCGGATTATCATATGTCAAAAAGATGGGTCATGAATCACATCATCATTGAGGAATAATAATAACATTATAATAATTAATAAATATAATATATGAGTCTAATTTACAATACTCATAACTTAGGTATAATGGTATAATCCAACAAAGATCTAGCAATATCTATAGGGTTTGATATTGATTTTGAATAGTTATTTTTTAAATATTTTTTAACTTAAGCTTCAACTTCCAATAACTAAATAATAGTATAAAAATTACTTCTTGATCAGTAAATACAATACTTACTTAATCATAGTCATCCTTTTTGTTGATGTTAATACATCTCATAGTTTAATAAGTGTTAATGGCATTTTTAATAGTTTCAATAGAACAACTTTCATAATGTTCCATAATATGTTCTCCATACATCTATTCTGCAAAACCTTAAATTTAAGTAATTAATTCTGACAATTCAAATGTTGTATTTGTGTCACTTACTCTTTTTAATTAATATAAATAGACAATTGTAGACCAATAGCATTCAACTAGAGGCCAAATAAGTGAGCATGTAAATTAAGATGCCTACTCACCAAATTATTGATTAACTCTAATTTTTTCAGAGACTTTTTCTAAAACATTTTTGTCTATCATGGATTAAATAAAACTTATCATTTATTCTTTAGATGTAATTCGATTTCTTATAACATATTCTCTTTTTAATAATTTTAATAAGAAATCACTCTCTTCCCATAATCTTTCTACACTTACACCTTCTTTATGAGATAATAAATGTCCAAATCCATTCAAAGCACAACAAACAATTCCTTCACTAAAAAATATATGGGCTAATTGATTCCTATAATAACTTAATAATAATATGCTCTTATATTCTTATTTAGGTATTAATGTTAATTCAAATACATTTTTCTTCTTTTTATCAACTAAATCTTATAAAAATCCAATTGAATTTCTTACTGCTACATCACTTTATCCATTATTTGTTATAGAAGTCCTTGCTCCTCTTTTTGTAATCTATCTTAATACCCATTCAAATCTTTTTATCAATTAATCTTCTGTTATTCCTCTTCTATTCATTAATAACAATGCTGAAACTATTCCTGTTGGCATAACTACCATTTCTTCTATTAATTAATAAGCCACTTCATAACCTAAAGTTTCAACTCCCTTTTTACGATCCCTAATATTATCAAAAGATTCTAATCCTTATTATTATGACCATTCTTTTACTGATATCATTTTACCAAATCCTACATGAATCCTACCAAAATTGGATGATAATATTTTTATTGCCTTTATTACTCTTATTAAAGATTCTTTAACTTTCTCTTCACCCAATAATTCATAAGGATATGTATCAGCTTCTAATACCTTTTCATAATTTATTGTAATTGGTAATATTGTTGCATCAGGAATCTTTTTATCAAACACAGCATCACAAACAATACTTAACAATCCAAATTTTGGATTTAAAGTCTTTCCTGTTCTAGATCTTGTTCCTTCTATAAAAAATTCTAGATAACATTCTTCAATTAAGATTCTTTAAACATATTCATAAAAAATAGCTTTATATAAGATATTATCTTCCAATTATTTCCTTTTTAAAAAGAATGCTCCAGAGGCTCTTAAAATTGTTGGAATTAAAGCCATTGATAAGAAATCTTCTGCAGCTGCTATATGAGGACATTTTATCTTGTAAGAGAAAAAAACATAAGAACACTAAAAAATAAAAAAAAGAGATATACCATTATAAAATCTATATATGATCTATGCGTTGGCATAAATATTAATGGACCTTTAGTTTTCTAATCATAATTTTAAAGTTCTAATAAAGCGGGTTCGTTTATTTAAACTTTTTCATATATTTATCTAAACACTTTAGTTATAAACCAAGCAAACATTCTTAGGATTCCCATATTATAATTTGCAAACATAACTTCACAAATATCAATACCTTATTTTTCAATATTTTAATGCAATTTCTCAAGATTAAGTGTTGTTTGTTAATATTTTTTAGATTTCTCTTCAACTAATTATTTTATAACTGATTAAACTCTCTAAGAATTCATTACCAGACTTATCTACTCTTTTGTAGTTTTTGTTTTGAAATCTTAACCATTATTAAGACACCATTCAATATCACTAAAATATGACTATTAATTTCTTTAACTAAGAACATCAGTGCTCTATTCATTTAATTCTCTTGTTTAATCTTTTAAGATATATTTTTGAATTCCCCAATTAAATCTTTCCAAATATTGTCTCCAATTCAATTTTTCAATATCTATATTAAAATGCTGTTTTTCAGATTCACTCAAGAATTTTATAAGTATATTACTTTTGGAACTATCAAAAATCCATTCATTTATGACAAATGGTCTGAAAGTATCATTTATAGATTCAGCTCTATCAATAATCTTTTTCAATCTTTTTGCCTAAATTTTCATTTCTTTATTTCCAATTTTATTTGCTACTTAATAATATATTAAAGATGGAGCATTTTTAACTTTTGACATAATCTTAAATATTTTTTCATTTTTATAAAATGTTAAATTTGGTTTTGAAAATTATTGTGAACTAGGTGATCTAGTCCAAAATAAAGCGTTTACTTCTTTTGCTAATTACCATGTCATAGGATTTTTTGCAGAAGAACAACAATGATAGACACTTACTTCTTTTCTTCCATTTTAATATGCTCCAACAGATAAAATAAAATCAGATACATAATCTACAGGTACTTAATCTCCAATTAAACATTCATCACCATTTAAAGTTTTTATTAATCCTAAACCAACAAAAAAGAAAATGGCACTACTTGCTACCAAACTATCAATCCAACCAGGTGTTGGATCCTTCCATGAAGCTCCTACTATTGAAGGTCTTACAAAAGTCAATGGAAAATTTGGAGCCCTGTTTTGTACTAATAATTTTTCAGCTATACACTTTGTAAATGTATAAGTGTTAGGAAAATCTCCAATAATATCTTTCACATTCTTCTCCAAAATACTTACAGGTGTCTTCAATAATTAAGACACTAATTATTCCAAATTCTCTTAATTAGGATCATATATTTTCTCTTCTATATAACCAGCCTTATCTGAATTCACATATGCAGTTGATATATGAATAAAGTTTTCTAAATTTTTTATTTTTTATGCTAATGCTATAAATCTTTATGGACCCCTCACATTTATTTATATTGCATCATCTAATCTTGCATTAAAATCTACACTTGCAGCACAATTAATAATTATCTAAGAATTATTTGTTAGCTTACATTCACATTTTCAATTATTATATTTTTATCATTCTCAGCCATTCCTAAACCTTCCTTTAACATATCCCCTTCAATAGGAATAATCTTCTCAATTATAAATTTTTCAAAACCACCACCATATATCTATCTCAATCGATCAAAACACTATTTTAATATTTATTTCTTACTTATGAATCCAAAATTTCACGTTTAAATCTTTCCATTAAACTGCTACCTTTCTTTTATCTAATCAGAACATAAATACATCCAACATTTGGCAAACAACGCAAAGTCTTCTCTAACAATACTTTACCCACAAATCCTTTTAAATATAACAAAAAGGCTTACCAGTACATCCTGTTATAAATAGCACCTTTCTATTATAATATTCTTATAGCATTTAATAATTAATTTATGGAAAAAAATAAATATTTATTCATATTCTTCACTAATTCAAGATTAAAGAAATCCTTGTGATCAAAATTTTGAACTTCATTAATGGAAGGATTAAACCATAAAGATTTTTTAGTCTATATAATTCTCCTATTAAGAAATTATTAAATAATTCTTGAAAAAAACAAATAGTTTAGAAAATTCATCAATTTATTAAATTTATTATACTTTTAATACAATTTAGAAAAATACTAAATTACACTCTAATATATATAACGATTATTAATGATTGTTAAAATCATCTATAGTTATACTATTTTCTTATAAATTATTAATTTCAAATTTTTTATTGGATACTATTCTTAAATATGTCAAAATCCAATGAATAGATATAATTTTTGGTTGTTGTAATAAAATCTATATATTATTTTCGTTATACAGAAAATTCAACTATAATTTTATACAATTAATTATCCTAAATTACTAAAATTAAAAATTTTTTGTCAATAATGACTTTTTTTTGTTCATTTTTTGAAAAAATTCTTAAAATTGTTTTTTCTGCCAAAATAATATCTACGCTTTCATTTATAAATTTAGTAGTTCTTAATAATTTTGGTACTCTTTATTTGCATTTTATTATTACGTTTTGATAGAGATTTAGTATATTTATAATTAAACAAAGAGTAAAAACTAAATAAATTTTTGGAAAATAAAATTCGGTTTAATCGTTTACCTTAATAATTTATTATTAATTCTACAAATCATTAAATTTTTTGTAATTTTAGTTTTAATTTTATGAGCAATTAGTTTATTTTTGAAAAGATATTTTATTTTTAATGATTAATTGTAATTAAATTTAAGTATAAATAGTCATAATTCCTTTATTTAAAGGTTTATTTGCAACAATCCTAAATAAATTTCTTTTTCAATATAATATAAATTGTAATTAGATAAATTATTCTTTAAGCTAGAGTTCTTAAGAAGATAGTTGCATGAATGATTATTAATAAAAATATTAAATTTAAATTTTAATAATTGTTTTTATGTATTTATTCAATCATCATAATGGTTAAGATGATTTGTATAGCTCTTGCTTTAATCTGTCTAAATATGTTCCTTGAAGCAAAGCTATATCAACAAGAACTGATCCTACTAAATAAGGGTCAATATTAGCAGCAGGTCTTCGGTCTTCAAAATATCTAAATATTTAAAAATTAAGTATACCCTTAACCTAATTCTTTGGTAATGACAGGAATTCTGACTGAACCTCCTCTAGAACCATCTCCCCAAGTAAATTTTCCATATTCACTTGTTTCATGAGCACCTGTTAATCTATCTTGATTGTTTGCACCATAAAGAAATAACGACTACTCATGATGTTTTTCAAGTTCTGGAATTAGTGTTTTCAGAATATATTCATATCCTCCTTAGTCTCTGGTTTTAAAATCTGAATAATTGAAATGAGCTCCAGATCCACTCCAATTTCCTTTAATTGGTTTTGGATCATAATTAATATCAATTCCAAATTCTTCTCCAATTCTCTCTAGAATATATCTTGACAACCATAAATGATCTCCTGCTTCTATGCCTTCTGCTATTCCTATCTAAAATTCATATTAAGATGGTGCAGCTTCAGCATTTATTCCAGCTATCTTCAAACCAGCATTTAAACAAGCTCTTTGATGTGCTTCGGCTAAAGCACGACCAAAATTATTTCTTTCTCCAATTGAACAATAATATCTTCCTTATGGATGTGGAAAACCTCCAGTTGGCCATCCAAGAGGCCAAGTATGGGTTGTACCTGTCCTCTTTAAAAGATAATATTCTTATTCAATCCCAAACCAAGGTTTAAATTCTTTTGCTTTTTCCATAATTTCTTATGCTAACCATCTAAATATGTTTAATAATCACATACCTAAAATTATATCTTGCTGGAGTCTTTTTATCAGGAAGATAAGTTTCACATAATACTAAAATATGTGGAGCACCTCTAAAAGGATCTCTAACATAAACAACTGGTTTTAGATAAATCTCAGACCATTTTGTGTTGGCTTGTTCTGTTGAAGAGCCATCATATGTCCACCATTCAAGATCAGAAAGTTGCTTGATCTCTTGATGAAAGACCTTAATCAATAATCTTTTGTGTATACCTTAGTTTTTGATCTTAATCTTAATCCAGTTCCATCTATCCAAATATACTCAGCCAAAGTAACCTTAACATTTTGATCAAATTTGTAGTGATTAAAATTTCTCAGGTTCTCTAGCTACTCTGTCATTTATTATTTTGAAACTAAGTTCTTATTGGTTTCTCAAAACGATTTAAACAAAAAATAGTAGGTCATATTTTGAATATTTGATACTAATTATTATCACAAGTGTTTTCAATATATATATATTTAATAAAAAATGTTATAAATTTTATATGACTCCTTTTCTTTTAGCAACTTGAGTTGTTTAAGAATTAATTAAATTCTCATCATTTATGATTTATTTATTTTAAAATTGCTCTCAATCAAAAACCTTTATTCATATATTTATGTATTATTTTTTAAGAAAATCAAAAGCATCCTTATTGAATTAAATTTTTTCTCATCTTCAAGTTTTCTATTTAATTGAAATATATAAAATCACGTGATTTACATGTTATTTTAATTATTATTTACACAAATAATATTAATTTAAAAAAAATAATTTTTCTAATTTATAAGGTTTAAATTAAAACTCAGAATATTTTTCTTTGTTCTATATATTTTCAATAACTTAATAAAAATTTGATTAAAGTATCGTATCTTTATCATCAAAGCTTAAATTAATTAAATAGATTCCTTAACTCTCATTTTTAAATAAAATCAGAATATAAGGATTATTAGTATTTTCAAAGTTGCAAGAAAAAGATATTTAAGTTAATATTATTCAATCTAAAAATAATAATTAGACATTTCGATAATTTAAAATTAATCAATCTACTCGAGTGTTATCAGTTAATTCTTCTTATTCTGAAACAACTTCATATTCAGATAATTTAAGTGTTGGTTTCATAAGTTTATTATCATGATATATATCATAAAAATAAATAATAATGTTGCTAATATTTGCTAAAAATGTGATAAATCCAAGAAAATATATCATATGTTAATAACTTATAGCATTTTCATTAAACAGAATTCTACCTACAATTATTGGGAAAATCGTTAAGCCAGCATTTTAGATTGAACCAATAATACCAAATCCAGTCCCTTATGAGTTGGCATTCACACATAATGGAATACATGGCCAAATAACTGGTGCATATAAAGCAAAAAAGATTCCATTAATAAATTATGCTAAAAGTACTAAACTAAAACATTAATCTTAAATTAAACAATCTACATTTTTTGAAAACAATATTGTAGACAACAATAATAAATTACCAGAAATAATTAAAAATATTGGTCTTTTTCCAATTTTATCAATAAAATAACCAATAAATGGAGTAACAGTTGCACTAATAAAGTATGGTAAAGTGTAGAGGAATGTTTATTAAGTTAATGTCAGATTATATCTAAAATGTTAACAATAATGAAAACCTTATTTAAAACATACGTATTCCATTAGACTACAAAATAAGAAAGGCACTATAACTACAAACACAGCTAATTGAAAGTAAATAGTAATCAAATTTGAATTCTTTTACATCACTACAATTTACAGAAGGTTATTGTTCTAATTATGTTAATTCTTGTTAATTCATCTACTCTTTATCTCTTTTATCACTTTTTTTATCTAGTATAGATTGAACAAAACTAGTTAACATTGTAATTAAAACAAATGCAAAACAAAACATCATACAAGCACTAAAACTATTTCCATACCATATATAAACTTTTGGTAACCAATTCGCACCAATTACTGACCCAACACGAATAAATGTAATTTNGGATTATTAGTATTTTCAAAGTTGCAAGAAAAAGATATTTAAGTTAATATTATTCAATCTAAAAATAATAATTAGACATTTCGATAATTTAAAATTAATCAATCTACTCGAGTGTTATCAGTTAATTCTTCTTATTCTGAAACAACTTCATATTCAGATAATTTAAGTGTTGGTTTCATAAGTTTATTATCATGATATATATCATAAAAATAAATAATAATGTTGCTAATATTTGCTAAAAATGTGATAAATCCAAGAAAATATATCATATGTTAATAACTTATAGCATTTTCATTAAACAGAATTCTACCTACAATTATTGGGAAAATCGTTAAGCCAGCATTTTAGATTGAACCAATAATACCAAATCCAGTCCCTTATGAGTTGGCATTCACACATAATGGAATACATGGCCAAATAACTGGTGCATATAAAGCAAAAAAGATTCCATTAATAAATTATGCTAAAAGTACTAAACTAAAACATTAATCTTAAATTAAACAATCTACATTTTTTGAAAACAATATTGTAGACAACAATAATAAATTACCAGAAATAATTAAAAATATTGGTCTTTTTCCAATTTTATCAATAAAATAACCAATAAATGGAGTAACAGTTGCACTAATAAAGTATGGTAAAGTGTAGAGGAATGTTTATTAAGTTAATGTCAGATTATATCTAAAATGTTAACAATAATGAAAACCTTATTTAAAACATACGTATTCCATTAGACTACAAAATAAGAAAGGCACTATAACTACAAACACAGCTAATTGAAAGTAAATAGTAATCAAATTTGAATTCTTTTACATCACTACAATTTACAGAAGGTTATTGTTCTAATTATGTTAATTCTTGTTAATTCATCTACTCTTTATCTCTTTTATCACTTTTTTTATCTAGTATAGATTGAACAAAACTAGTTAACATTGTAATTAAAACAAATGCAAAACAAAACATCATACAAGCACTAAAACTATTTCCATACCATATATAAACTTTTGGTAACCAATTCGCACCAATTACTGACCCAACACGAATAAATGTAATTTAAACACTAAATATATATTTTTTATACCCAAAAGCTAAAGACATTTCTTATCCTAAAAACCATTTTGTTAATAAAGCACTTTAAGCTACAGTTAAGCAAACTTCTCCTCCTAAACCCAAAAATAACATTCCAAGCTTTAGTAAATTAAAATCTTATTCTTAAGCTCCTTTAACACACAATCCTTTTAAAATTAATATTTTATATAACCTTATCCAATTACTAAAAGCGAACAAAAAATGAGCTATGCACTTCTTACTCCGATTTTATCAATTATTATTCCACCAAAAAAGGGTAAAATTATATTTGGCATAGAATAAATAGAGAAGAGATAGTTGATATCTTTTTGACCAACATTAAATGTAGATTAAATTTAACTAGCTAATACTGAAGGGAAATCTATGCAAATACAACATCCAACTTAAAATAAGCATGTCAATCCAAGAAATAGCCATCGAACATTTGTGCGATGCCATGAAATTTATTTCTGTTATTTCATTGAAATTTATATTCTTATTAATTTTTTTCTTCTTTTCATTTACAA